GTGATTCTTAAAGCTGAGTTTTGTGGTGAAATTATTGAAACTGAGCTTCAATGTGATTCTTAAAGCTGAGCTTTGTGGTGAAATTCTTGAAGCTGAGCTTTAATGTGATTCTTAAAGCTGAGTTTTGTGGTGAAATTATTGAAACTGAGCTTCAATGTGATTCTTAAAGCTGAGTTTTGTGGTGAAATTATTGAAACTGAATTCAATGTGATTCTTAAAGCTGAGCTTTGTGGTGAAATTATTGAAACTGAGCTTCAATGTGATTCTTAAAGCTTAGCTTTGTGGTGAAATTATTGAAACTGAGCTTCAATGTGATTCTTAAAGCTGAGCTTTGTGGTGAAATTATTGAAGCTGAGCTTCAAAGTGATTCTTATAGCTGAGCTTTGTGGTGAAACACTTTTTACGGCTACTTAGAATCACAGTATCAATGATAAGTAATCAGCTCCCAAAGACTACTAAACCATTGCGCTACTTAGCCAGTTCAGCTCAGATTTTATAATTCACTGTTAAAACTTCAATCAAAAATATTTGCAACCTCAAAAAAAGTAAAAAATTTCTCAAAATTCACTTCCAAATAAGCCCCCATTTCACAGACAGAGAGATTAGAAAGTAATCATTGATAATAGTGAGAGTTTAATGCAGAAATTGCATGTTGATATTTCAAAAATTTAATTTAATATTTTTTTTCTTCGTTGCTACGCAAACAGACACACAAAAAAAAAGACTCATCCTGAACGTAAACAATTTACGCCAATTAATTTACCTTTTCAATGAGCTTGTAGCTTTTTATTTGTATGAAAAAATTGCACAAAGCAGCGTGATAGATTAACGCGTATTATATCACCGCATAGGCTCACAAGGTATTTAGTAAGATTTTGCTTCTATTTGCTGTATTTACGGTATTTATTAAATTTAAATCCACAAATAAATTAATACACACAGAGTTGACCTCACGACGTTAGTCATGTCTAGGGTAGTCGACTCCTTTTTATTGTAACATTGTGTGCGTGGTAAACTGTGCGAATATATATTTAAATTTCAAGTTTAAGTCAAGGGGAGCAGTCTAATTCCTTTTATAAAGGCTTTTAATGTTAGAGACTTACAATAATTGTTTTGTTCTTGTAAAGCATTAAATTTGAAAAATGACATGCTGCGGGCGATGTGTTATTTTTTGCATCTAGCGCTAAGGTTACTTCAGAAAGTAATTAATGCAAAAGGAAACATGCAGATAGTAAGTCATTATTGTTATTAGTTCAATTTAAAATATTTACTTCTCTTCCATATTATTAAAGTTCTAAGTAGGAATCTCTTCTTGCTGTTACTTACAGAAGGTAGAACAAACAGTAAAGAAAGGAATTTTACATAACTGAAATTAATTGCCATGAAAACGCAAGGTGATCTATTTAAGATTCTGCAGAAATGCTTGTCATGTCTTTTATCATCACTCTACATGTTTTCCTATATAATAAATATAAAGGCAATATATGTATTGGGATCCGGCGAAACGATTGTGTTTGTCTGTGACATTATGTTTCTTCTAGTCTTTTCTATCGAGCGACCTTCATTCGTATTATGATTTGTTTTTATAGAACTTGCAAGTTACCTTCACTTTGTGTTAAATTTAGTACTCTTGGTAAGGGGCTGTTCACTTATTACGTTCGCATTTTAGGGGGGAGGGGGGGTTTGAAAAATTGTAACAAAATGTAACATAGGGGGGGGGGGGGTCAAGAAGTTATGTAACGTTCTAACTGTCGTCTGTCTTTTAAAAAAAAGTTCACGAAAAAAATTTGTTTACAAATTCACAAAAATATTTTTTTAAATCTTCCACCTTTTTAATGATAAAATAAATTATGAACGTTCAGGGGGGGGGGGGGGGAGGTGTGAATTGTAACATATTGTAACAAGGGGGGAGGGGGGGGGGGGTAGAAAGGTCGTTTTTTTGCGTAACGTAATAAGTGAACGGCCCCTAATCTAATTATTTAACTGGATATCGAGAAATTGTTCGACTTTCTTTAATTTTCTCGAACATTTCCATAGTTTTTCTCTAATTGTCTTTGGCTCATTCAAACTCAATTGTTAATTCATCATTCAATTAGACTATAGTTGGTGCTTTTTTTTGAGATTTGTTTCTTTGTGAACTTAGTAAGTCCTTTACAAAATGAGTTCGTAAATTTGATGTTTACTGTCCAAATTCTCATCTAGAACTGAATATTTATATGAAACGGGACACACAACTATAACTATAGACCCCTTTTAGTCAAAAGTGAACGACCCCTAAATAAATTTTAAATTTAAAACAACCGTTACAACATTTGCTCCACATTACAAACAACTCAACATTTTCTCGTCCAGTCCATTTCACTGAGTATAGTGTGCGTTTGCACAGCAAGCGATAGGCTCGTATAAAATCGCAATGATCGCAATTTTGTTTTTCTCATAATGTATTTTTAAATGCGCCATGTCTCCTTGAAAATGTTTTGCATCTCAATGACTATCACTCGATTAGTATACACAAACTTCCGTCTATTTTCTATTTTCAGACATTTAATTTTTCCGGAAGATCATTGAAGTAAGGGAAAAAAAATTGCAAATGCTTATTAAAGTGCATTTCGCTATTCGAACAGAATTACAGTTAGAAGCTTCAGTCATAACACGATGTATACAGGTATAACATTGCATCACATGAGAGAGATACTATTATTGTGTTTGTTTTTATGAACGTGAACTTGAAATTGCTCTATAGTGTATGAACGGACCTTTCTCTTTATAACTTTTCCATCTCTCTTACTCACTTTAAACATGTTCTTTTCGTTAGAATAAGTATTGATTTGATTGACTTTATTTATGCTGTTACATCGCATAGAAACAAGCTTCCAAATCGGTAAAATATTATTACATTGGATTCCACAACGAGATATAGAAGATATGAGAATAGATTCTTCTGAAGTATTTTTGCTTAGCTTCTGTATACATAAATAACATAATTTCATTAAAATTATGATAATTTCCATCGGCATGATCAGCAAAACTTCATCAAACTGGAAATTGGAATAAGTTGAGTCATGGAAAGCATTGTAGCAAAATTAAAGCATTATGAAGCCTTATGCAATCTCTTTTTATTTCGCTTCTTTTTCTAAATGAATAGGCTTCTTAATAAGAAATACTTAGAACTCATATTTAAACATTGAACGATGTTGAATAATATGATTTTTTTTCCTTGTACATTTCACATTATAGATGATGAAATCGTGGTCTAGAATTGAGAAAACTTTTCATAAGATCATGTGTGTAAGATTTGGAGTTTTAGAAAGCTAATGACTATATTTGAAAAATAAATGTTTTCTAATTGTCATTATTTCAAAGTGATTTGTAACGAAATATGTAGTTTTAAACTTGCTTAATTTTTGCATCAAAAGATGCAGACATGTTCGTAGCAGTTCGTAGTTTTGAGCCTTTTCAGGTGATTCTTCAAGTTAAAATCACATCAAAATGTTGAAAAATATTATAACAAACATTCAAATTAAAGCAAGTAAGCGTTCAGTACCAGAAATTATAAATCAAACTTTAATCCCGATCGGCACACATTTGAATTGATTCAAGTATTGTCCATATAGCAGAATCAAGATCATAGAAATAATTTGAGCTAAGTTTTACGAAAGCTATCCTTTAGACTGCCGCATTTAAATATATGCTGTTCGGACATCTTTAAGCAATTTTCTTAGCAAATACTGTGTCAATTTGATTGAAATAAAAAAAATATATTGTAATTTTAAGAATTATATAAATCTTTTAAGAATGCTTTCTACTTCATAATATTAGCCATTTGAAAAGTATAATGAAAATATAATCAATTGAGAAATTCAATCAAATATTAACACAGATTTCATAGCTTTAGATCACAGCGAATCCCTCAATATTAAATAAGATCATTAAAAAATAACTACAAGTAGCTGTCAGAAGATAATATTGATTCTCATGTTGCAGATTATTATGAACATGATGACCTCATATGATTACGAAAATATGCTTCATCCTGATACTTTTATGTCATCAGTTTTATACAACAGAACTTAATTTGCAAAGCTTAATGAATTATATTTTTTTTTGTTTAGATAATAAAAGTAATATGAAATCATACAAAAATAAGTATGTAGCATAAAGAACGTCGTAAGTTTACATTACATTATATCACATATAAGCCGCACTATGACTATGTGTAAGTGCATAGGAAAAGGCAATGAAACTTAGATTGTACTTACGCTTTTGTTATTGACGATGAAAAGAAGAAAAAAAAGTGCAATACATAGTCAAATGCGATCGCAAAAAATTGTATTAATATGTGTATTTTCTAGTCGTACAACATACACTCAAAGAGCTTTAGGGTAGTGGGAGCATGAAGTATAAAACCGGCGTGTAAATTAAATAAAATTTCAGTCTATCAACAACTTTTGGTGTACTTATTTCTTTCTCACATGATACTTGATTTTTTTAGAGAAATAGAAAAAATAAAATAACTTTTATGAACTAAAAGAAAATTTTTTGTGTTGATTTAGAAATGAAAAAAGGACAATAAAAAAAAATAAGTTTTTTGTGAAAATCTCAAAGTTTAAAAAAAAAATATTTTTCTAGTGCATATACGAACTTTATATCAAAGAAAAATAGAAAAGAAAAAAAAAACCTGAAACTGAATAATCATGTTAGATATGTATTAAATACACAACATCGTTCAACGACCCACGTTATAAATTTGCAATAGAAATTACTGCAAGCAGTTGAAAGAAAAAAAAAGCACATTAAAGTGAAAAAAAAAATTTCTATCTTTCAAAATTAAAAAAAAAAAGCATTTTATGTCGAGCGAATGCTGTAAGAAGAAGGAAATAATAACGAGAGAAGAAATTAAGACTGAAAAGTAAAAAAATAAAATAAAAAAAAATAAAAACTGAACTTTTGTGAAGGAAAAATCTAGTGATAATTGGCTGTGTAATAAATATTAAGAGTTCCGCATGAGAGGACATTTGCAATATAATTTCTAGACTAAATAATGTGTTAAATTAATTTTGCTCGCAAAGCAATTGGACAATTCAAATCTACAGATTGGAATTCCATAAAAATAATTGCTCGAAATTGGAAGTGAAAAGTGAAAGAAGAAAAATTAGAGAAACGAAGCATAAAAATATTAATTTGAGGAAAGAAAGAAGTAGAGATACAGTAAAGTTGGCAACACATATAACATTTTGCATTTCAAGAAGTAGTAAATAAAAAGTAATCGAGTAAAAATGTCTGCACAGAATACAAATGAAGAAATGAATACTACAAAAGCGCTAGACGATTCAATGAGCAATAATAATAATTTGAATGAGTCGATGACTGTTGTTGGCATTGAAATGCAAAGCACTTTAGAAGTGAACGAAAGTGAAAGCACAAAACCGTCAACAACGAGTGTGCTTAATGAATGTGATTCAATTCAAAATTTGAGGCCTTCAACTTCATGTTCAACGGCAACGGCTGTGTCAAGTGAACCAACATCGATGGACTCAATTGATAACTCTGGCGATGAGGGAATCGATGAATTGATGGATGATGTTGATTTTTCACCAAATCTCTCCAGTAACACTCAAGATTTATCGATTGAAGATGGCTTTAAGATGATTGAATTGCAGCCAAGAATTAAAGTTGCTGTGGCTGATGAAATTCCAATTCCAAGTGATTTGATTGATTTACAATCAGATAACATTGAGGAAGAAAATGATGCAGACACGTTGTCACCATTAGTCATTGACAATCATGTTTGTATCGAGCACTGTGAAATGTTAAAGCATGGCAATCACGAGATTCCCGGCATGTATGTTAATTTCGATGTAGATTATGCTGAAGAAGAAGAAGATGAGGACGATGATGACGAAGAGAGAGATGAAATAATGGCAAAGCAAACGTCCTCGACAGCTACTCCCTCTGTGTTCATGAAATGTCCAAAAACAACAAAAGACTCATACAGCTCAACGGACAGTGATATATCATATTCGTATGAGAGCAAGAAATCTGTTAATGACAATCTCCACGAACAAAATCATCAACATGATCCTAATTCAATGTCAGATGATAATAAAGATTCAGGATGTGATCTTAAAAATAAGAATAGCAGCGATGATGATCAACCAATCGAGATTCCTGACGATGACTTTTGCGAGAAGATTGTCGAGCAAGTTGAATTTTATTTCTCTGACGATAGCTTATTGAGAGATGCATTTCTCTTAAAACATGTTCGTCGCAATAAGGAAGGGTATGTTAGCTTAAAATTAGTCTCGAGTTTCAAGAGAGTTCGGGCATTAACAAAAGATTGGAGAGTTGTTGGAATCGCGATTAAGCGTAAGAGTAAGAAAATCGAATTGAATGACATTGAAACGAAAATAAGACGTGTTGATCCATTGCCAATGCACGATGAAACGATGCCATCTCGAACAGTAGTCGCAACAAATTTGCCATGTGAGAAATTAACAGTTGAGAAAGTTTATGAAATTTTCGCAAAATGCGGTGAGATTGCTTTAGTCAGAATTTTACGTCCAAATTGTTCGATTCCAGCTGATATTCGACAATTTGTTAATAAGCATCCCGAATTACAGCAAAATGATTGTGCCTTAATCGAATTTAATGAGTCGTCATCGGCTCGAAAGGCACAAGATATGAATGGAATAATTGTATTTGAATTGGTTTTGCCAAAGAAAAAGACTGGTAAGAAGGCCACTAATATGACAAAAATGATTGAAAACTTCAAATATAATTCAGAGAGTGAGAATGAGCGTACGCGTGGTGGTGAAAATATTGTCAATAGCAATACAAACTTTAATAATCGCTTTTATCTTAAACGTAATAATTCGGGTTCACAATTCCAACAACGTTCGGAAATGTATCAGTGCTCTCCGTCGCCACGTAAAATGTCACTTGGCAATGAAAGTAACGTGTATGTTCCACCAATGTTTAATAATTATGAACAGCAGCAGCAACATATACCATCACAGCAGATATATGAAATTCCTGCAAGGCGTTTGAGTAACGGATGCATACAAATTCAGTCTGATAGAAAATATTCAAATTGTTCCGATGGATATTCAAGCTGCTCTGAAGCATTGTCACGTAGACCATCTATGTGTTCTGATGTCCAACGTCGTCTTTCCAACTTCTCAGACATTCATGCTGGAAACTCTCCAGCATCATCAAGACGATCATCAATTGGATGTATCGATTATTGCTCATGCGGATCAAGAAGAATGTCTCAATATTCAAATGTATCAGACACATACAGAAGAGTCTCAAATGGCTCCATTACCGAATTCCCACGTAAATTCTCAACCAGTTCAACTGGTTCTCGTAAATATTCCACTGGTTCTTCAATCGCACAGACAGACAGTCGACGCATTTCATTCGATCGTAGAAACTCAAATGCTTCCATTAATCTCGAAAGGAAGTATTCAAATGGCTTTGATCCATTAAGAAAACTATCACAAACCAGTGACTATTATATAAACGGAAGGAAAATTTCTACCGATTCGGGTTATGATCGCCGATTATCAATAAATTCCATAACTTATGACAATGAAAATCCAATAACTCGATCACGAAACAATAGCTTAATCATGTGTCAAAATCAAATTTCAAATGAGCCATTAATTCGCAAGCCACTCGGACCAGACCCAGAAGGTTCCAAAGGTTTTGGATTTAGAACTAGAAAGATTGGTCTTATTCAAGACAACAGCGTAGTTATTGCTAATTAAATTAGAATTAAGTTATTTCTTTTCGAATTTAATATTTAAATTTTAATGAATAATATTCTGGTGGGCACTTACTGCCTGCTTAGGATTGTCAATATATTTGTGTTCTTCATACAAAATTTACTTTCAAACCAAAGGTTTGGTTATATTGCAAATAAGTTGGATCAGCACGCTTAATACTGATTCAGTCCACTAGGTTGTAAATTATTTTACTTTAATAATCAACTCTATGAAATCTTCAAATTAACGAATAACTTTATTTTTGGAAATCAAATTTCCAGAATTGCGGAGAAAATTTGAAACTTTCTATTATTTTTTTAACTGTTACTTTTTGTATGAAATCCACACAAATGTATTGGACTATGTCTACGTAAGTTAAATAATTGTTAAGATTTTCGTGGAGAATTAAAAAAAATATAAGCAAAAATGTGATGAATATATTTTTCAGTTTTGGGATGCAATTTTATATCCATCGATTATTAATTTTTTTTTCTCATATTTTTTGAGAGCCATTATGAAATTTTTATAAAAAAATTAAATTAGGTATGAAGAAAAAAAAATGTATTTTTGTAAAAGCGAGCAGCAAAGAAAGCTTATTGGCATGAAATAATTTTTTTGAAAAGCAAGAAAAAATTATTTACGGTAGTTTTACTTTTTAACGCGCCTACCAATCTATCTATCCAGTGAAAGAGCCCAGATATAGAAACGATATTTAGTAGATACTACAACTGCAATACAGGCATCTTTAAAATTTAATTTATATATTTTTTGTATGACTATAAGAAACATACATTCATAAAATAAAAATAAAAATAATACAATACATGATGGGGTTGTTCATAAATGACGTTTATTCGTAAATTTATTTTTAGACCCCCAATTAGAGAGGTCGGTCATGATATTATTTTACAAAAGAAATAATTTTGCATAATAATATCAGACTCTTGCTAAGTTTGACATCATTTACGAACAACCCCAAAAAATTATATTTAATCCAATTTTTCTTATTGATGCATTCATTATATACGCAATGAAAATGCAATTGCATGCAGTTCATTCAATCACAAATATTTTTTACATACATATATGGATCAAAAAAAAAATAAAAAAAAAGAGTAAAATTTATTAAGTTAGTCAGTAAGTGTAAACGGATAACACGTTTTACAAAATATGAAAATACATACATATATGAAGACAAAGAAATTGTTGAACCGTAGAAAATTGCACGAATGCAATAGAAATTTTGCTCAGTGGAGGCTAATTGTAAGTTTATCAGGAGCTTAATGAGATTGTTAAATTTAATAACTTATGAAGTATAAGTAATTTATTTATTTATTTTTATGCTAGACTTGGAAACTTCTCAGCATGCCTTGAAATTCCCTTAATATGCTCAGAAGTTTCTTAGTCTAGATTTTATGTATTCATTAAAATAATAATAATATTTATAATCATATTGACATGATGTAGTTTTCATGCAACGCGTTCTGACTTGGTAAATAAGGTGCTGCACGAGCTGCACTTTTTAATCCAAAGCCATATCGATTGTAGCTTTGATGTCATAGAAGCACTAAGTTTCCATCAATGTGACAAATTTATGAAAAGTTTTCTGGGAAATTGTCATAAGATAGACTCACATTTAGAGGCTTAAAATGACCGTGATTGGAATCAAGGGTGAAAAGAAACGATTGAGCAATTTTAATCCCGAGCAGCACAACTCTCATCTCTTTGAGACACGTTTAAATGATGACGTGGAGGTCGACTAGGATATATCATGGTCATACTAGATTGTATGGCTAAGATACGTTCTATAAAGTAGTGGACTAAGTTGTGTCGCTCGGGAAGCATTCAAACATGATCAAACAATCCCCTTACTTGCATCAATCAATTCAAAACAGTCTAAATCGAATCGATTAATCTACAAACGAGACGTGTTGCGTGCAAATTTCATCATAAAATGGCAAATATTTCTTTTTTTAAATTATCTAATTCAAATTCTTACAAACATATTTCAAGTGCATTAAGTAGGTAGACATAATAAGAAATATTTTTGATAGGTGTTGGTACAATAGATCTTTTCGATTACTAGATCATGTCGTGCCTTACAAAATTCAACTTTCGATATTATTATACAAGTGCAGTCACATGCACTAGATTTGGAATTTCGTAGTTTTACTTTTCTCTCAATTTTGCCATGTTTAATTAAACCAATTTAATTTGTCATCGTTTCCTTTACTTTTCATTATTATTATTATTATTATCATTATTATGTCTTTTGACAGCTTTACTTTCAAAAACTATAAACAATAGAAGTTGTTTATTTAGTAATGAAAGCATATGAATCGGAAGCATTACATTTTTTATTATCAAATCCATCCTAGTGCTGAATTATATTGTTTAATTTTTTTTATTTTCAAAATTTAGCTTTAACACTTTTTGTGACATGCATTAACAATCTAAATAATAAAGAAAATGTATTTTTGAAGAAGACATGAAATTGTATTTTTGTTTAGACTTTCAGTGTTTATGCTGCATTTTAATGGATTGATGATTGCGGAAGTAACTGGCTGTTAATTCGCAAACTTTAGTAAACGATGCAGGCGAATTAGTTTTTAAACTTCAAGTTTGATTTTTCAGAATTTTTTTTTAAAAGTTTCAGTCAAGGACAAAATAAAGTTCCGGCAAGTTAATGCGATACTGCAATCTAACTTTCTTTGTTAAAATCAAACATGATGAAATGTTGAAACTGAGTGAAATCAAGAATATCGATTCATACCTAGACAAATTTTTCTTTTGCGAGGACGTGGGTTTGATTTCAACCAAACTTCAATTACTGATCTACTGGACAGAGTTTTGTTGATCTGACAAAAATTCACAAAATTCTAACATTACAGTTGAAAATGCTATTATAGCTGATTCCTAAGAAACTAGTATAATCTGTTAATTGTTCTTTTACTAGTTAAGTTTTTCAAGAAGTTTTTGGACTGTATTTTACTTGTTTTTGGTAATTGACAAGCGATAAAGCCAGTTTCAGGTACCTATTAGATCACAATTGATCTGTACGGTCAGTAAGTTCAGTTTTAAAATCGTTTGAATCACTTTGATCTAATAATTTTAAAAACTATAAAGATTTTTAATAAAGCCTATAAATAAGCTACTTTAGTATGATCTTGAATGTTGTTTATGCTGACAGCATGTCATTTAGGGTCAACTTACTCGCAAATCTACTTTTTAATAAAAATTGTGAAAAATTCAATTTTAAAAGATCTAAAATCTACAAGAATCAAGTTTAAACCGAAGTTTTTATTCGAAGAAATATTGAATTACGGGCAAATACGCACCTACTATGTGTGCAGCATGATTAGTAAGCTCCGTTGTGAATAAAAGTAAATTCTGTTTGCACAAATGAAGGTCGCTCTCCTCAATGACAAAAATTTTCTAGAACAATCAAAAGCAATGTCAATCTTTCCTTCTAGCATGCCTAGTTCCTGACATTTCTAAATGCTATGGAAATTTCGTCCTTATATAAAGAAACTAAATGTCTAGAATTTCTAATATTAAAAATCTGAACAGCAATAAAACATTCTCAAGAAGGAAGTGGTCAACAAGCACTGTCATTAAGGAATGCCTCAATGCTACTTTGACTACACAAAAAATTGCACATTCATACATGGATTCCCCAAAAAAAATAAACTCAATTAAATTCAAAAAACCGGCACGCCTTGGTATTGACTCGTCTCAGGGACATCAGTTTGGATCTTTAATATTAAATTGTAATTTAATGTCTTGCATTAAGCAGCTGAATATCCACCCAATTCTAAGTCCCTGACTTTCAACATTGAAATTATCACAACATATTCAAAATAACTTTGTCCTTACATATGCCATGTATAGGCATTACCTTGGAGAATATTTTTTTCCGGTTTTTTGTTGCATGCGCGAATTTTTTTTCTAATTCAATTAAAATTCTATTTTCGGTCGATGCTAGAAGAACATGAATATAAAGTAGAGAATGAATTTTCCAGAAAAGACAAGAATTGATTTTTCTCGCAGGTCTTAATAGGATTTTTTTCTTATTTATTTCTGACGCAATATTTTCCATTCATTCTTTGTTCTAATCCTCTATTGTACATGTACATCGTCCGATGTGGTGCTTTCATTTCCATTTATGGATATGTCGCAGCTTGTCAGTATTTTTATGTCATCGCTTGGATTTTCTTTTCTATTTTTTGTGCCCTTTCTTTAACCGTTATGCAAGCATTGAATAAGTAGGTATAAAATGCGACTTATTTGGTTTCGAAAGTAACGGTTTCGTAAAATTTAAGTGAGAGAGTAAAAAGCTTTCTCGGCGAGAGCTGTAAAAGCTGTGGCATGTGAAATGAAAAGAAAAAAAAAATATTTAAATGCAATTGACATGCGAAACTGAGGTTGGAGGTTTGAGAAGAAAATTTACTGTAATGTAAGATCGATCGTATCTATAAGTTTGAAGAACAATCTGTATTTCTATTTTAAGATCAATTTGTGACTATTATTAGATACATAAAGTGTATTCTTTATGGACTTCGTGGGAGGGTACAAATTAAGAGCAGGGTTTGATACTTTCTGCTGCTAAAAACTCAATTTTCGAGTAAAGAAAATCTATCGAGTATCAATCCCTGCTTAACAGGTCTTTCACTTATAACGTCTTATTCCATCAGCAGCTATGAGTTTATTTACAAAGTTTTAATTTTTTGTGACAGTTTAAACGAGGTTAATTGGTCCTAACATACACTTAAGAATCCTAAGTTTCAGGGGTGAATCCAAAAAATTTTGAGGTTAAAATTGAGAACTTTCAAAAAGTACCGGAAAAGGTGAGATTAAGTTGAGATAATATGTCTTGTCATAATAAATAAATCAAGACAAATGGATATAAAACCTTTAAAATTCTTTTAAATATAAAAGAAGATGTTTATTGCCTTAAAAAGTTCACAGCTATGAATTAACTTAACAATATTAATTCTAATCACAATTGACATCCCTAAATCCGGAAGAAAAAACTTATCAAATATAGCTTTTAATGTTTATAAAAGTTGGATGTATACCTAGCACTTCTCGCACCACTCAAGCATCTAAGTCAATATCTGTTCAAAAACTTAAATTCTTAAATCTATATTTCATCTCCAATACTTTTAAGAATGGTTGAAATAAATAATTTATTGTCATGATTTACAAAAAATTAAAAATCAGTTCTATAATTTCCTTATACTAAATAGCACCAATAATCCTAAAACAGGCATAATTCCATTTATTGCCAAAACTCCCGTGTAATAGGAAGATTGCTTGCCTCTAAAAAGATAAGAAAATGACAAGCTTGTAAAACAGGTTAAGACGAACAGTGAAATGACTTACATAATTTCTATAATAAAGATAATAATACCCGAGAATATTTTATCACAAACAGTCACAATAGAGTAGACGAGTCCTCCATTCTCACATTTACTGCCAATAAAATTAGATACGATACACATACTGCTGACTTGTGTGATTGAACTTCCTGCTCCAAGCAATGTTGCAATCCCAAGAAGTTCAATAACTTTTATGTCGATAGGGAGCGCAATTATGATGCATCCAAATATGGATATAAGTGATCCAATTGAATAAATGATCTGGCAAGAAGTTAATAATAATGTTTATTAATATAAAATAGAATCGATTGATAACGGTCTAGCATGCACATACATTTTGTGATATGTTTTGATTAATAAATTTAAGTAGAACAGCAACAACAAATGATGATGCAAAAAATGTTAGAGGAATGATGGCAATGTTCTCTATCGTTTGACCAGTTTTCAATTTCATCAACTCGTTTAACCAAATGGGTATATAAATTATACAAATCAGTAGAAATAAACGTGAGAATGTGTACACAAATGCTACTTTATATAATTCTATATTCGTTAGCACATTCATTATTCGAATTGATGTCTTTTTACCCGATAGATCTTCAACACTATTCAATGGTAATGCATTTTTCTCTTTTATACGTTCGCTGTATTTGCCGTATGATAATGAAACGTAGAATAAAATTGTTGCGACGATTCCAATCAGCGTTAGAAGTAATGTTATGTTCTAATCATAATAAATACTGTTAATATTAATTAATCTATCAATTTTGCATTACAAGATGTGCCTAGAATCGAGGGATTTTCTAAATTAATTTCTTAAAAATCATTTTTGACATATTTATGGATTTGTTCAAATTTTCAACATTTAAAACTTTTGCATCATTTTTTCTGCACACATTTTTGATCGACAAGCATTTGCATCATTATTTTTCTGAACACATTTATGATGCAAAAATTCTCGCGTCAATTTTTTTAAAGAAAATTTTAAGGCAGAAATTTTTGCATCATTTTTTCTGAACGATTTTTAAGCAAGAAGTATTTTAGATCTAAATTTAGAAGCGAATTGTTTTTGCATCAATTTTTCTAAACTTTTGATTGAAAATAAATCAAATCCAATTTTAATTCACATTACAATCCAATTACATCTCTACATAGAAGACAATCCAACTGGCACATCCTGTTTTACAGCAAAAGCAATTAAAAAACTTACACGAAACTTATCAAAGTCTCCAGGACCAATCTCATCGGCATGTTTATCTCGAATATGCAAAAACACAAATGCAATGACAAAAACGGTTATATTTGACAGAATTGACATGCTGAATCGTACAGCATTTAATTCTGATCGCTCTTTCTCACTGTTTGAATATTCTGGTATAATGGAAAGATGTGAAATTTGCACTGTCGCCCATCCACATTGAAATAATGCAATCACAGCAGAAAAATAGAATATTTTTGCCCAATATGGAAGCACATCCCGTTGCATTACGAATATCATTGGAAATGATAGACAAACAATTATGGAACCGATGAAATGCCAGTTTCTTTTCGTACCGTACAGATCTGTCAAGAAGCCAACTATAGCAGAGAAAAAAGCGTCGGTTAATTGACCCAGCATCATAAATGAGCCAGCTTCGGTTGGCATTAGCACGACATATTTTAAGAATAATAATGTATAAGAGAACCACACTGTTGCAAATAAATCATTAAGCACGTGTCCACAACCATACCCGATTTTTGTTAATGTACTTAATTTCGACTCATCAATATTATTATTGCTAATTTCATCACTTTTCTGTTTTTGAGGATTTTCTTTCGACATTATTTTCACTTTTTTTTTGTTCCTATTGAAACGATCACGCGAGAGTATCGATGATAACTGAATGAGAATCTTAAATATTCTTATTTTATGAATGGAGAAGATCACCAAAAAAAACGAATTTCTTCTTCCTGATAAATTTAATATTTGTATTGATTAACACATCGGTATTAAGCTCTTGTATTTATAGATTATCAGCCTCCAAGTACTCAAATTAACACTTTTCAGATTTTTTGATATTTAAAACTTTTCAAGATGAATTTTTGATTTCGGAGTTTTCCTTCAGAACTTTAAATATTTGCTTCTGAGCACTTAAAGCTGTACAACGACACTGACAGAAGAAACTTTTCCTACCCGGTTAATTTGCCAGTCACGATATCAGGGCTTTTATCAGAACACAACTTAATTCACGTGAAGAAATTTACATGAGTCATAATTATCGTTTTATTACAACGTCTATTGGTTGCGGTTAGGAGACGAGACAGAGAGAGGAGAAGAGAAGCACGTGCGAGAAATTATTGGAATCAAAATCAATTTTTTTGGGCAATATTTTCTCAGTTGACATTTATGAATCTCAGGTTTCGAAACCTTTAAGTGCTTAATTTGTTTATCGCAATCGTAAATCAAGCAATTTGGAAATGAAAAAGCTTTATGTGATTTTTAGTAATTCATGCGACGATTGAATGAAAATTGGTCGATATGAAGTCATGAATATTTATTCTGTGCATTTGACTGTATGATCGTCTACGAGTTTGTCGACTCTACTTCATACAGATGCAAGATTCTTGAATCTTAAGTAGTTTGCATTTTAATACCGGAAATTTCCGACTTTTTTCATTCTAAAAACTTATTTAACATTTTAAAACAGGTGTTCTTATCGCTTTAACTTGTTTACTGCTAATTTATTACATTTTGATCGTAATAAATTGTATTAGATAATTTATTAATCAACTTAAAAAGTTGTTGCCCAGGTCAGACGCAGGATTTACTATAATGCTGTTAAAACCTCTATATGAGTCATGAGTGACAATGGAAATGTGCATTGCCTAAGTTTTTTGTTGATTATTGATTATTTATTAAAACAAAAGTTATTGTCTGTGGCTGTAGAACTTACAATATGTTTCTTGACTCTGAACTTTTGTAATCTTCGTGTGATTGAATTTTAGGAAGTTTTGAAAGACCTTGAAAATTACCTCGCAAAGTTGACATAAAACTACAGCAAAGTTTCTTAAAAGTTCATTAAATTTAACTTATGTGAAGCCACAATTCTAATTAAAATTCTAAAACGATTTGCGGCTGGGTAATTGGAATCACGTGACTTATTCTAAATAAAAGTCAAACACGATAAATTTTTACAAAGCTGATTTGTAAATATTTGAAACGAAGCTTTCGGGTAATCCCAAGTCAGTCGTTTTAAACTTCCTGAATATCATGCTGACTATTATATTTTGTATTTAAAAGTCGGTCATCTAGTTAACAAAAGAATATAAGTCATAGCATTGTTTAAAAATTTTAATTGGAAATTTTTAAGTACAACTTATTAAATGAACAATTTAATATTAGCTCTTTTTGTTTATCTGCTCAAAACTGCCTTAAAAAAGAGAAAGCCTGTTCATTAATACTAAACTAGACTATTTTAAAGTTAACAAGGGTTCTGATTTAGCAAAAAATGGATCAATTTTGAGTGATTTGGTCAGAAAGCATTCTTCAAACGAAAAAGGGATGAGTTTAGCAATTAAGACTAGTTTTTCTCAAACTTTACAAGCCGCAGAGCATTAATTCTTCTATTTATCTGACAATATCCTGTTACCAATACTTAGAGCAACTGTAATAAGGTTTTCTTTCACATCAAAGATTTGGTTTAGTTTCCAAAGAATATCTAGGTTTTCATGTTGTGTAAAACTATATTGAAAGCTTAAAACGATGAAACAATGTTTTAAAAATTGATAAATCGAAACTTAACACAGGAATAAAAATATTTCTATTTAAAACTAATCATATTGATACAATCCACATGACCCAAAATGAAAAATGACTTCCGTCGATCAACTTGTTGCTTCATTTTGAAAAGAAAAAAACTTTATAGATTCATATCAATTTTCTTCCAATTTTAAAAGAGTCCTCTTTATTAATAGCCACGCTACACATGCGTATGAGATGAGGAAATTTCTCATGAAGACAGCATCAAGTAGAAAAAAGGAGGAGTCTGATGTCTACGATAAAATATGATTCCACATAAATGACTATTAGGCGGCAAGCGTACATTTTTTCTCTGGCACTATTTCAACCTTAATTTTTCATCAATTTAAAATTTAATTAAGATGCTTCTCAAATACTCATGATATATATCATATTAAAATAAGAGGAATAGCTTTGAAAATGATGTCATTAAATGTGATATAGCTTATAATAATTTTTATGACTCCGCTAGCTGATACAGAACTGACTGAGACACATAAACAATCTTCAAAGTACTACATTTAACACTTTTCTGTGTCATTTGAAATATTTTCTACTAATTAAAATAATTTCACAGAAATTATGAATAAAAAAATAACGCCCGCAAAATTTATCGCTTAATTGGCGAGCATATTTTCTGTGTTTTTATTTTAAAAATGTCATTTTATTAGTCTAAAGCTAATTGTTATAAACATTTATATATCATAAATTTACATTTTTTCTTTCCTTAATTAAGCACTCTAATATCAACATGTGATAATTTCGTGATGAAAACTGTTTGGGGAATCAACAGATTTATTTTGCACACAATTAATTAATACAATTCACGATTTTCTGTGATTCTTGAAAACATTTTCTTTAAAATTCATAATTAGAGTGAAAGGAACTGGAATTCACTAGTTTGGGGTAATTAACGACGAGCTGTTTTACTGGATTCTTTTGAAGATATTCCTGTTGCATAATACAAGAATCTCATTTAATTTCAAAATTTATTAGGGTTCTTAATTCCAGTTGAATTTTGAAATAGAAGATTTCTTGGTAGTGTTAAGTATTAAACGATTCAGAGTTGTAGCTAATTATGTGGATCTTTGACTTGGCTAATTCCAATAAGTATTAAGTAACATGAAAACGAAACCTTACAGTTCCTAGATATAAAGTCAGCTAGGAGAGATTGTTGATTAATTAGAAATTTTTTAACACAAAGCATTAGGATCAGTTCCTGGATTTATGATTTATTTTTCCCATCTCCTTTAGAGAAGACGAAATTCATCAATGTGAAAAAGTAATCAGCTCATTAGCATTGTATTGAGTTATGTCAATACAATGATCACATTTCGCAGATTCGACCACACTTGACAAAAAACTGCGTCAGAGCTATGGATTGACGACAAATCAATAGAATTTCTTCAGTACGCAGTTGCATTGAATTCTTAGAAGAAGTACGAGAGATCTGTTATTGTAAGACCATCCCGACTAATGAGTTTTGAGTCTCCAATTCTTAAATTCCAGGAACTGAATGTCATCTGTAAGCATTTTAATTCTCATCAACTAAAATTGCTTATTAAAATACGGAAATGATTATTCAAATGCTTGACTTTAATTATGTACGAGAAATGTTCTAAAAATATAATAATCAAGTCATGCGAATTCTTCTAATTCTATCAAAACCTTAAAGCAAATATATAGACAAAAATAAACATTCTTTCCACAAAAACATGCTCAAAAACTGATTCCAATTATTGTATGAATTATGTTAACAATAAATTACTTAAATGATGCTTATTAAAGGAGAAGAGTAACAAAAATCGGATCAAATTTCAGATTTTATTTGGAAGGATGGTTAAAAATAATGTTTCGGTCTATTTAACGTCATCTCTCTCAAAAAACCTGCAAGTGCTAAAATGCTAATTGAGCGGAAAGCAACGAAAATGAACAAGAAAATGAGATAGTTTAAAATTTATGTCAGTAAAGACAGTATGGGAATAATGAAAATATTTGCTAATTAAGTCGTCATTAAAGCACACTAATTAGCACATCAACAAATGCTTTTGTGACAAATAAAAATTTAAAGCCATAAATCACCAATTACTCATTAAAGAGTTAAGGAAATGCTGGAAGTTAATTCTCATTTTCTATGTTGACGTCTCTTGATGTCACAATATTTAAACAAACATGAAAAATTATTGCTTAAAGAGTCAAATGACAAAAGAAAGAAGGAGAGATGTAAGAGGAGCTAATTGATTTATTATTTTCTTTTTTTATGCTCAACATACATGTGGTGAGAAAATTATTTAAATATCTTTTGTAATTTTTTGAATGTCTTCCAAATTAAATCAGTTGAGTCAGTAATTGAGACAATTTTCGAGGCAGATTATAACTTATGTACCTCATTTAGTATGGTCGTGTTTCGTCACAGACTTTGATGTTATTTGAGGAGAAGGGATTGAAGTTTAGAAATTGACAGATGACTGATTAGAAATTTTATATTTTTTAAGAATTATTAAGGCATCGTTAAATGACGTCACAGAGGAAAGGGGATGGGTGAAGTGAGTGTTCTTAAACAGCAGAACTTCTTGAAATTCTTTCGTTTGTTTTTAAAAAATTTCAGTTTTTTGGACGTCACTTAACAACTTGAAAAATCCCAAAAAGGATGAAATTTGAATTATCAATTTAAAATTTTAATTTTAAAACTTTGAAAATTTAACGGTAAAATAAATTTTGAATTCAACTCTAGAGCGAATTCAACTGAATTTTCAAATTTAAATATTTTCTGTTTTTTAACTGTCAATCCTGGTACGAAAAATGAGCGAGCTCAAATCATTGGTATTTAAAGATTATTGATGTGCATTCATAATATTTAAATCAATCCTGAATGTGAAAATATAAATAAAGCAAAAATGAAAGAAATATGAGTGAAATATTCATTTTTGAAATACATCCACTAATTTTCTTTTTCCTTCACCAATTATTTCAAAATTAAAAGGTAATCAATTAGGTTAAAAACTTCATTAAAAACAAGTCCTACGTAAATTGAAAAATCTTCTCATATTCAGAATTGGATCCGCCCATTTTCTTCACATTTAATTGCTCGATTTTCTCTCAAATCACACAAAACAAAAAAACAGCAACGAGTATGTGGAAAAAGAAGAAGAAAGCCAAAAGATCCACATGTGTACTCAATTAGAGACAATTTTTCCTTAAACATCGCGACATTCGTTAATGATCATCGTAAAAAAAATATTGTTAAATATCGTTGTTCTACTCATATGCTGTTATTTTTGGATTTCAGATGATTTCTGTAATTTGTATATTTGGTTTCACTTTCATGATACTCATTAGCTTATCGGACTTTCACGCGATCAGTTCTTTTCTATTTTGGTTTTTCTTCTCGGGACCCGTTTAAAAAAAAAGATGGAAAACTCAAAAAATTTATCGTCGGCAAACCAGCAACAGAAACGAAAAAGTAACTTTTCAATAGAAAATATTCTAGCAAAGAGTCCTGACACTTATCAGGCACGTGACATTAAACAAAAGTTATTGAGACAAAATCCTTTTCAAAATAATCATGTGCTATTTGATAAAAATAAAAATTTGAATGTGCCTTATAAAAAATATCAAGAGGACTCGGACAATGAGATAAAAATTGAAAGTGAAACGAGTTCTTGTCACAGTGAAAATACAGAAAGTTGTCATGCTGATAGTGAAAATCAGGAAATGGATGAAAATTCAGATGATGCAGGTAGTCAAAGTAAGCAAGGACATTATTTATCAGATGTTACAAGTTTAGAGTCAAATGATTATTTTTAAAATTGATTTGCAACAAACTTGATGTACGCAAGAATAGAAATTATGATTAATTCAAATAAATTTGTGGATATTAAAACTTAAAATAAAAAGAATAATTCTTCAAAAATTGTTAAAATGTTTTTTTTTCCAATTTCTTAAATTGTTTTAAATTTTCCAAATTCTACTAATTTAATAAGAATATCAAAGAATTGAAAATTAAATTTCAACTTCAACTTCGAACTTATTCTAGAGTTCAAATTTATTGCCCGAATTTAATTATTTTTGATGCTGATTTCTATTTTTGATGGCTTCAAAATTTAATTTAAACTCAAGGAATAGAATATTGATCAAGTTTGATCTTAAGTGCATATGTTTTAAAAGCTAGTAATTCAATAGCTTCGAGATATGATTTTTAATTTTTCAACTTACTATCCTTAATTTAGTCAAAATTAACAATCAAATACAGTTGAATGAAATTATTTTTGACTCAAATTTCACAGTCAGGCTTCAATAAAGAATTATAGGATAATTCAACTGAGATTGTCACTCGGATTGTTTGATAAAATTTATTTGGTAAACGGCACGGTTTTAGGATCATTTCTTTAATATCTTAATTAACGTGATCAAACTAGTAATTGTGTATTGATTGTCACTTAGTCTTCAAAAACTTAATACCTTCGAATTTCCCACGACAAATTTTAACACAATAATCATATCAAGTAAATCACGAAATTAAAAATTAAGAAAAGTTAAAAATGAAAAGCAAATGTCAGTGATAATTTACTAATTACATTTAAATAATAAAGTAAACGACATAATGACTCTTAACGAAATAGAGAAAGAAAAGCAGGAAAAAAGTCGACGTCGAGAAAATGTGTGAAAAACCGCTAATTACCCTTTAACTATCTTAAAATATCTATCATCGATTGAGTATTTAGAACAATGTGTACACAACTAATTACTAATTAATTATTCCCTCAGGCGATGATAGGAAGAAGAGACCAAGAACTGCATTTTCAGCATCACAAATTAAATCACTTGAATGTGAATTTGAGAAAGGAAAATACTTGTCGGTAGCAAAAAGAACGAGTCTCGCAAAATCACTCAGTCTTACAGAGACGCAAGTAGGCATTAAATATAAATTTCCTATTTTCTTATTACTGACTTACTTATATCCAACAAAAAAGGTAAAGATCTGGTTTCAAAATCGCCGTACGAAATTTAAACGAAAGTACACATCGGATGTTGAGCAATTAGCATCTCATTACTACTCATCGCTAGGAATTGGCGGTATAGCAAGGCCAATGGTTGTGGGCGATAGATTATGGTTATTTAGTCAACCTGTCAATGGAATGCCAACACCCATTCAATCATTACTTCTCAGCAATATGCCACCGTCTACTCAACATCCACAACCTTATTCAACGATGGTGCCACATTCATCAAGAGGATATAGTGATGGACGGTCTACAATAATTTCACCACAGCCTAGACTAAGCAGTGAATATCCACCACATCCACAATTTATGAATAAGAATTATAGACATGACTTTTATGCTAAATATACAGCAATTGGTCCATCAACATCAGCTGATTATCGTCTATTAAAGTCAGAAGAAGTATCTCACCTAAAGTCCAATGGTCTTGCAGATCTTGAGAGTCGATTCGGTAACAACTCAGCAATATTCAATGAAAGTGGCGGGAAATCCAATGAGACTTTGATAAGTGACAACAAAAGTACAAGCAGCGACGATATTGACTGTGAAGAGATAGAAATTAATGATAATTGACAGCCCTTTTTTTCGAAAATTACTTTATTGTTAACACTTTATATCACAGCCTATAATATAAAAGAACATAATTTATAGGCTTAAACAGTTTCTCTTAATGATTTTTTATGTGTAATTTTAAAGTCACTGGTAATATCCAAAGTGCAATGTGGGATCAATGGATGTTCTTTATTTTAAAGAGCTATAAATGCAAATTTTGATTTCTATGTGATGTGTTTGGTTTTCCTTATTATTTTATTGTAAACTAAAGTCATTTAATGTCATGTGTGGATTGGACAGTTAAAGTTTTAGTTTGATGCTAAGATTAAATTTAAATCTGAAGATTTAAATAAATTAATCCTGCGATTTAACATTGGATTAAACTAAACCTTTCAACTTGAATGTATCCAAGAAGCGTTTAGATGTTATTTATGAATCATTTTAGTTTAATTTTCATAGTTTTTGATTACTTGAATACTCATTCCAATAAAGTACATTTAAAAATCCCACAAAATCATCATATACACAAATAAGAGCTATGCACTTTGATGAGAACAAAATTAATTTTTTTTTGTATCACGAACATCGATAAATTATTTAAAGGTATAAAAAACATTGAAGAAGTGCTATTTGAAAGTCAAAGTTTTCAACATAATCAAAATTTAAAAACTAGCTATTCATTTAGACTCGGTGTAAATCCTTTGGTATATAAAACAAAAACAAAACAAAGCAAAAAGGGGCAGCACAAAGCATTTTTTTGGAAGTTGACAGGGTAAATGATATCAGATGATTATGTTTCATTGACAAAATATTATTTTGAACATAAATAATTGTATATTTAATTTATACATAGGTATGTAAGTATAAAAAATTCATTTTCTTTTGATTTAACCATAACTACTGTTAAAGTTGTCATTTACGTTGTAAAAAAGAACATTTTATGAAAAATTTGTTAAATATTTTGTACAAAAAAAATGTTAAAATAAAATCATTAGTTTGATACTATTACAATTATTGTTTGTATTGGCTAGAACATTACTTTTTTCACAATATAACTCAGCTACAAGGTGTTTATGTAAAAAATTACAAAAAAATTAGTAAGATCATGTCTTTACTTAATTACACCTTTGATTATCGTCTTATTTACAAACATTTTCAACCTGATTAATTTTTCTATTCAGACTTTCGGCATTTCATCTTTAAAAGTTCAACTTGTTTACCTAAAATTATTTTAACGTTAAATTCAAATTTGAATTAGGTAAGTACTTGAATATTCAAATTTATACTGGCCGTTAAATATTCAAATGTAATATTGCTGTTACAAATTCAATTTTTGAAATGCCGCAAATCTGACTTATGTCAGCTTTAAACTTTACAAATTTCTAGTTTATGATTTTTTTAATCGCTTATTTACAGTTATACGAATAGGTATGATTATATGCTATAGTTCTTTAAAATTTTTTGAAAATTTTTAAAGCATGCAACTTTAGTCAAATTCTTTTAAACATCAATTTTATGCTGGTTTTTTGGCTTTAACTTACGAAATTGATAAAACTCAATTGGTGAGTTAGTTTACCTTATGTTATTCCCACGATGGATCGTATCCCTTCCAGTTTGTACTTGGAGCTAAATATACACGACGATTATTGAAGAATGACGAGACTATACCAGCATATGCTGTACGCGGCACACCACTCTGTATAATTATCAACAATTAATGCCAATCTGATCGAAAAATCAATTTACACTACCTTAAAATCGTCCATTATTCCTAAATTCCTACATGTGGCTTTATATTGGTTCCTACTATTGTATTGTATCCTCACAGGACCGTCAACTTTCACTAGTCCAGACCGAAGTTCTTCAAATGTCACCACAGGTGTTCTATAAACTTCATTTATGTATGTTTTATCATAGTTATCCTTTAATAAATAACTTAAGTCTTTTGTCGAAAACGGAACGAATGTTTCGCTTAGTTTTATGTACTTCAAATGCTTCTCAAAGAATAGTCCACTGAAAATAGACGAGTAATGTCATTATCTAAGCTTAATAGTAATTAAATTACATACTTTGAAACACCAATTTTCCCAAATGTACGAGATCGCGGTAGTTCAGGACGTATGCAGACTCTGTCTCTTCTAATTTCAGGCTTTCGAATCCAATCATCCCAGAAAGCTTTCGGCCATTTTGGACCTACATAATATAACATTTAGTTATACAAAGGAGTTGAATACATGTAATATAACTTAGTTGCTTACCAATTTCATCCCATAGCTTTTTACTCATCATCCATCCAAGACCAGGGAAAAAGTCAGAGCGATAAAGCAACTCAGGAGCATTTTCATCAATTAATCCAGACTTTCCATTGTCATTCCATGCAGACACACACCACAAAGATTCATCAGAACGCAATAATGGGAATGTTCCGAGGAAATATTCATAGAAATCGGGTGCGACGTCAAGATCATCTATAAATATAATACATGATGAGTCATAATATAGTTATCAGTTTTATGCTCATTACTCACCTTCAACGATGATAACGAATTCAAAGCCATTCGAAAAAACTGTATTTAAAGCCCATCCATAATGCCTGGAAATTTTGTAATATCCCTTGAACTTCTTATCTTTTGGCATCATCTCAATGTCAGAGAGATCAGGCTGTTGAATTAATTGCACTTCATCCTTATACGATAGAATGACCTCTTTCGTAGCTTCATCTCCGCAATCCTACAAACATTAGTAAATAGGGGCAAATGTGTTAATAAAATGATTATGTTCCGATCATTCGAATGTATTCGAAACACTTGACGTGTATAAATATAGACAAGTGTTTTGAGAATAGAAAATATGATAATTAGCAACAGTATGATGATGTTTTATACCTGCGAAACGACTATAGGGAACTGTTCACGATTTGGTCGATATTTTATTAATAAATCTAATGATCTAGAGATTGAAACACGATTGCACGCAAAGACCACTATTGGAATTACTGGCTTATATAAATCATTATCAAGATACAACCCGTTAAATACAATTTTGCTGTTCGGTTTGTTTTGATTTGATTCAAGTTCCAACAAGGCATTTTCACTATTCACTGACGTGGTTGTTATGCTCTTTGTGTTCAATATTCTTATGAGATTTTGATATCGGGAAATAATTTCCTTTCGATTTTTCGTTTCCTTTTTAATCTCATTTTCCAAAAATACAACTTTTTCGTGGAATTTACTTTTATCAACTTGATTATAATCATAATTCTTTATCACTATGAAATATGTTAATAATGTCCAGAAACCCACGATACCCAATGCAAAAAGAAGACGCTTGTTTGCTCTCATGTCACACTTATTTAATTAAACTACAATTTACTACATTTTATATGCTTTAATTTACTTTGTGAACATTTCTCTCACAAAAATCTCCGGGGTCATTATTAAATGATGGTCCAACTTTGACTTTGGCACTTTCATAGAAAATAAATATGAAATGTATATGAAGTTTTAATGACAGAGATGGGGAGCATGATGGGGGTCTTTAAAAAAATGCACGTCATTTACGAACAACAGCTTAAAAATTTCTTTACCTACCGACCCCTCTATATTTTTGCAATTTAAAGTTTTCAAATCCGTTACAACCTGTTTTTCATTTTCAAGCCGTTCCTTTTAATTACTGTGCTGCACATTATGAGAAATGGAATGAATGGTGATCACTCAAGTGTTTCTTAAAGGCAGTCAAGTTGCAAAAGCTATTTTAATGACTTTTAATTTATGATATTGAATAAAGAGGCAAAGGCGAATTCAAATGATGCATAAAATTTAAATTGAAAAGTTCGTTGAATCTTCAAACATGAAGTAGCACTTAAAAACTCTAAATTGTAATATATCACTTACCTATAATCAAAAACACAACTGATATTCTGTTAATTTTTATTTTTATTTTCGTTTTTCATTAACATTAAGTTTACTTCGTTTTGTAATTTCTTAAGATTATTTGATCATCATTAATTATTATTAATCATTTTAGACTAGTACATAAAATTTTACTTTCTTTAGGAATGTTGAATTGTTAGGGAGATTTTTTTGATTCTCTCAAGTATTTTTTTTCGTTCACATTTTTATGCTTTTAAAGATGAACTGATTTTTTTTTACAGAAATTTATTCGATTTCGTAGCGCAAAAAAATTAATTAAATAGCTTTTAATACACTCATAAGATACATTAGTTCTTTTTTTTTTCTCTACATAATACATTTGTTGGCCGATGGATGAGATGGTTTATTTAACATGAATAAGAATTTAACCCAGATTCTTAAAATATTAATTGATTGAGTATTACAGCGACTAATGTGATTAATGCAGTATTTCCGATTATAAGTGGCGCACCAGATGTTTCAAAATTCTCAATTACTCTCGTAAAGACACTCGTCTCTTCCACTTTTGCTGTATCACTATTTAAGTTCTCAGGTCTTGTATCGTGGATGCTTTCAAAGACATTTTCTCGACTATTTCGGTTCAATTTTTGATTTGCTATTTTAAGATTCTTCAAATTCTCTTCAGTCTCTGTTAACACCATCGTGTCTGGATTTCCCTCATAGTCAACTTTAATGAATGTTGAGAGATTAATTTCATAGAGTTTATTCGAATCAGAATTTGACACTTCACGCTTTCGTCTTTTTCCATAACCAATCTTTCCATCAGCACATTCAACGCCTTTACATTTATCTAAACAGACATTTACAGTTCCACGAAATTGGACATAGTTTGAGTCGGGAAATTTAAAAGCTCTGAATTTGGCAGTCAAAAAGTCTCCATCATCTGTTGCAAAGTTATCAAACAAGAACGGATCAACAGAGCACCTGCAATGGATGTAATTAGAACAATAAGAACTTATTTCAATTTAAAGTTGAACTAATTTCTCACCCGTTGAAAATGATTGTTTCTTCCTGATTGTGTGTGTCTGAAACCTGCATGTAATTAACTCCCAAACCATAGACTGAAGATGAGTTTCTATCCAAAAAGATTTCCATTTGTAATGGCGTTCCTGGAGATACATTCAAATTATCTGATATAAGATTCCCATTTTGTCTAACGCCAACTCCGAGAACTGGTTCCGGTGCTTTCTCAGTATAAACGGTCGTAATGTCTAGATTTCTAGTGATGAGATAAAAAGTGAGCATTTAAAATCAAATTAATAGAAGATCCAGTAAAGTACTTTGGAAGAAATTGTTATGTAATGTATTTGACTATCGAGGTTGGCCCGTTAAGTGCTGTGAAACTGTTTTGGACATGATATGTCAATGATCCCAACCAACCTTAGAATCCAAAAAAAAAAACATTCCATATCAAACTAAATCTATGCTTTGACAGACAATCGCCAAAACGTATAAAACCAATTAATGAACAAAAAATTCTCACGTGGGTTCTTCAAATCCAGCTGGTAGAACATCTCGTCTAACAACAGAATGGGTTTGATAGACCGTTGAATTAAGATTTCTACGCTGTGTTATGCACTTTACGCTCACAAGTTGCTTCAGTTTTCCGCTTTCTATAACAATTTTATGATAGAACGTTTTTATGTCCTAATAAGAAGAAATAAAGAAGAAATTAAACATGATGAGAATAAGAATGCTACGTGAATCAATTAATTGTAGTTGTTAATGAGTTTTCTGTGAAATCAATTCGATTTCCTACTTACTGTTAACTTATTGACGACTCTGATCAATCCACAGTCATAAAAGTTGATGAGACTGAGCTCAAAAACAGCAAGATTCTCATTGATCTTCGGCTCACATTTCTCAATCTTGTAACCGTTAAGACCTTCCAAATAAACTCGAGTATTATTGTCTGGCAGGGCTACGAGTACCTTCATTACATCTTCCGTACATTGTACTTTATGCTGCTGCCCTATAAAGAAAAGAAACAAAACGATAAAAATTTTATTGGCTTATGAATGAATGGTAATAGCATCATCAAGAACGAAATGATGAGTACAATGAAAATGAAACTTAGACAAATGTGAGCGATAAATGATGTTGACGCTATTGAATGGAAAAGAGAGAAGTAGACAAGACACACGAAAAAAAAGTAAAATCATAATCTTCTGTAATGCTCTTGTACATGAAAATGTTGAAGAATCAACGTTTCATGCGATAATATTTCATTGACAAAAATGTATGTTAGTAAACAATAAAGACTTTGAGATTACTTGCTTTTTGAGGAATGCATTTGATATTTGTTGCTAATTATATCGCATTAAATTCAAGCCATTTTGATAAAACTGTCAACTAAAATCAGAATTTCCTCAAACTTTGAATCAGAACCATCAATGAATAATTTTATTCTCTGTAAATTCACAGTTTCAGCCTAAACTTTTACGGTAAGTCTAGCAATTTTCTGCAGAATTAATCTAATTGTTAAGCTTTATTGCTTTCATTAGTTTTAGAACTTTTCTTTTACATATTTTATTCAGCAATTTATTAAGAATCCACAGGAGTTTAATAACCACGCAAATTGCTATTTTTATTCCAATATTCTATAATTTTTGAGATTAAAGAAGACAAACTCAAAATCTCATAACTGAATGGATGGACAGACCACAAACAATAGCGCTTCTTCTTCAAACAAATGTAATAGAAAACACAGCAATGTAAAAAGTTGTAAAGAAGCATCAAATAAGTGTTAATTAAATGTTATTAAATAGATTTTTCTCTCGTTGTAAGCAGTGGCAAGTTGAAGAATGAAACAGCAGTCAAAAAAAAAAGAGTAGTAAGTTTAACTAGCATGTACATGATGAAAGAAGAAAGGAGAAAAATTAAGCCTCAATTAATGAATGGCATGTTTGATGTTTGTGCCTTACTTCTATTTTACGCAAAAGTACGAGATTCAATGCAGGCATTTTCAACTAATTAATTAAGATGGAAATCATTTCATTCATGAAAGAATCTTCAGAATTCGGCATTTAAAAGAAGAAGATGGATAGAAATGGGAAAGAAGGAAGCAAGAAAAAAGCAAAATTTGCGTGCTTTGAAGCACAATACTTAATTTTTCCTTCACTTGACATCAACTCCACGAACCATAAAATAAAAAATTAATTTCATTTCTATTGAAATGGACTGTGCAGAAGGTACGAAATAGTAAGAAACTCAGTAAATACGTTATGAATGAAAGAACTTTCTAACCTATTAGTAATGACTTGTGGTCAGTTATTCAACGCATGCCTTCGTACAAAGAACAGAAATACAGAATAAATTTCATGGATGGAAGTAGCTAACTTTTTATTGCACATACGATTGTATGTTGTTAATTCATTCAGTAGGAAAGAACCATTCATTTCATCTTTTTATCGGTAATTAACCGTTAACCTAACACATTATTCTTTATGTAATTTTATTTTTGCCTTCCAAGTATAATAAATAATTTAAAGGGAGTAATTGATGGTATCTTTCAAGCTTTTAACAAAAAAATCAATCATAGATTAATTTCTGTACATACATAAATTACATGTTAGCTTCATTGAATGTACTAATCAGAAGCTATTGATGTTGATTTTTATAGCCTAATTGTGAAATTATTGAAAAATTATAAGAAACGTGTTGGACTTTAGGGCTTTTAATTTCAAGTCAATAATGCAACATTGATAGGATTTACAGTTCAGATTCTAATGAAACTTTCATGTCATTTCTGCAATAAAAAATAGTTTATGGATAGAAATCATTTCAAGCACTTTAGTTTTTGGATTATGATGGCTATAAATTTACATCCAGCCAGCCATCACGTTTAAGTGACCATAAAATTGTTTTCGGTGTGAATAAATGCATTAAAATGAGATCATCAAGTTATTTTCGATTCCTTCTTATTGATTACGTGCGCTGACCCAAACACAATCCATTACTTGGCGAGTCCAAAAGAAATTTTAATATCAAGAAAATTCTTCGAAAATGAAGCATATAATTTTTAATGTCTAGACGTGTACGAAACGAGGGGATGGAAAAATATTCATTTCCTCTCGAATTTATAATTAGCCACACTTCAATTTTATGCATTCAATTATAATTTAATAAATTAAAAAACAAATTATTCATTATTGTCCGCACCTTCTACATTTCATTCAATTATACTTGAAATTACGCAACTCATTAAAGCAAATAAGTTGCTTATTTCATCTAATGGTTCATTCATAAATGACGTACATCATGAAATGTGATTTTAAGACCCCTTAACCTCGTCTGTCACAAAATATATGCGACAAACCCAACCTTCCAAAAAGCTGTACATCATTAACGAACGACAGCAATCTAATCCAATCCATATTATCAAGGAAAGTAAAGTGAAGCATAACTTGCTTATTATTTCGCGGTTCTACATTACTAGGTAGGACCCTACAGTACATTAAGTTAACATTATATAACTTTAATTGTATTAAAGGTGTAACGGTTTGTAGGTATAGAGGTTACTTATACTTCCATTATTAAAAAATTTCAAGGTTTCATGAATTCACCGCAACAATTCGTTTTGTTTTGAAAGCAGAATTCCCCAACAGAATCTTTTTTTTTTTCATTTCTGACGTCGATGAGAAAAAAGAGAAGAAAAAAAATGAATTTTTGTGGTTAGCCGCATATATCATTTACTCAATAAAAGAATGAAATACTGACTGAGGCTTTTCTAAACGGTATAAAATATGTCATCGAGATGTACTTTTTTTCTATTTATTAAAAAATACTTTGTGGAATATCTATTGATAGATTTCCAATACAGAGAGACAGCTGTCAAGACTATTTGCGTGTTTAAATGCATTACGTGTTGCTGCTCAATGGTAAACCACAATGAAATTTTCTTTATGGATAATTTAGGTTATCAATGAATGGAAATTTAAGCATAATTGTTTGGTTGTGTCTTTTGGGTAGGTATGGGAGGCTTTATTGGGTAGGTTTGTATATCTCTTTGCTCGTTTATTTGTTTGAACAAAACATTTCTGGATCTTTAGTTTCTTAACATACTTTTGAGGCAAAACGTTTCTGCATCTTTAGTTACTGAAAATACTTTTAAGTCAAAACTTTTTGCATCTTTAGTTAAAACAAACTTTGCTTCTAAAATTGTGAATCATTCTGAGATGCGAAACAATTCTGCATCATTATTTTTTTAAAAATTTAACTTCCGCATCTTAATACGAAAAATATAGCCCAAAACACTTCAAACAAACTTAAATAAATCATTACCCAACAATCAGGCAGCACACCCCAATTAAATTCATTACCTGTAATTCAATAAACGATAGATTTATTGCATAATGCAAATTTAAATTCAACAACATTTCCTGAACATAATCTATTGAAGCATCATAGAACATCCGTCCCGGTTTTACTTTGAAACTTATCGTTGAAAATTGATTGCTGCTCTTTTCGCAGAACTGAACTCATTTCATCTATCGTTAGTCATTTTCTCTTGAGTAGACTAATGACTTCCACTGTCTAGATGTATGTTTTCACTGCTCTTGCACGCTTATTCATTCATATTGATGATGAAAGTCACTCTCACTCGCTAGTTGTGTCGTATTTATTTTTTTTTTCTCTATAATTTCATATGCAAATCATCATCAATTTCATAATATATCATAATGTGACACGAATATGTTGATATGCAAGAATGAAAAATGTTGTTAATGTTATGAACGGATTATAATGAAAATGTTGAAAGTTGTAGATAAATTGTAGTGCTCCGTTTTCTTGCTGTTCTGTAAGCTTTTGGCCTCTAAACCAGTAATGTTAGATAAACGCACGTCGACGAGGTTCAAAAGGAGAATTCTCATTAGAATTATGTAATTTGCTGTAATTTGCAGCATTTCTGTTTTACTCTTCATTATTATGCAATTATGACTTATTACTGTATGTTATTTCAATTGATGCTTATTGAGCAAGTCAGAAGATTTCATTATTTTGAAGGTTTCGCAGTGATTTTGACTAATTGGACTCTGGAGATTTTTGGTATTACACATATGGCATGGAAGGTAGCTTAAAGAATTGCAATTATCATTGATTGTTTATAAAAAGAAGTCAACAGATTTTTCCATATCAAATACGATTTTGGAATGATCAAGGCGAGCGATGAAAAGGTCGAGAACATCCAATCATGCCATACAGTAACGGAGAAAAATGGTAGTACAATAAGACTAGATCATTAAAATGGCATCAATGACTTAAGAGTCAGTGGCTTTTGCAATACTCTGTCTACAATTTCAATCTAAAATTGATTGACTCGCCCACAAAACTTGGTAATGTGAGAAATCAATGGAGTTTTGACATTATAAATCCTTTAGAGAGGCTTTGTTTTTGGATTGATCAATACGGAGGTTTAGACTTAATTTATATTGTACAATGGACTTTAAAGTTTTGGAATTTTTGAATTGATTGGTGTTGAATAATACAAAAGAAATTAGAAGCATCTGGACGATTGGATCTGATTCTGGATCTTGTAAACACGAAGTGTGCCCAATGCAGATAAGATAATTAATTTTTTAACTTCTTAGACCCCCCCCCCACCCTCGTAATTTGTATGAAAAAAAAATTTCCTTGTTTGAACCGTAACAAAATCTTAGACCCCCCTCCCCCTAAAAGCGTTACGTAATAAGTGAATGGCCCCTTTAGAAAATCGTTAAAATGTCGGCAAAATTTCAAAAGTATTTTTGAGCACTAGTCAACTTAATAATGAGTTATCTTCAATATTTTATCTTATAAAAAAAGCAAAAAATTTGACAACCAAAAGCTCATTACCGACAATGGCAAAAAAACACAAATCTTAACACAATAAATAAAGTAACTCATTTAAGTGTTCAACCACAAAAGTTGATAATTACGATAATGATAATGAACTGTAAGATAGTCGCCGGAGTAAAATTGTCGTAATTGCTACTTCACACAGCGATCTTTTGGTAATTTAACCTGCATTGTTGACTAGCGTAAAATCATTTCTAACCCATTTCAATGCGTTTTTTTTTGTAAGCAGCTTTGAAAACTAGATATAAAGTTTGTTTCTCTGCTTAGTGCGACTGATGCGGATAAACAAGATATTTACATGCTCAATTACGTGAATAATTTCTAACGACAACAATTGTTCATGACAAAAATTTGTTACTTTAATTTTCAGAGAGACGACATCATAATCAAGCATGCTTAACACGAATCAATCACTTCCTACTAAAATAAATAACTGTTAATGCTACTTGAGAAATTCTTCTTGTATCTTAAAAAATATTAGCAATAAAAGAGAGTCTGTTTGGAGATATATAAATAATACAAAGTGGGAGGACACTTATTAAACTCATCGGGTATATAACTGTGAAAAAAATATCAGAGTGCTATTAACCTTCACAAAATTCGCTTTATATATTCGAATGTGTGTGGACTTAAAAGTATTAAAAAAGATGTAGGATGCAAAATGTCATTAAGTCATCAATCGCGGATCTCATTTGAATCTCATGGATGATTCATTAATGAACAAAGACAATGAATTTCCTTAAAGATATAAATCCAGGATAAATTAGCCATTTCCGCAAGATTCTTAATGCATTCTAAATGCTTAATGACTAAACACTTGCAGATATATAGCATTCTAACAGTTCTAATACATTTTTATTGAATTCTATTCGTCCATATAATTTACAGTTGCAAATCACAATGTAATTTCTCGGCAATAAATTATGTAAATGGTTATTTTAGACGTTGAGAAATTATATCAGATGTATGGGCCCTAAATTATTGCAGGAACATTAATTTTATTGCATTATTATTCATTCAATTTGTTATTAATATGTGTGAAACTAGTTAAATAGTCGTGGTAAGAAAATAGAAGAATTTGTTAAACAAATTGTTTTACAATAGACCCAACAAAATGCTTTCTTTTAGGCGGAGTCTTTCATTTTAGGTAAATTGAAGCTGTCAATTTTGTTTCGAGATAGAAGAAAATAAGATAACAGGTGCTGTCGGAAGCAGGTAATGTGAAGGGTGAGTTGTTGGATTGTTTAGTGGGTCAAGCTAGCATTAATTGTCAAAGGAGCCGCATTTTGAGTATTTCTTTAAGCACTTAACTCAAGGAGTGTCAATGATTCATATTACATCTTCAGAATCGTTGAGGTGTGTCCTTTTGAAGATTAACTGTTATTTTATATTTAAATTCTTTACTGAACACACTTTTGAGGCAAAACTTTCGCGTCTTTTGCTTGATTAACTGCTGTTTTGCAACTCTCTTTTATTAAAATAATTGCTTTCTTTATGAATTCAAAGATAGTTAAAAGTTCATATTGAACAGTCAATTTTCGGACTTCAAAAGTATATAAATAAAACTCACAACATTCATTTTCTCAATTGGCATGCTCAATAATTCAAAAACAGAATAAAGACAAGATAAATCCATTGTCAAATCTTAGATTAATATCTCTAATTCTCATTCAAGAGCCCGGAATGATTTGTACTCAATTCGATACTCTCACAAAAATGGAAATCATTACGTTGCAAAAATTAGGATTCAGATTATAACATTTGAATCAAATTCTGACCTTTAAATATCCGTCTTTTTATTTTGTTATAAATGTTATATTATTCTTAATATTCAGATCGAAACAAATCATGATGATGATGATGATAATGTAATAGGAAACTGACATTAAAACAAAATAATAATTTATTTTCTATAGTAGCGAATGATATTGAATATTATTTGATTAAGTGTTTAAAAATTACACAGCTGGTTGATTATTTGAAGAATATTCTGGGAATTTTGTGTACATACAAGTTTCAATAAAGAATCAGATGCTTATATGGATAGAAAATATTGTATAATTTATGATATATCGCTAGCCAATTTAAAGATTCGCTCACAAAGATTATTATTCGTAGTTCTTATTGCCATAAAATTTTTGCTATTTATACCTTTAAGAACCGCTTTCGGCACATTTAGAAACTTGCTTGCCAACTTGATTGCCTGCCTGTTTTTATTATTTGAAATTCTTTTCTACCTACCTATCTGCTATTAATAACATTATAACGTGCATGTCTTCAGTTAACGTAATGATTGTCATTTTTATAGATAAAAGTATAATTAGATATTTTTCTGGCTTTTTATTCATATTCTTTTGTAAAGTTAATTAAATTCTACCAAAAATGAATTTAAAACGGCCAGGGCTGTCTCGCAGGTGCTACTGTTTATTTAATTTCTCACGGTAAATTGTTTCTCGACTTTATTAAGAACTTTCAAATGCTATAGATTTTTTGAATTTTGATGGAACAAATTAGTTGCACACCCCTTTAATTTATATGAATTTCATTCATGCTTCTTTTGCTATTCAAGCCATAAACATCGATAAAAAACACATTAAAATAATTATCAGGAGACTATCGTAACTGTTCAACTTAAGCTTATGTAGGCTTAGTCAAGGAAATTCTTGACAACTAATTAGCTGTTGACTTATTTAGATATTAATTGAAATTGGAAAAATAATTATTTTTAATTGAAAAGCACGCAAGTGTCAATATATTTAGAAATACTGTAATTAGTTCATAAATCTAACATAACAACACTGAAACAACCGAAAAGTGATTTGACAAAAAACAAAAAGAGTGGCAAAATGAAGACGATTGTGAAAACGTTGAAGATTGATGGAAAAGGAAATGATGATATAGAAAATTTATTTATGTACTTGACTACATAACTTATAAGATTCATTTTCATTATTCTTGCATGGGAATTTTCCCTCAATTGTTTTCAACATTACAGTCATGAGACAATTGTGCGCCGCATTAGTAGCAATGAGAACAAGCACTATTTAAATTAATTCTGCCATTTCTCTTTTGAATCTCGATTTCAAATGAATTGATGGAACGGAAAGTTAAGTGTCTTAGTCATACTTATTATTTATTTATTAATTTTTTCTGCATGACTCTTTTTCATCGTCAACACATTGTTGTGTGTTGCTTGCCTTTTCGACTTCGCATTGAGTAAGATTCAACTTAAATATTCTTCATGAATATAACTTGAATATACCTTTTTGCCATATTTGTAGTAACGTTGAATATTAAAATATATCGAAAGAAAAAAAAAAATCTTGTTTCTTTTTGGGCATTGAGTCTCTCGGCTTGTGTGTGAATATGTGTAGGTGTAAACTTCATTTGCAATCCTATAGCAAAGTCATTCGCATTCGTGATTTAATAATAGACACACAAAGAGAGAGAATATCAGAGACACAGAGCGAAAAAAAAAGATTGAAAGAATATAAAATAAACTTAAGGTCATTAAAACTAACAGCAACTTAACTAATAATTTGTGCAAACATTCAAGTATCATTCTTTCTGTATTTTACACAAGGTAATATATACGAAGAATATTGGCGACGACGATGTCCGCAAAAAAATATATTATATGATTCGCATGTGTGTTTGCATCAACAAAAATTCATGTGAAGCGAAGGAATACCAAAGAACTCACTTGTATTATTGCACAGTGCAGTTTAATCATTACAAAGAAGCCTTAAATGGCAAATGCAACAGCATTATGATGGTGAAGACAAGATACTTTTTTTTTCCTTCAATTTTTCGATCAACTCAAGGCATGTCAACCTTGAAACGTCTGATGGATGATTTTAATGGAGCAGTCTTGAGATTTGAAATAAAAAGTGGGAGGATTGAGTTGTGCATCACGAAGTCTTTTGCATGGCAAATGTCTGGAATGACTTTAAGCCTCGAGAGCTAGTTTGAAAGTATTGTTGAATGTGTTAATTTATTTTGCAATTTGTGAAAAATATTTCCAATAACACGAAAGCTTCCAGTTCTAATGAATATCAAGGTTGACTTTATTCTGTGTTAAAGAATTTAAAGTTTTCACACCTTGAGTCAACGTCATGTTCTTCTCTCGAGTCCATAATAATATAAAACACTTAATTATATGATCGCTGTAAAGCAGCTTACCTTTAGCATGGCAGGATCCAATGAGTAAGAATCCACAAAGTAGAATTGATAGCAAATTCAATTTTCTATACATAATAGTGTGCGTATAGGGAGTTGCTAACTTATTAAATATCTAGATTTATTTTTTATGTGCGATTAAATTTATTGATTATTATTTTTTTTCTCAAATTACTTAATTTTTCTTGCTTATTTGTTATAGCACTAATCACATGATTTATTTACTCTTTTTTCTTTCTAAATATTTATTTCCTTTCAAAGCAATTTATTTTTTTTTATTCTTATTTTTTTATCGCTTTAACTTTATTGCCTTAGAACTATGCAATCATGATCGACTTTGCCTGTATGTTAAAACACACCATTTGATTAATAGTGAGCACACTGTGAGGTATTAACTTTCTAAACAAATATAATTTTAAGATAAATTTGTTAGCATGTGATATAAGGCACGTCTTGCTAACACAACGTCTCGAAAACAACTAAAGTAAGTTGCGCGAGATCGTGAGCATAAAGGAAAGAAGACAAGAAAAAAAACGTTGAAACGAAAAGTTGCTAAAATAAGCATGTGTGTATGAAAAAAAACGAAAAAATAGCAACTACAGCCGATTTCCTCTCTTTTTATATTATTTGAGCCACGATGAGAGTGTCTGTGAATTGCTGCAATTTTTCGGCAGTTTTTTATTCTTTGTGGGCACTTTCGAAACAACGTCAATTTACCTCTTTTCTGGTTAGCTCTTTTTAAATGGGAGTAATGAGACTTTTAGAGTCTGAATGGTTTTCGTTACTGGATTAATTGGTCGTTTGGTAGATTATCGACGTGATTGTTTTTTGTTTTTGAAAATTCAATTTTAATCTTTAATTTTAAAAAACTTAATTTTCAATTTTTTATAATTTTTTTTAAGTTCTTTAAAAAAAATGCGTATTAAGTATGTACAACAATTCACATACCGGCCAAACTACTTATTGTACTTTAGTCTGTTTCTTTATTGCGAATTTTATTTTGTGTTCCTTCATGAAAGTCTTCTTTTATGTTGTTTTGTATCGCAAATCAAAGCAAATAAATGAATATAATCAAATGAATGAGATCTAATAATAAGTCATGGTAAAGGAAACTGCAATGCTTGTATATGAAGGAAACCTCAATTCTTCTTTTCTATCGTACTTACAAAATTTTCGTTTTCACCTTTTCTCTTTGCTTATTATTTATTTAGCAGAAATGACATATCACATATGATTTATATTTAATGATGTGTAGATAATTTTAAGAGAAGACAAATTTGACCTAAAATGTACTCTTTTTAGCACAAATGACTAGTCATGCTTATTAAAAAATATATTTTTTTAGAAGACGCTAATATACGGCAAAAAATATAAGATTTTAACTGTCTAGAGATTTGGCATGAATAAAAAATATTCTTGTTTCCACAATAGAAATCCTTTTATAGGTTTTGACACGATAAAAAGCTCTAGCTTGTTTCTGTTCTTTCATTCTTCATCTTCTCGTTTTAATCGTGACCCACGCAGTATTTTTAATAAATTTGGAACAATAACCTATTTGTCTTAGACATGAATTTTTAAGAGCAATAATTTCATTATGAAGCAATTAGAAGCGAAAATGGATTAACAATAAGACAATACATTGTTGCCGTTTAGTTCTATTTTATAAGGTAGTTTGGGAAATATCACAGAATTTATGATTCGTCATGGCTCTTATCCTAACTGCAAAAATGTTTTGAAATGTGTGAAGCATTTTAATAGACATGGGAGAATCGTGCATGAAAAATGCCATAAATAAAGTCATGCTTAGTTCCTAAGACATACAGCAAAATATTTCACAGAGAAAATTTGACCAAAATTCTACGGCAGTTACGCGGTGTGTATCTCGATGAAAGTTATTTTCCAGAAAATAAACTTTAAAGTCTTTCAAATTGAATTAATAAAGAACATTGATTTTGGAAATAGACGTTAATTTTGTCGTAAATTGATCATCATGGGTTTGGTAGCTTATGATGTCTATCACAAAATGATGATGATTCGAGAGCCATTCGAGACATGACATTATGTCAGCCAGAATTGATTTATAGCTTTAGTTCAAAAACCAAAAATTTACCTGATTCAGGCACAAACATATCTCCTCTGCAACCAATCTTCAATTCTATCCATGAAAATGACACAATTCAGCATCAAAATTGATAATTGGCAGCCTTTGGCTAGTTTTTTGCTTCTGTCATTCATTGTACCACTAGACATAAAGACTCTAAATACTAGCAGCCTGTTATTTCCTACAGCCGGCGTAAAAACACTCATTAAAGTTTAATTAAAGACATAATTTGACCAATTTAAAATTGATGATGACTGAATATGATTCTATATCCAACATATAAAGTGATACGTCTGCCTTCAGCTCTCAAAAACTTTAATAATATTGAAGATAATTTCATGCAGCAAGCAGGTTAAACATCGATAAAAAAAATGTCACGCATGGAACATGATTTATAATTATCCACCTTAATCCCATTGATAATTATTCTCAGCATCGAATATTTTCAAAAAAAAATCCGATACATACTCTACATGATTATGAAGAAGCAGCTCAGTAGGCCAAAAGTTCGAATGAGGTTACTGAATTTGCATCATCACTTAGCTATTTAGATCCAAACAGAGAGTCAAGTACTCAATCCTCTTAATAGTAAGAAATTCAACAATTCTTAATGCTTAATATCAAATAAAAAAAGATATTTTCATACCTTTATTGTTTAAAAACCTGATTGTTGATGATCTAATGCATCGATTGAGAAAGGAAAAGTATGAAATATTTTTACATTGAGGTAAGTTTTATAGCACGAACCTTACAATCTCATTATCCATCTTGAAAGTACTCATTCAATAGCCTAAGAAGGGAATTTCGATTTCTATTAGCATGCACACGTGCAAAAAAATAGAAAAATCATGTTTAATCTCCGAGTGGCTTATTTGTCTTGAAAGTAAAATGTTTAAGTCTGTTTATAGCTACCCCGAACATACAAAGAGCATGCTCAGAAAAGTGAGTATATAAGTGAGTCTACTCAAAAATTATACTCATGCAAGCTCATTCAACTGAGCATGCTCAGGAGTTCATTACGAATGTACTCACTTTATTTTTTTACAAAAACTTTATAAGCTCACGTGAGTGCATTCAATAAGTATACTCTTGAGAATATTAAGAACATACTCATGTGAATTCACTCATATGAGTTCACTTACTGAATATACTCATGAGCATATAACGAGCAAACTCACTTCTGTGTCACACAATTTTTTTTATATTCTCATATGAGTGCACTTACTGAATGTACTCATGAGCATATAATGAGCAAACTCACTTCTGTGTCACACAATTTTTTTTATATTCTCATATGAGTGCACTTACTGAATGTACTCATGAGCATATAATAAGCAAACTCACTTCTGTGTCACACAATTTTTTTTATATTCTCATATGAGTGCACTTACTGAATGTACTCATGAGCATATAATGAGCAAACTCACTTCTGTGTCACACAATTTTTTTTATATTCTCATATGAGTGCACTTACTGAATGTACTCATGAGCATATAATGAGCAAACTCACTTCTGTGTCACACAATTTTTTTTATATTCTCATATGAGTGCACTTACTGAATGTACTCATGAGCATATAATGAGCAAACTCACTTCTGTGTCACACAATTTTTTTTATATTCTCATATGAGTGCACTTACTGAATGTACTCATGAGCATATAATGAGCAAACTCACTTCTGTGTCACACAATTTTTTTTATATTCTCATCTGAGTGCACTTACTGAATGTACTCATGAGCATATAATGAGCAAACTCACTTCTGTGTCACACAATTTTTTTTATATTCTCATATGAGTGCACTTACTGAATGTACTCATGAGCATATAATGAGCAAACTCACTTCTGTGTCACACAATTTTTTTTTATTCTCATATGAGTGCACTTACTGAATGTACTCATGAGCATATAATGAGCAAACTCACTTCTGTGTCACACAATTTTTTTATATTCTCATATGAGTGCACTTACTGAATTTATTCAAGAGCAAATTGTGTACCTTTTTTGAAAAAATGTCAGCTAAATCGAAAACGTTAAAGTAATGAGTTTTTAAAGAAGCTGAATCTTTTTTCCATTTTTTAAAAATGTCAGCTAAATCGAAAACTTTAAAATTGGTGCTCAATAAGATCCAAACTTCAAAGAACTTAGTTCGCCTGTAAAAATATAATAATTTAAGTATGTGTTATGCCATATCTAAATTATTATGTATTTACAGACAATAGCTCCAAGGAAAAGTGTGAGATGACAGAAGTTAAGCAACGCAGAAGATATTTCAACAAGGATGGGTGACCAGATTTATATGTTTCATTCTAAGTATTTGAGATAAAATATTAATAATTTCTAACTCCTTTCAAAATTATTCACAGAAATAAACGGAACAGTACTTAATTTCAGCTAACCTATAATACTCAAATTTAGCTTAATTAATTTTTTGAATTTTGCAACTTCACTTGAGTGCACTCATGAGTGTGCTCAGATGAGCATATACTCATAAATATACTCACTAAGTATATATTCTTTGAGTACGTTTATGAGTATGTACTCTTTGAGAATATTTATAAGTATGTACTTTTTGAGAATGTTCATGAGTATATTCAATAAAAATGTTACATGAGAAAAATGTTGCATGTGACATGTTACCTTCTCATTTGAGTATGCTCATGAGTTTACTCAATGAGCTTAATACATGTCACATAGGAATGTGCTCACTGAGCATGCTCAAGAAGGTACCGTAAGCGCATCACTGAAATGTATGAAAATGAGCACATTCTCACAAAGGCTAATAGGCTCACAAATAATGTGCTCTGAGCATGCTCATTGTATGTTCGGGTACGTCATTTGATTCTTTAAAGGTGCTATGTAAAGGTCTTGGGAGAAGTCACTGGGGCTTTCGCGATGTCAAAACAACCTTCTTGTAATGATTTTCTGATTGTTTTAATTGTCCTTGATCTGTCATGATAATTGACTATGTAGTGTCATATAGTTCGACTACAAAATTTGTTGATGTTCGAAGAGAAGCCTTTTGACATCAACATAATTTTATTTTTAATACCAAATGTTCAACAATACAACTCGGGTTTAATCCCAAAGCATTTAAAAGCTATCTCAATAAAACTAGGTACAGCATAGAAATTCTTCATTTTGTTCCAAAATGTACAACAATCATAATATTTTTTGAGGGAATAATGATAAAACTATATTTTTGTATCCAAGAACAATCATTAAAATGAACATAAAAATCCATAAAAAAATTTCTTTTTCCTCTAGTCTAATGGTTCTTCATTGTCTTATTATGATACAAATTATTTTTGGCACAATTTAAAGTAAAGATCGTGCGAGTTTCATTTTCTATCCAAATTGCTTTTGGCCATCAAAATGTGAAAAAATTGTTTATCTTTTCTTTTCTTTCTAATCATTAGAAGTGAGTGCCGCAAGAACACAAGAAACACGAGAAAATAATAATGACACTTAAATAGCTTAAACTCTCACTGAACAAATAATTGCATGAGTCTTTTTCACATGATTCTTAGTAAGGAATATCAATTTCTTAATGTTCTTCTAATGTGGTTCATTTTCATGTTTCATATTCAGCTCGTTTCGGAGAAAGCAGCATGGCAGATGCTTCAAAATTTTAAATCATTATTTTCGCTTATTTTCACGATGAATTTAGCTGGAATCTCATCCAACCCTATTAGGTACCTACTCCACATGACTTTTTAAAAATATTTCTGGGATTACCAAAAATCAGCGATCATGCACAACCGTTATGAAATTTAAACGTGTCTGCAACAAGCTACACATGTGGAATTGTGTAGAACTCCTGAAATTCTACTCACCGCGAGCTATTCAAGATCTTTGTTTAAGAAAAATTAAATTTATTTTCCGGCTATTAAGTGCATTTACGCAATTACTTCTTAGAAAATTCAATTTCTATTGATAAATGGAAGATTTTGGGGATTTTAGAGATTTAGATGTGATTGGAAATGGTGAGTAGGTAGTGAAATAAGTTAAAGTTCTGATGAATGTTTTGTTAGGTTGTTTTAGAAAAAAATGAAATTAAACATACAGCAGTGTTTACAGAAGTTTCTATGCTTCATGTAACAAGCATAAATATTTATAAAAATTTCATTCCAAAAGTCTTCTAATTTGCTGATCATGTCTTCAACGGGAAATAATAAAGCAACAGTTGGCATGCACATTACCTCGTGACCTTTAATTTTCATCCTTTGTTGACATTTCATGCTTAAATTTAATTTTTTATATCCTTCGTCCTTTAGGAGCATATGGAATTGTATATAGAGCAAGAGATCAAACAAATGGAACTTATGTTGCACTCAAAAAAATTAGGATTTCCATCTTATCGGATGGAATTCCAATGACTACATTAAGAGAAATTTCTTTATTAAAAAATCTCGATTCCTACAATCATCCACATATTGTAAAGTGAGTTGAAATGTCATTTATGTTTTCGTCATGTCCTGCAATACAGTTTTATAAAAATCCTTTAAAGACTTTTAGACGTAATTCATCGAAGAGCGGAAAGAGATAATATGTTGGAATTATATCTTGTATTTGAATACTTAGAACGTGATTTAGCCGATTACATATCTCATTTACCAACCTCAACAATTATACCTACACATCAAATTCAGGTACTTCCTCATATCCTTTAAATCCTTTGAATTAGAAATTTTTCAATTTCTTCTGGATGTTTTGTAATGTTTTTGTCTAAATTTTTACCACGTAGCGATTATCTAGAGAACTTTTAAATGGAATTGACTTCCTTCATTCACATCGTATTATTCATAGGGATCTGAAACCTTCTAATTTACTAATAGCTAGCGATGGTACTCTTAAGGTAATTTTACATCAATTTCTACTGTATCTTTTTACTAAAATTGAACTTTCTGCTTATTCTTCCTACAGATTGCAGGTAAAGGTTTAATTTAATCATTCAATTGCATATAATTATTCAAATTCTATTCCATAAATTAACTTGTCTTTAAACAAGACTTCGGACTTGCAAAATCATATGACTTTGAAATGAGACTTACATCCGTTGTTGTAACGTTGTGGTACAGGAGTCCTGAAATTTTATTATGTCAATCATATAATAGTGGTGTAGATATTTGGTCAGGTGTGTTGTCAACTTGTCTATTCTAATTAGAATCCTTAATTAAATGTTAAATTTCACAGCTGGATGTATTATAGCGGAAATGTACGCAAAAAGGGCTTTATTCCCAGGAAGCAGTGAAGGAAACCAATTGGGAAAAATATTCGAGTAAGATTTTTTGTTTATTTTATGATTTACCATATATGGGTTATGCTGCTTTGTGAATATTAAGTAAATATTGTTTTCTATAAACAATATCAGATGTCAGTAATTAAATGCCGTATAAAATTTAATAATGCGACACTTGACCATGCTAGTCGCTGGTTTAGTATATTAAGTAGATACAAAATTCAGTCAGTTCAAATTATTTTAATGTAAAATTGCCAGGCAAATAATTAAAATAGATTTTATGAACAATATAAAACTCACTTGAGTCGCTTCTCTAGATTCTATCCGAAATGAAGATTAAATATAAAACTTTTCCGATTTTCAATTCTCTTTTCAACAATTTTCATGTTTTACGTATGTTTTTCACCAATGAAAATTTTCTTTTTGATGATCAAAATATTGTTTATAATTGAAGTTAACTTCTAGATTACTGAAGTTGTGTAAAACATTACAAAATACTTTTAAAGAATCAAAAAGATATATTCGATGTAATTGCTTTTAAAATTAAGAATCAGCATAAAATCATTCGAAATTTGAATGTTTTAATCATAGTCAATTAATTCAAGATATCATCGAGGCAGAAATGAAGATTTTTAAAATCATGAGTAACGTTTGTTCTTAAAAACAAAAATTCAAATGTTCGACCACGCTATGTGCTATTTTTTCTAGCATTTAAACATTGTAGAATCGAATCAAATTAAAATCATTTACGCCCTCTTGATTTTATTGAGCTTTTTGGGCCATGTTAAGATTCTTTTCATTTTAGTCTTAGATAGTTTAATTTCGGATTACATTCTTTAATATGTTTTCTATTACTGTACTTGATTTAACAATTGCTGAATGTACATTTTGATTGACATGATTTAGTTTTTAATATTATAACATGTGATTATCAAACTGAATTTATTTGAATGAAATTGTTGTAAAAGGAACCAGTTTTGATGACGTTTGAATGATTCCAATTTCTACAGAACTTTTCTGAAGAAAATCATTTTAAAAATTCTTTAGAGCTTAAAATCAAACTGAAGAATCATTGAATGAATTTTTGTAATGTTTTACGGTCCTCAAACTCTATTAAAATCTATTCTTTAATCATCAGTTTCGTATTTTTGAGCAAGGTTGTTTAACTTAATTCTTAAACATCAAATTTCATCAACAGATTAACAGGAAAACCAAATATTGAGGACTGGCCGAATTGTTCAGTGGATTTAGATCAATTTTTGATGACTATACCATGCGAACCAAGACAACTTATACCAAGACTGGATGACTTTGCAAATGATCTGTTAAAAGTAATTTTACACAATTTTTTTAATCCTTTGAACATTTATTAAGTTTAGAATTAATTTATCATGACAGAATATGTTAGCTCTTCTACCTCAAAATCGATTATCGGCAAGTACGTGTCTTCAGCATCCTTATTTTAATCAAGAACCACTTTGATATTTAGAGGGATAGCTGAAAAACTGTAAATAATCCAATACAAATCTTTACCTGCTAAGTGTTCTTCGAAAATTCTATTTTTATTGTATCACTTATGATTGATTCATTTTTAATAAAAACAGTTTTTTATTACTTTTTAAATATTATACAATTGTTATACCTTAATTATAAATTATTATATTTGTCTTCAGTTGCGCTTCTCACTTAAAATTTCAAAAAGAGCTAAAATATTTTTTTTTTTCATCTTTTTTACATGAACAACAAAATTATTTTTTTATTTCTTTGATAAAAAAAATCATTAAGGCTTCTCGACTTCCTACATAAATTCTATTCGTTTTTGCTTTTTTATGGCTTTACAAAATTGTCATCGATACAGTATTCGAGATCATTTTCCATAATGAAAAAAACCTTTTTATACATTAAATGTTTGTATTTAGTTCCGAAAAAAATAGTTCTCAAGGCTCAACCAAAAAATGCATTCTTAGAAAGAAAAAAGGCAGAAACTTAAATTCACACTTAATTGTAAATAGAGGAAAATAATTTTTGGAAGCTTTTCTTTTTCTCATTGGACAATTTTCTTCAGCTTGATTCTTTTGCAGTTATTGACTCTTATTATTTTATCTAACACATGGAAGCAATTAAAAATTACAGAATTAAGTTTTGAGACAAGTATTATTTTTCTTTTTTATCTGGTTGAACTTTTGGTGGCGCTGGTGGCTTGAAGCATTGAAGGAGGAAGGCTGTGTATAATACAAAACCAACTGCAATTGCTATTAATGCATACATGAACAAATTCAGTTCTGGCTGTCGGAATCTGTTCTTTCTCAGCCAGTCGAGGACTTCTTCTTCTGACATTATGTCACCTGTGGATGAGTAAGAATGGAATACAATTGAGTTTATATTTATTGCTTATGAATTTTATGGAAGTTTAATTGGCTAATTGCTCGGTATAGTCTAATGGCATCTTAGGGTTTAGTCAAGGATATGATTTCAAAAATGACTTATGAACCTTGAGTCTAGCAAGCAACCAGACTAAGAACAACAATGCGTACCTCGATAAATTGAGGGGAATCTCTTGCGGAAGTATACCAATGCTGGCAGTTTTGTTACACCCCACTTTCTTGCATATCGTGAGTCTGCCATTTTTACGAATGTTATATCTAAATTATCAGTTTCGCTATCAATGTTTTCTAATTTCTCAAGAGCAGCTGCACTCTCGTCATGATCGTGTTCGACTGTAAAAAAATAAGAAGAAGAAAAATAAATGAAATTTTTGACTGCTAGATGTCGCTAGTTTAAAAATTTTGAAATGTGTCTCGGCTAAACTTACAAAAGTACACTGTTAAAAATTCATTTTCATCGAGAAGCTTATCAAGCATCTTACGATTTACTTCTTCAATTTCGTTTTTAATCTCAAAAACATCTTGTGATGTTAACCAAGCTAATACTTTATCGTATTGATGTAAATCGCCGTCGTACAACATTGGAACTTGTTTTCTGAAAAACAATTAATTTTTTTGGATTACAACATCCTCGAATTTCACTAATTTATTCACACTTACCGGAAGTATACCAATGATGGTATGTTTGTAACTTCATACTTATGTGCTGCCTCAAGACTTGCAATTTTAACAAAATCAATTCCAAACATGTCTGCTTCACCATCAATGTTTTCAAGTTGCTCTAAAATTTCTTCACATTCGGCACAGTCTTCGTCATCTAAAATATGTCATGTAGAATTTATAATATCTAATTTGGATCTGAAATATCTTACAGAAGAAGACACACATAAGTGGCGATTCTTGCATCAATCGTTCCAACATTCTGTCATTAACCTCCTCAATTTCATCAGCTAATTCTCGGTTGTCATCGTCGATAAGCCATTCAAGTACACTCTGCTCATTTTGTAGATCACCTTCAAAGATCAATGGATTTCCATTTCTAAAGTACACTAATGCAGGAAAAGTCTTAATCGAATAACGTTTCGCTAATTGTGGATCTTGAATTTTGACCATATGAATACCAAATACATCACATTCATCATCAACTTCCTCCAAGCCTTCTAAAATCTGATCACAAATGTTGCAGTGTACTTTATCTAAAAGATATTTAAAAATAAATGTAAATCCTTCAGCACACAGTTTTTAAAAATAATCATTTTTCTTTGGAGAAAGAAAAGAAGCGGAAGAAAAGCCGAGGATGAAAGCATTATACCTGCGGTGTCATCTCTTAAATCGCTGACAAAATTTAAGAGGAAGATTTTAGAAAGATTAAAGTCTATTTTTAATCTTAAATAGATTTATCTTCTGAAAATTGTTAGATCAGACTTTGCTGTCCTGAATTTGTGTGACAACAGGAATGAAGATTGTGTTATGGATGTTTAGTTAAAAGATTATGATGGTTATAGGTATGAATAAGAGATTTTATTAGGTATTAAATTCAATTTAATATACTAAGCATAATAAAATGATTGTAGGAATCATGAAGAAGCTACAGCATGCAGCTTTATCAAAACTACTAGGATGTTATAAGCATGAATTTAGGGTATGTTACTAAATGTCTTTATTAATTATCCTCAAAATTAGTCTCAACCTTTTAGGAATTAAGGTTCAAACAGGTTACAAAAGGATAAATAATAAAAGCATCAATTAACCCACCTGAAACTTTAGTAAAAGCAGAACTATCTAAACTAGCCTAAAATATACAACTATGAATAATACAAAAAATAAGCACTTACAAAAGTATACAGCTAAATATTGTGTCTCTTCGACCATAGTCTCAAGCATCACTCGAGTAATCAGTTCAATTCTATCTTCAGTTTTTTGTTGAATAAGCCATTGCAATACTTCCTCTTCCTCCCTCAATGATCCTTCATATACATTAGGGATGTTTGCCTCAAAATAGACAAGAACTGGATATTCACTTATGCCATACATCTCAGCAATTGAATAATCCTGAGTTTTCACAAATGTGATGCCATGACGATCACAGTCATCGTCAATGTTCTCAAGTTCATCTAGAATTCCTCCACACTGCTCACAATCTCCATTTGACTTATCTAGATATCATTATGAAATATAAAAGCATTATTTACGGAACAAGGATGATTCTTAAGCTAACATGCGACAATATCAAGTATATGAGCAGTGTTTGTGACAAAAGATCTAATCTACAGTTTGACAAAAAAGGAATCAACAATATTTTCAAAAAAAAAACATATGCTAATCTACAAATGTGGAAGTGTCAACATTCAGGTTATTGAAGAACTGGGGGGTTTCATAAATTCAAATCACCCTCGCGTGAATCTGTAGCAACGTGCTCCTCAATATGAGGAACACTATCTCCACTCCCACTTTCAACATTTTGATCAATTGGTGTAGGTGTTGCAGCTGCGTGTGTATCTTTTTCTTTTTTATGGCGCTTTTTTACTGTTTTTGAATTACAATAATCGCAAAGTGTCTTGTTCCCTAAATAAAGTGTGTCGTCAAGCATTTAACAAATTCTAAATTAATTTTGTTACGTCTACAAATTACTTCAAGTGATATAATCATCTAGCTACAAATTTTCATCTGTTTCTACTATTTTTTTGGTTCTATAGATTTAATTTCTTTTTAAATATTTTAAAATTACTCACAAAAGTACACAGCAATTGATGGCGATTCCTCTATAAGTTTCTTAAGTTTCGCACCTTCCAAATCTTCAATAATATCTCCACCTGGATTCTTTTGTGTCAACAACCAATTGAGAATCGCTTCTTCATCATATAAATCACCAGCATAGATTACTGGCTCTTTTGAATGTTGTTTGTAAAATACAATAGCTGGCAATGCAAAAACTCCAACCTTGTTGAAATACATTTGAGTGAATTATTATTATGTTAATTATGTGTTACTGCTAGATTTACCTCCTTAGCCATTTGCCTGTCATCGATCTTAACGAAATTTATTCCTGCACCATCAGCCTCATCGTCTATGTGCTCAATTTCTGCCAACACTCTTGGACATTGCTTACAATCATCGCTATCTGTTGGATTGGAATTTCATTTTTAATAGACATTAAAATTTTGAATAGTTTTGACTAAGATTGTGAGCTAAGTTTAGATTCAAATGTAATAAGATCAAAGAACAAAGAAAATCGAAGACTTCAAGGGAATTTCAAAATCAACAGCACGTGAGGTCATATCACTTTACAGACAACGATAAAATCTTCAAGTTGGCAATTTTATTATTAAGATTTTAGTAGATTCCGATCGAGATTCGTGTACACAAAATTAATGTATAAATTTATAATGATCATGAATCCAAAAATTGTTTATATCATAAATTTACTCACAAAAGAAAACAGCAAGATAATCGGATGCTTTTCTCATTTTCTCAAACATTTTGCGGTTCGCTCTTTCGATGCTGTCGGTCATTTCCATGTTGTCTGGATTTGTGAGCCAATCCAAAACTTCTGTAAGGTGAGAATTTTGATATTTAGAAAGTTTTTATAGGCTATAACAGCATGAACACATGTGCTTTACCTTCTTCATCATCAATATCGCCATCGTAGTTAATTGGTTTTCCTAAAAATAGCCGTTAAATAATAGTAATTAATCAATATAGCCATAACTCTTGTTATTTCATTACCTTTCCTGAAATAAGTCAGACCGGGTCTGTTTCTAAACCCGAACTTTTTAGCCATTAAATCGTCATTCGCTTTAACGATTTTAATTCCGTATTCAGCAGCTTCGTCATCTATCAATTCGATATGTCTTAAAACTTTTGTGGTTGTTTTCTCGTCTTCTTCATCATCTGAAATTTTTTTTCATACTTTGTGTCATGTCAATGTCCATAGACTTATATACTCACAAAAGATCACAGCTAAAAAATCTTTTGCATCGATATATTCAAGGAAAGTCTCACGATCGACATCCTCTATGCTCTCGTCATTTTTCTGCAAAATTATCCAATCGAGAACTTCCTTTTCATTTGATAAATCACCTAGATTGAAAGATTTAATCAAAAGTAAGGTTAAGATTCTTAAACTAGGTTATGAAAAAAAAATTGTGTGAATATTACTTCCATACCTTACATCCTACAGAAAGCTTGTTGAAAGAGATATTTTTTTTTGATGCGAACAAAATTCATGATTTTTTTAAGATTTTAAAAAATTTATTGAAATTTTTTTGAAAAAAAATTTTGAATTTTAAAAATTAATTTTAAAGATGAACTCAAATTACATTTTTAAGGTAAATCATAAGAAATTACACATCTTGAATTTAGTTATTGTGTTAAGTCTAATAATCAACGAAACAAAGTGAAATACAAAAAGTATTTTTTTACGTAATAATTAATAGTGCAAAAAATCTCAGACACTTCTTAGAGGCTCAAAAATTAAATAACAATTAAATAAATAATATATCTTAATAACAAAAAAAAAATAGCAATAATTCAACAATTTACTACATTATTAAATAAAGTGTATTGTTGTATACATTTCATTACGTTTTCTTTTTTTTTTCTTGGCAGCACGATTCTATGTGCGAGAAATTCTCTCTTTATTTCAATAAAAACCATCACAGAATTTTTTTTACCATGTGCGAGTTTGTTTGAGCTGCTTAAAAACTAGACGACTTTCAAATTATTATTTAATTATAACAGACTCTGTGTTTGTGTGTATAAACAACTCTACAAAATATTACATTGTGCACTATAATATTTTTTTAAATATAATTTTCTGGTGGTTTCTTTTACAAATGGATTTTTTGTGTTAGACAAATAAACTACTTGCTTGGGAAATGTAAAAACATAAATTTTGAGGCTTATTCGATCAAAGTGTGGCAACTGATTATTTCTGGTATTTCATTAAGATTGATTTTACATGAAATTGTGATGAAATTAGCTAGAAAATTTATTGCGAAAATTAGATTATTTATAGCACACAGGCGGTGAGTTTCTTGGAGTATTCTCAACAAAACAGGATTATAACTTAGAGATTACTCCGAAAAACCCGCCAAAAAAAACAATTCAAATATTGAAAACTTATAGAAAAGAGCTTAAATATGGCAGTAAATTTTTATGAAAACAAAGCAATTTTCTTGTTCGCCAAAAACTTTTAAATATTAAAAATATTTCAAAAAAGATGGTCAATTTTGACCTTCTTAACATGAATCTAAAATTTCTCTGAATTTTTTGGACGAGTCATTAATTTGTAGCTATTAGAGTTGATCAATAGTTTGAAAATTTCTCAAAAATCAGATCCCAAGAAATACAATTACTGTTGGATAACAAAATGATTGCAATATAGTCTGTGTCCCTGATTGTCTTATTTGATAGAACGACGGAGTTTTGACACCCAAACACTTTCTTTCGTCAATAATTAATCAGAAGGACTCAAATTTGAGGTTAAAAATTCCTAGCTCTATCTATAGCTACCCAATTACTTCTAAATCTCATATATCTTGTTAAAGTGCTTTTCTTCCTTAAAATCATCGAATTAGCTAGAAGATTGACTCAATGTCTTTTCTAAGACAGAAAGAAAGAGCACAGGATAGTTTCCACCCAATGATCGAAATTAATTCAGTCATCAATTTATTTTAAAGCTTTACTTTACATATTCCCAAATTTCTACTACACATTAACTTCGTGACAACGACTTCTACAAATTCATTTAAACGATACAATAGATTTTTGAATTTTTTTTTTTATATAAATGGATATTGACCAATCGATTGGACCAATTAAATTGCACAGCATCAATTTAATTATTTTTTTTTCATATAAAATCTAACTACAAAGTGAGAAAGAAAGAGATTAATTAAAATAAAGGTTAATGACGATGATGTGATAAAGAAGGATAAAAATTATTTATAATAATTGCAAAACACACAAGTTGAAAGTTGATGTGGCGAAAATTAACAGTTTTTTAGTCTACTTCGTATAAGAAAAATAAAATAAAAGAATGTGGTTAAAAATATATATTTAAAAAAAATTGTTTTTATCTACGGTGTGAGCTTATTTTAGAAAAAAAAGTTTAAATCAAAAGAAAACCAAGATGATAACTAAGAACACATAAAGAAAAAAAACACGTTGAACGAATCGAAAGTTTTTATGACAATTTTTTTTTTAATTATTTTGGTCTTTTTTTAAACATAATTGTTCAGAATAACAGAAAATTAGTATGTATGAGTGTGTTTTCTTTTAATGCGAATATAGTTGCATTCGCATCAGTGCTTTCTTTTGCTTTTTACTCATTATCGCGCCGGGGGGTTTATTCAATAAACTCAAAGCATTTTTCGCGACACCTTTAGTCTCTTTTTTTATATAAAAAAAAGAATAATAATAAAAAAATAAGTTATAGATGAGAGATTGTCATTCCAGAGAGATGAAAATTAAGAGAAAATTTTGGATGGAATTTAGAATTTGGGTTCGGAATAAAAATAATTTTCCGAACTTTGAAACAAAAATCAAAAAAAGTTTTCAGCAAAAAAGTTGCAAAATAATAAAAATAATAAATTAAAACTGATTAAAAATTTACCACCAATTGCCTAATTGAAAGAAGCCATCATCATCATCTTGTGCATTTTTACCTTTATCCTTCTTATCCTTTGCCTTCTTTTCTTTCTTATCTTCTTTCTCTTTCATGTCTTTTGAATCCTTTTCTCTTGGCTCACGTTCCTTCTTTCTCCTTTCTTTCTCCTTAACTTCTTCTTTGTCCTTCTTTCCATCTACATCCTTATCAGCCTTTTTTGATGCCTTTCCTGAGTCTTGAGATGCCTTCTGTGGAGTCGGTGGGGATTTTTTTGTGGCACCTTTCTTATCTTTTTTCGTCTTTCCTACCGCCTTATCATCATCATCAGTTTTAAATACAAATGTAATTTCATTTTGAACTGCTTTCGAATAACCAAGGTCAGTTTCGGTTAATACAGCAAGTTTGCTCGATGACTTATCAGATTTTGTTGGACAACAGCGATATGGTTCAACATAAGACTTCTGAGATTTCTTTGCATTACTATTTCCCTTTTCGATTCCAAAGTAGAGACATTCATCATCTGTTTATATAAAAAACATTTTGTCAGTTATTTTTGATATGAAAAATTTTTTTAAAAGATTTTTTTAAACCGACTTTTTAAATTGTTAAAAAAAATTCATCAATTAAGATTTTAAAATTTTTTTCATCATCATTTTGTTAGTAAAATTTTTCTTGTCAAAAATCATATCCAAATATAGATTCATATCCGAATATGAGAAGAGTTTTCTTTGATATGCGATTAGAGATAGACAGCTAATTAATTTTTTAATTAACTGACAAAATGTTTTTTAAATTGTTTTGATTTAGCTATTATACATAAACTTTTTGTTTTAGATAGAAATGCATCGAAACAAGGAAAAAATAATGCAAAAATTTCTGATGGTTTTTGACGACTTTTTTTCATATTTAATTTCTTTTTAAAAACATTGTGTCAGCTATGATTCTCGAATATACAATAAAGTTTTCTTTTTTTCTAAAGAAATCGACACAGTCAAATAACAACAACAACAACAATATACTTTGTGATCCCTTTTTGTATGTACTCAAAAGCTCCATCAGAAAGCTTTTTCGTAAAATTTTATTACATAAAATATAAAGCTATGATGTGTCTGGTTAAAGATGTGTTTGTGTGACTATTACTATTCTTTATTACTATTTAGAGTATGAGATATTAAAATGGAAAAAAAGACAGGCGAGAGAATTTTCTGTTTTTTTTTGTTCGCATCCGATACTTACTCTTTTGATCAACAAGCCACTGGAGGACTTTTTTCTCATTTTTCAAATTACCTGGAATGGAAATGAAAAAGATCTGTTAATCATGATGATAAGGTTTTGTAGATTTAAGAGAAATTGTAGAGCATAAGTAGTCATTTTCAAGTTGAATCTATCAAAAATTGACATAATTTCTTGTTTCCAAAGTCTCAATCAGATTCTAGTTTTAAGAATTTCTATCATATAATTTTAAACTATTATCAATGCTTAAACTAATCTCAGTACAATTTCTTTGAAAATTAATCATAGTTTGAGATTCAAAACCTTATCAAGTTTATTGCAAAGAGTTTAATTCAAGTCTAGAACCCAAATGAAACTCAGATTTTAACAAATTTATTTGTAAGAAAAAGTAGAGTCGATTCGACACAAACTTAATTCAAAATTCATATAGACTTCAAACTTTGTTCAAATAAATCAATAAAGAAAATTAAAACTGATCCTTACCGTCAAACATAATTGGTACTCCAGTTTCATAATAGATTAAAGCTGGGAACGAGAAAACTCCAATTTCATGAGCAAGCTTAATATCATTTGTCTTAACAAACTGAATATTTTGCTTGTCAGTATCATCATCGATGGTTTCTAATCTCTCCAAAACTGCTGGACATGTCTCGCATCTTTCACTATCTGCATAAACAAAGAAAAGCAAGAAATCAATGGTAAATTATATTCATGTACAGCATGTGGATTAAATTCGAAATTAACGCAAAGATTCAATAACTCACAGAACAAAACAGCCAAATGATCAATGTCATTAATCAAAACTTGCAATGTACGACGATCAACTAATTCAATAACATCGGGTGTAGCTTCAATGAGATCCAAGACCCACTTTAAGATTTGATCTTCATTCATCAAATCTCCTGTATAAATAGTACGGAATTTATGGCGGTAGAAAGCTAAAGCTGGCAGTGTTGGTAAGTCATATTCCTTTTCGATGCCTTCATCACTTGTTTTTACAAAGTCAATGTCCTTTTCTTCGCACTCATCATCAATGTTTTCCAATTCATTTAAGATCTTGTGTGACTTCTTGTCTCCTTCTGGGTCTATTTGGGATTTTAGAGATTATAGATAGTAAAGATTTAATAAATAGCTCAAAACTTACAGAAAAAGACGACAATGTGATCATTTTCAGACAAAATCTTTTCCAACATTTTCATGTTGACTTCCTCAATCTTTCCGGGAATTTCCAAAGTATTTTCGTCAGTCAACCATGCAAGAACCTCATCCTCGTCATCTAAGTCTCCTTCATAAATTAATGGATCTTTATTTCTGAAGAATACAAGCTTTGGAAGTTGCTTTGGTGCCAATCCGTATTTCTTGGCAATGTCAAATTCTTCTGTTGTCACGAAAATGATACCAGCTTCATCAAGCTCATCATCAATATTTTCCAAGTCTTCTAAAATTCTATCGCATTTATCTCCTTCTTCACAGTCACCAGTAAAGTACACAACAACGTACTCATGTGTTTCAATTAATTCGCTTAAAATTTCGTCTGTAACTTCTTCAATTGTAGCTGAATTCTTTTGTAAGACCAACCATTCTAAAACTTCATCTTCATTCATTAAATCTCCTTCATAAATTGCTGGAATTTTGTTTTCAAAGTAAACCATTGCAGGTAAATGATCCAATCCATATTCCTTAGCTTCATCAGCATTATCCAAACGTACAATAATGATTCCTTCACGTTCTAAGTCGTCATCAATGTTTTCCATTTCATTCAAGACACGAATATCTTGCTTGTCATCCTTATCGTAGAAAATAACAGCAACATGTGGGAAAGTTTCAATCAACTTATCTTTCATCTCATCTGTCACTTCAGGGATTTCTGTATGTTTCTTTTGATGTATTAACCATCCGAGTAATTCCTCTTCTTCCATCAAATCACCTTCATAAATGTGAGGAATACCGCGTTCAAATAGGACCATTGTCGGTAAATCTTCAATTCCCCATTCGCGTGCCTCATTGTCATCATCAATCTTTACAAAAGCAATATCGTTTTGGTCGCATTCATCGTCAATATTTTCGAGTTCGGCGAGAACCTTTTGTGATTTTTTCGATTCTTTGTCATCTGTTTGGGATTGAAAACAGTTAATTAGACATGATTTTAAAGATTTGATTAGCCTAACTTGAACCATAACTCGAAGTCAACTAGATTTTAAACAAAATGTAGATGAAATTCAAGTTCTAGGCTAGTCCAACTTTTTATTTACAAAAAGATATCTAATTGAGTCACTCACAGAACAACACAGCAACATGATGCATTTTTGAAATGATCAAGTCCAACATTTCATCTGTGACATCTTCAATTTCATCTGAACTTGTTTGCAATTCCATCCATCTCAAGACTTCTTCTTCCTTTTCTAAGTTTCCTTCGTAGACTGTTGGGATTCCCTTTTCGAAGTATAAAAGTTTTGGCAATTTATCAATACCGTATTCTTTTGCTTCATCGGCATTGTCAATTTTAACGAAAGCAATTCCTAATTGGTCGCACTCATCATCGATGTTTTCTAGTTCTGCTAATGCCTTTGCTGACTTCTTGTCGTTGTTGTCGTCTATAGGAAAATTATAATCATATTAAAATTAAGTTCTCGTAATCGTGGTTGAATCCAAATTTTAGGTTTGAGATTTGACCCTTATTGAAATCATTGATTCAAACTTACAGAACAAAACAGCCATTGTACGTCCTTCCTTGACCATTCTCTCGAGTGTTTCTTCATCAACATCTTCAATTTCGTCATTTTCCAAGTGACTCAATAGCCAGTGCAAGATTTCATCTTCATCCATCAAATCTCCTGAATACTTATTTGGTTCCTTCTTCTCAAAGTAGATGATTGTTGGGAACTAAACAATAACATATTAAAATCGTTAAAAACTTAAGACTATAGGAGTTTTAAAGCAGTTTGTCCATACATCCTTAACTCCGTGTTCTTTAGCAGCTCCTGCATCATCAATCTTTACAAATTGAATTCCATGTTTGTCACAATCATCATCAATTTTCTCTAATTCTTCAATAACTTGCAATGAATCCTCATCATCTTTGTCATCTGCATTAATGCATAGAAGTTCATTAATTAGTAAGTTACAAGCATCAATTAATAAAAGCCCAATTAAAAGCTTACAGAATACAACAACCAAATTGTCGATATTTTGAATGAGTGTTCCCAAAGTCTTAGCAGTCACTTCCTCAATTACATCTTCATCATCGCCAGTAGATTTGTTTTCAATGAGCCACTCAAGGACATCTTCTTCTCGCGACAACTCATCTGTGAAGGAGACAAACAATTAAAATGAATTAAGAATTTACATTTTAACGAGATGCAGTTTGTGCTTTTTTTCTTGGCACGAGAACTTACTTTCATAAATAATTGGTGTCTTGTGGCGATAATAAACCAATCTTGGTAAATCTCCCAAATTATATTCATCAGCCAAGGTCTCGTCGTGAATTTTGACAAATCCAATTCCAAGTTGATCAGCTTCGTCATCAATGTTTTCAAGTTCTTGGAGAGCCTTTGCACATTTGCGGCATTCAGGCTTGTCTAAAATATTGGAAGGGAATCAAGAAAATGCATTAAAATTTTATAGAAATTATATGCAATTTTGGAATTAACAGAAAGGATATTTTTAGTTCCTGAGCAGCACAAAAAATTATTAACAGTCACTCAATTGTAAGCAAATCAGTGACTGCTACCTTCAAAACTAATTTTTATGCTGCCAGGAATAAAATAACGAGCGACATTTAGAATTAAAAAATATTCATGCTTATTGCGTTCCTTCAAGCTAGCTTAGAAAAGGAATACACATTATTCAGAATTTTAGTACAATAGGAAGGAAGTTTGAAAGGGCATAACATTCATTTTTAATAGATTTAGAAAAAATGGAAAATGAGCATCATCACTGGATTAAAACTTTTATTCATATTTTGCCAAATTTTTATGGTTGACTTACATTATATTGTCAGTCAAAGTCAACACTTAATTATTATAAGTTCGATTCTATTTTGCATAAAAACATAAGACTTGTAATCCTATCTAAAGATTCCATAGTCTAAATCATTATTAAACATTTAATGATGCTGACTATTGACCCTAGATTAAACTTAAACATTCGATTGTCAGGAAAATCTAAATCCGTCTGTAACTCGACACTTAATTTGTAGATTCGACATAAAAATTTGGCAAACAATTTCAAGGACATCAGAACAGTACACAATGATTCTGATATGTTTAAAATATCACAAAAATATCGAACTCGAACAGCCAATTTAACCACAATCTCCAATTCTCTTGATGTAAATATACACAAATTCTCATTTCAACGTCTTTAAATCATCACATTTTCATTTTCTTTCATTATTATTGTAGCAGTTAAAAAAGATAGGAAGAGCTTGGGAAAAAAGCTTGTCTTTAAATTCATCCAGACAAAATTTTGACAGTTTTGTAAATGTTTCATCCTCAATTGTTATAAATTGACAACAGAAAAAAATTGTTTAGGAAATCAATCAAAAAGAAATTATTGTAATTAATTGAAATTAGCACATTACATTCCTTAATTTGATAAGGCAGTCATTGTTTTATTGAGTTTCAAGACACTTGGTTTAATTTGATCCACATCAATAAAGAGAATAACGAGAATCAAAACTTACTCATCGATCCATGGTCGCAATTACTATGATCAGGACCTAATAGTTTTATAAATTATACGTCTGAATTTTAATTTCTACTCTTCACATTCTTCATGAATATTTTAAGTTTTATAAGTTTTTTTTTGTATTTTTTGTAAATGTTTTCAAAGAGATTTTCAATGGTAACTTGATACACGGTCTGCTTTAGCCATGGAACCAAGAATGTGAGTTGAATCATATTTTTGAATAATTTTTAAGTCAATTTTATGTTTTAAATGAAAACTTTAAGGATCAATATTCTTGATTTTAGCATCGAATTCAGAATAGTTCATATTTGTATTGAATTCAAATATTTCTTTAAATTTTGTCAAATTGATCCATTCACACAAATGGGTTAACTGTAACCATTGAATACTCCTCTTTATTTAGTAGCTTAAAGTGCATAACATCTTGATCTAAGGCAATTTTTGTTGATCCAAATCAAAGCTTTATCACAAAATATCCCTTTTAAAATACTTTAAAAAGCTCCCTTAGACATCATTTATGAACATCCCCCAAGTGAATTTATCATACTACCACATGACACACAATTGCTTAAATCAATTTATTCTACAATCTAGCTACCGTAAATTTTTATAAGCCAAGTAACAACGAAAAAGCTACAAATAGGTTATAAAGTGATAAAAAAAATCAAATATCTTTAAGCATCTTCAAACCTAAAAGTATATAACTTGTAGCTTTCTCCTGATTACTATCATAATAGCATTAAGAATAATCCAAAGTCTACTTACAAAACAGAACAGCTACATATGGTGTCTCCTCAATAATTTTTGATAAGATTTTTGAATTAACTTCTTCAATTCTGTCAGGTAAATCCATAGCTTCGAGCGATGTTAAGAAGTCCAAAACACCTTCTTCATCCATAAGATCTCCATCATATATGATTGGTTCTTTCTCTCTAGATTTTTTTGTTATTTTATTAATTATATATTGAGTGATATTTTGAGATAATTTGTGTATTAAGTTTGGCAGAGAGAAAAGTGACGGTAAGATTCAAATGATTAATTCAGGTGGAGCTTCATCATTTTAGAGACAATACATTTTTGAAATACAGAAGAATGGAATTTGGTTTAAATTTAAGGAGTATTTCGTAGATTTGTTCTATTTGCAGATCAATTTCCACCAATCTTAATTATGAGTTCAGAGATTAACTTTATATGAGAACCAATCACTTTAGAGATTGACTCTTTTGTAAGTCTCATGAATCACAAAGGATCTTCTATTGATCTGCAATGGCTTAATACTCACAATTCGGCTCAATCTTCGAAACAAAATTTGATAGATTATCCTACTTATTAAGCTGATCAAAACTAGATGAAATTCCTTAATGCAGATAAAGTTAACATTTAAACCAAGTCATTTAAACTTCAAACTAAACACTTTTCAGTCTGCTCTTTAAGAAATACTTTAAAAACCATCCGAACAACTTATTATGACTTCAAAAGTCAAGATCATGACAAACATAAATTTCTCAAAGCTGTCACATGATATTCAACAGACACATTAATGTTATTCGGATGTAAAGTTGTAAAATCATACCTAAAGTACGTAAGTGCAGGGAAATTTTTGATTCCATATTGCTTAGCTAATCGTTTATCATTAATTTTAACAAAATCTACACCGAATGAGTCAGTATCGTCATCTATTTTTTCGAGTTCAGCTAAAACTGTATCACATGTCACGCAACTTCTAGCATCTAAAAAAGAAAAGTATTAAAGGAATACATGTGTCATAATATTGCATAAATCCTCATTCAGATGATTCAATAGCTATTGAAATTATTACTCAATGACATGTTTGTAAATCAAAAGTCTTTCAATGTGTGAAAAAAAGGGCTTTGAGGAATGAAAAATCTTCACATTTTCCTCAATAAATCACTCAGATAATTTTAGATCTTCTTTTCTCTTAATTATTCGTGTACAATTTTTCATTTTTTTAATAGATTTTCCGATTTTCCTTTTTTTCTATTGTAGAAAATGAAAATAATTTGAATGAAATTTTCACTTGCTTTTGTGAATGTAACGCAATGCAATACAGACATCTTCATTTTCACATGGCTTTGGATATAAATAGACAACCTTACATACAATCTTATAAGCCACACAAACACCACCAATCTTAATGTTAATCTCTTCTCTTCGTTTACAAATTTTCCGAGCTCGATTGCCTGAAAAACAGGTTGAATGTTGTTGTTGTTTCTCTCGTTTGTCTGAGAATTAAATCAAGTGTAAGGCAACAGGTGTATTGAGAACACATGCACGATTTGACTTTTTTTTTTGTTTTCTTATTCTTGCTTCTGTTCTTATTTTAGACAATCCTATTAAGCAATAAAATACAGAGACAGTGAAAATTTTCATGAATGAACAGAATCTCATGTGAATTTATGGAACCGGATGTGATTTTAAGACGCAGATAATTATTTGTTTAACGAAGCCTATCCAATGGAATTCAATAAATGTTATAATTATCTTCTCGATTGCAATTTGTGTGGAAAATCAACATAAACTTTTCACGCCTGAAATAGCTTAACGTCAACCTTGAAACTGATCACTTTCAACGAGAGAAAAATTTAAACTATGTAGGCGCTGATAATGTGGCAATAAAATGCATTCACACTGAAAACTTTTCAGCATTAAAGCAGTGGGAATTCTTTAAAGATTTCATTTTAAATCATTCGAATTGATATCCAGGAGTGAAAGTCAATAGACTCTTGATTCTTGCGTCAGACAATTGATGAGTAATGGAAGAAATTAAGTTTATTGGATGTTTTAGTTTAGGTTGAGGTTGATTCTTGAAAATGTTATAAAATAGCAAATCAAAAGTTGCGGATCTGATCAAAAATTGATGACAAATCAGTTTAAAACCTAAAAACAAATCTTCTGAATCTTTTAATTCTTAATCCAATCAATTTGTCTGCAATTTCGACATGGTTTGAAGAATTTATCAAGCTTTTAAGAAAAGTCCATGACTTGATTTCCTTTATATAAATATTTAAATTTAGGATAAACAAACTCTAGCAAGCGCCACTTCCAACTACAGTAAATATCACGAAAGTATTTCGATATGCGTAATTACAGACATTAAATTGTCTATAACTCGCAAAAGATTGGCATAAAAAATTAATTCCGAGTTCAAAATCCTTGAAAATTCGTCAAAACAAAAAAGGAATCTTGCCTTCTTTAAATATGAAAAATGTTTTATGTCAGAAAAAACATGTGATTTAAATTTGCTGAGCAAATAATCTTGTGCATAACAATTTCGATAAAATTTGACGATTGCTTAATGATTTGGAATCAAGAGTGTAAAACTGTTGTAAATGATCAAAAACAATTGGTCCAAACTGAGTTGTGAATTCTAAGACAAGCTTTAAATGAATGATTTGTGATTTTGGAAGTGCGATCTTAAAAATTCCAAAAATCATTCAATTTTCTTGAAATCTCTCCAAAATGTTCACAGTCAGTAAATTTCATTAAATTATTATTTGGATGGTCTGCAAAATTTTCAATATTTTGGAAGTTTTGAATATTCCGTGCAGTAAAAAATAAGATGCAATAAGCCTTCAAAAAATATGGAATGTTGCAAATTAGGTGCAAAAATTTTCAAAGATTTTTTAAACACATCAAACTTAATATTCACAAGATACTTATATGTACGAAGTTTATCCATTATCATAGTTTATTGTTCGAGCTCATGAAAATATTTAAGTTAAGTCAAACAATTCATCTTGATGAGCAATTCACTTCTGTTTATAACTTATCTTTAAACTAAAGTATTATTCGCATAAAATCATGTTTAGGAACTGGATCTTAAAATATTCACAATAAGTAATCACAACAACCATAAAAGTTTAATTTTTATATTGTTTTCCTTAAAAGTTGTTCTTTAAATGTAAAGAATGTTGGCAAAAAATAAAAATTTTCGTGAAAATTGCTGTAATGAGTCGGAAATGGAAGATGAGTTTATCAAGGAAATGTCCTTTGAGTCGTTAGGATTTGAAGTAAAAAGTTTCCCAAAGAATTTTGCATGCGTTAATTATCCAACATTTATTCTTTGCATTGAGAAATTCATCCAGAAATTCAAATTTTGTGATACAGTCATAGCTATAGGAAAGGAGAGATTTAATTGCCATTTTATAGTCATCAAATGTTTCTCTAAACATTTCGAGAAATTCGAAAAGAATACGACTTTAATAGAACTTCCCACTGATCAAGTTACGCCCAAGGCATTTTGTGAGATTTACGAATGGATGTTGGCAAGTGAAAATCACATAAAAAGGGAAAGTTTCGCAGAAGTCTTTAAAGCAGTCAGATTCTTACAAATCGACAAATTACTACAACATTTAATGATGATAGTCGACGATCAGCACATCATAAGTGAACGAGAAGCTATTTCAATATTTCTTGAAGCTAAACGGGTCAATGCAAAGTGCCTTCAATCATTCATGGTCGGGAAAGTTTCAAAAATCTTTTTAACATTTGTAGCATCAAAGGAATTTCTCGAATGTACACTGGACGAAGCACTAGAATTTTTCAAATCAAACCGAATAGCTATAAATTCAGAAGTTGACATGATATTTACAGCCATACGATGGTTGCTGTATAAATGGCCGAGACGTAAAAACAACATTAAGGAGATACTAAAGAAAATAAAATTCGAATTGATTGTTCCGTGGCAGCTGGTGGAATTTAAAAAATATCCTCAACAACTGGGACAAATATTTCATCCAATTGAAATTCAGACTGCAATCGATGAAGCTTTATCGTATCAATCAACGCGACATATTCAGACATTTGAGGAACATTCAAGCGAACGACTGATTGTTTCACGAAGAATCATCGACGATCCACTTTGGAAAGAATTTGAGTTTGAGAGGAACTCAAATGTGCATGTTGGATATAATAGTTTTAGACAATACCTAAAGAAACTCAATGCTTTTCACTGGACTCGAATTGAATGCAGAGACAATAATAAAATTTTGAATCCTTAGTCACTAGCCAAATAATTTAATTGAGACTTTTTTATGTAGGAACGAAATATCCTCTCGAATGTATCACCATTTAATCATTTTTGATGTTCAGGTCTTAAAAAGTTGCAGCAATTTTCACAATTTCTAATTCATGAGTCTGACTGCACTTGATATTTTTAAGTCATGAATTCATCACTTCATTACAATATTTTCTTTCTCAAGGTCTGCAATTGTTTACTGCTACTTTGTATGTTTAAGACTACTGTAATACCTTTTTGGCAGGTGTTTAAAAGAAAGTTTTGAAGGATTTATTGGATGAGATAATTTTTTATGACAAATTGATGTTCATGGAAAGTTTATCTTTTCAGATGCTATAAACTACTTAGTTCTTAAATTTAGCATTTTTAATGGTAGATCTACAGCATTTTGGAACTTAGCTTTTAATTTTTTTGAGCTATTTCTCTTCAAAAACGATAGACTTTAATCAGATGGAATTTACACTCAAAATGTAGCTCGATCTAAGATCTACATTACTTAATCACTAGTCTTTATTCAATTAAGGACTCTAAAAGTCATTTTTGACATTTGACTTCAACTCATACAGCCGATAGTTCTGTCAAGAAGAATAAGTCAAAGCTTAAGATGTACACTTTAGGGTTCTAACCTAATCCTTTCTAATGCCTAGTAAATTTTCAATTCTCAACAAAACATTCGGAATGTTCTTTGATCTAGTTTGGCAAATACAGCAAATCTAATGAACAGCTTCTAAATATCAACAACTTTTAAATGCTTTAATCTACATTTTTCTAAATCTGAATCACAGAAACTCACATAGAAAGGAAGCTGGTTCAGGAAACAAGGTGTTTCCGGTTTATTCTCATCAACATTCTCATCATTCCAAGATCAAAATGACATAAAAATCTTGCAGAAAATTAAAATGACAACAAATTTGTTGTTCCTAAACCCCTGAAAACATCCTACCATTCAAAAATTCAAGAGGATAAAAATGAATAAAAGAAACAGAAATTATTGTGAATGGCGGTATTGCAACCTGTTTAATTCTTTCTAAGTTTGGTTTCACTTAAATTCACACTTGAAGTAGATTTTGGCAATGAAATTAAATTATTTCTTAATTAATAAAAATCTTCTTTGTAAAGTATAATCAACGCTTCATGAGTTTCATTATGAAATAAGAAAAGAAGACTTCTCTTAATATCTGAGATGATGATGAGAAAGATGTGCTGATGAGTTTAAGACTGAAATATACTGTATGAATCAGGTTTTTCATCAAATAACATGCTACAAGTGCTTTATAAATTAATCATCAAGATCTAAACGGCTTCTAATTATGAAGAAGAATACGAAAGTGAAAAGAGATCTGGATGAGATGTTGTTTTGGGGCTGTAAGTGATGTGATTATTTTTAACAGCATTTCTAATTTTGAATATTTTTTTGGTGGTTTTTGTAAACAAACAAATTTAATGAATCGAAATTTGCATGAAATCATCACATTTACATCTTAAATAAGTATTACAAGATGATATACGTGTAGGAGGTATCATCATCTATGCGATGCAAGCAACAAAGTAGTCTATAGTGTCATGAATAATGAAAGTTTCAAGATTAAAACTATGACAAACATTTTGAGTGCGTTCAGTAAAGTTTTTGAATATTTTATAGCCGTTATATATGAAAATCAGCTACACTCAAGAAAAACACTCAAATTGAGAAGAATCCACTTAAAAAGCAATTGAAAAGGATGATGTTAAAAAGATAATTTATTTTCATTGTGATTATCATTAAAAAAACTAAAGTCACAAGCTTGTATACGAGGTCTACAATTGCAAAAGACAATTTCACAGAATTTCTAAAAATAATCATCAACGGACTTGAACTCTGTTTGAAACAAACATTATACATATATATACGCACACTTTTCATGAAAAATGAATATACAAATTATTTCACACATGAGTTTCTTCATCGAGTGATGATGATTTTGAAGAAAGAAGTCTCTAGACACAAACATCAGTAGAAAGAAAGAAAAAAGTTTATAAAGGTAGAGTCAATTTTTATCTTGTTTTTTCTTTTATTTTATTTTATTTCACAGAATGAAGCAGAAATGTGAAAAATTTCAGTAAATAAATACAAGAGAATGTTAGCTGAGCTATATTAAGATGCAAGGAAGTGAGTCGATTGAAATAACAAAAGATGAAATAATAGGAATTGACTTAAAAATTGTCTGTGGTTATTGCTGCATATACATTCACAGAAAGAAGCTTCAATGTCACATTTTCAGATGCACTTTAATCATTATTATTTTTTCATAATAATCATATTGATCATATTGAGTGTAACTAGGCACAAATTTTCTTATTTTTCACATTTTTCTCCTCATTTTTTATTTTTTTTTTTTCTTTTACAGCTTTCGAATTTCTTTTTGTAATTTTATTTTCTCATTTTTCATCACATATACACACAGAATACACTTTTTGAGGTTTTTTTTTTCATTACGTAAGTAAAAAATTTTCATTTTCCTTTAAATTTAAATTCGAAAGTCAATTTTTTTTTTACTTAATGTCACATGTCACTTGATGGACGCAACTTACACCAATAAACAGCAACGTAATCCTTGTCAGCTAGAATCTTTTCTAACTGTTTGGCAGAAACTTCTTCGATCGTTGGTTCAGGTTCAGCTGGTGGTGCAGGTGAACCTTTTTTACTACTACCACATTCCACCCATGTTGGAATCGCGAGAAATATCAGAAAGATGAAAATGGGTGTCGTTATATATTTTAAGCGCGAGCTTATCATCGTATCTTTAATTATAGAAATTTTTATATTTTTTTAACTTATGAAATTTTAAATTTCAACTTTTTTCACTTTTTCAATTGAGAAGAATTTTTTAAAAATTAATTAAGTGACTTTATGGACAACATTAATAATTATTTTAATGAAATTTAAAGATATGAAAAAAAATTGTATGAAAGTAGCCCGAAAAGGATTTTTCAATGGGGAAAAAAAGATAAAAATAGAAAATTTTCTTCTTCTCAATCGAACTTAAAATTTTATAAAACAAAAATCTTTTCTTTTAGTTTCGCACTTCTCAAAGGTCCGCTCAAAACTACATCCGAGTGAAAATAATTTTACTCGAAATTTTTCACGACTAACGACAAGATTTCACGAACATTATCGATCCGTGCACGAATGTCTTTATCACAATGCCGGGTTTCATTATCACAGCATGATCGTGAGTTGATAGAAAATTTTCAGTGTCCGATGAGAGAATTTTGTGAGATTCGGCTTTGATCTCTCAAAAATAGCCGCACACATTTGAATATTCTGCAACCCGAAATCGATAGCTTTAGTTGTGTAGATTCTGACGTATGACGAGAGGATCACCGAAGAGCATTTGCTGAGCACATTTTCCACATGCCATGCTTTTAGTAATCTGTAATGAATCATCATCATTTAATGTCGAAAGAGAGAGGAAGACATCACTCGGTTATAATGTAAATAATCTTTTATTCATAAAACAGTTTGAAATTAATAACAATAAAAACAATTTTTTTTTCTCGAAAAATATCTTTTTTAATTAAATTTAATATTTTTTCACTAATTCGTGCTTAATAGCAGCAACTTTTAATGTAGCTTAGGAATTGTTTATAAATGACGGTCATCATAAGATTTGAATATTATTCTTCTCTTTATTGAAACATCCAGTGCAAAAAATGAAGAAAAATCCAAATTTTCAAGATCCGTCATTTACAAAAAAACCCCGAACAGGAATTGATGAAGTTCTTAAATCTTAAAGTTTAGATATGCATCATAAATATCTAAAAATTCTCTCATTTTTATTCGTTAAAATTTATGTTAAGTTTAATGCCGAGGAAACTTTATTCATTGACTTCTTTACTAAGTATTTGCCCTTATTAATTTTGTTCCTAGTTTCTAAAATCTTCAAAAGTCCTACAAAGATTGTCAATATAACTTTTTATTAAATCTTCAATGTGTACCTACGAGTACCTTGAGTTATTATTATTGTTACTATTAATTGAATTATGAATTTTTTAGGCATGAATTGTTCTAGTATTTTCTCAATTGCTTTTTTTATCAATTTGAACTTACATAGTTAAACTTTAATTTTAAGGAAATCTTTACTAGTTATTATTATTATTATCATTATTAGTTTCTAGACTTAAAAATTCACAGTTCTTTTCAAAAAATCAATAATAAGGTTTCATTTGAAGACACAAATGTCCCAAAGTATCTTTTCAAAAAACTTTAAATCTCAAAATCTAGTTTATCTTTCTTCAATTTACAATAAGTATTTTAATACTTATATTGTTCGAGATGAAATTTGATTCTTTTAAGCCGCAAGTGGTGCTTGTTCATAGAAATCTGGTTCATCTTCAGCACCATCGTTAGGTTGATTTCCATCAATCTAAATTGGATAGAAACAACATGAAAACAATACTCGATTATTACTGCATTAAGCAGACATAAAGACTTACCGCTCTCAATTCCAAAGGAGTGAAAATTCTCTCAAGCTGCTGTCGAATAGGAACCATCATCATCAAAATGAAGGGGAAAGCGAGAGAAAATTTAGAAGACTTTACACCCCACAGCAATGCCAAAGCGAGAACTTGAGTAATGGTAAAGACATGCATTTTCCATGTTGGGAGTCGTCGAACATAAGGAACTTGTGGATGATGCTTCACAGGCATAAAGATTAGCCTCAATCTAAACGAAACAGATGTCAAGAACTTGTCAGAGAAAATACATTTTATTAAGCCATACCTTTCAAAGAACTGTACACCAATCATTGAGCAGATACCCATATACAAGAACACACCGAAAAGCACAGCCATTGGAATCTGCTTGAGCAATGGTGAAGCAAAAAGTGACAATCCAACCAATAGTGACACGAAAAATCCAGAAAGTCTTTGTTCCTTAATATCAGCAATCTTTGGAGAATCACCAGGAGCGTGATTGCTGAAAAAAATAACCAGAAATGTCATTAAAACTGCAAAAGAAGTCGATAAAACTTAAGACTCACGTTGACATAATTGTTACAGCTGATACGTGAGTAACTGATCGTACAGTAGCTGCACAATGCCATGGCAATCCAAACATTCCACAAACTGTATTACAGAAGCATAAAAGAACAATATCCCAATGCAATCCGTTGCCTTTTTTCAAGCCTCTTTCAGGTTTTCCAACAATCAACTCGGAAATTTGTGTCTCCATAAATATCAAAATGTAGACAAGCAATGCTGGAACTAAGCATACAAATGGAAGCCATGCTTCTACTGGTCCGAAAGGAATTAACCAGCCTCTCTGTTCTGGTTCACTTGGAGAAATTCCATCAGGTACCTAAATTAACATAATTCATGAATCTTCAATTGGAACTATCTTCAAATTTGAGAAACTACTCACAGCCAACTTATCCGTAAAAACTTGTGGAACAGTCAAGTCAATAGCCAAGAAAACAGCAATTGCGATTGGTACACCAAAGTCACCCAAAGCACGTCTTGCATTTCTTCCAAGGAACTTTGAGTTGCGGAATATTTTAAGACTATAAGCAAGTGTGAATGTGCCTAATGTCAATAATGTACAGAAAAGTGCTGTATTTGGTTGATTCAAAGGTCCTGTTGTGTCCCATGGAAGGAGCAAATTAGGTTCACTAGAAGTAGTTATTTCAGTTTCATTTGATGACTCCAAAGCTAATGCCTGAGGCGCATCTGATAAAGTTCCGTTAATTTCATTCATAGCATCATTGAGCAATGGTATCACTTGTGTTGTTGTTGTAGTAACAACATCAGATATGTTCTTGTAAACATATTCAGCAAATAATGGATGACGTTTGTATGTACTTACTAGTTTAAGTGCAGTTTCGACAAGATAAATTAACGTAATAAGTGCTGAGAAAATTTCTTGTGTAAATCGAGTAAAAAGTCGAACGTAGGCACTACCCTCAAAGGCCGCCATAGTTAAAGCAATCGCTGATAGCCAAAATCCTATATAAACACGAATCATCAGGAAGTTGTAGCCCATCTGGGTACAGAATTGCATTAAAGCGTCATCGAATAAAATTAAGGGACCAGTTGTTCCGACAAATACTAAAGGCTGCGACGAGAATGCATGGAATATCATTCCAACGAAACATGCTGATATCAAAGTCTCAGAAATACCCACAAGATTGTTAGTCTTACTTCCAACTAAAGCACCAAATGTGATGGCTGTTTTAAGAATGAAATTTGATTAGTATGGATTGAATAAGGAACCAGTAAAGTGTTATTTTACCTGTAGCCAAACCAGCAAAGTATAAAAATAATGTTGCAGCAAGTGTCTCACTATTTAAGCCGTCTTTAATGTCACTTTTGTACATTGGCATACGACGCTTGATGTCATTTATCATTCCACCAAATAGTCTACCTTTTATGTGATAAAAACAATGGATAAGATCAGATAAGATATGAATAATGGACAATTGCTAATCGATGACAATGGTATGGATATAAAATGAATCTATAACTGAAATCTGTCTAAAATTGAACAACAACTGAAAATATATTTAATTCCAATTTTATTTCATAATCTGGAATGTTTATTGTGCATATATAGCCATTAATATGAATATAGCATAGATCTGATTATGATTAAGCATATGAAGCTACTCTATTTGAATAATCTAGTTAAACATAAACTAAAAGGTCAAAAGCACATCACTTCTTGGTTCCAAAGAAACCAGCTACCCAGCCAGTCAAAAATGCATAAATCGCATTATGGTTGAGAGATTGTGCTAGAAACATGAATGCGTAAATGAATCTCCTTCCACTTATCGAGCTAGGATGTCCATTAAGACAGCAAACTTTAGTAATTCTGAACATCCCAACACTAAGCTCCTTAATGCTTTTAAAATGTAAAGATGATTAGTTTTTAAAAATAACAAATACCTGTCTTTCTTAATGGATCATCTGGCTGCTTCTTATCCTTGTCATCGTCATCAGCGGCTGCCAACAATTTCTTCTCCTCCTCGCTTGTAAGCGGTTTCGTCTTTAATTTCTCCTCAATTGCTTTCTTCTTTCTTGTACGAATCATTTCACTGTAAAATTTATGAGGTCAATAAAATGAATGTTAATTGGAATTAATTAAACTTACTTCTTGGCTTTGAGCTCTTCGAATGGCAATAAATGTTCCTTGTCCCATTTTCCTGGAGGTAAAACGATTGAGTCATCTAAGAACTCATTAATGGCTGATAAAAGCTCTTTTCTGTCATCAGCTTTGTATGCAATGTTATGGAAGTGACGATTTGACATCAATGTGGCAATGGAACGACCTACTTCATGATAATCTAAATCTGCTGTCTTTGGTCCTAAAAGAATGAACAAGAAACGCACTGGAATTGGAACTTCTGTGATGGAGGGCATCATGATTCCTTCAGAAAGTCGAACAAAAGCTATTGTGGGTTGTTCGAGGAACTCAACGGAACCGACCTAATTAATGAACAGACTATTTTAATTCTGAAATTAAGTTTGAATCTTTCTCCATACCAACACAGTCGTTGCTTCCGCATTATCAGGAATTCTCTTTAAAATTGTTTCTTTAGTAATCTTCTTTAAATCCTCTTGTGATGCTGTATAAGTAGTTTCTTGTCCTTGACTCATTTCAATTTTTGTGTCAGCAGTACTGCCATTACGGAAGAGATGAGATCCATTATTTGTTGCCTCACTTCCGCCAAAGAAGCTTCTCTTGCGCTCTTCACTGACATTCTATGTAGCATAGGCAGGAAATTTATATTAGTTTATAACTTTTGACAGTTCTTAGTGTCTATAAGCTGTAAATTACTATTTTATAAAATCAACACATTTAAATTAAAGAAAGCTCAAAAAAATCAGCATTAGTCGATTACAAAAAAATAACAGGATCAAATATAAAAAGCTTTCAAAAGCCAAATTGTAGTCGGTGTATCTACGACCAGGAGTGTAGCCAAGAGGAAGTCAAATTAAGTCCAAAACAAGAAATTTCAGATAAAATTGATCGGACCAATCTAATATTAGATTCTAGCTACACCCCTGAAAGGATTTAACAGGAAAAAAGTCACAAATCAATTAATTAATTTAAAATTACAAAAAAAATGTCTAGCAACAGTCGAATGCTTCTTTCAGCGTCATAAAACAATTTTAAGCTTAAGAATTCGAATTGTTGCTTAAAAAAGCAGTAAGTTAAAGTTCTTGGTCAATTTAACATGTTGCATCGAGAAAGCATAGAACTCCTTTACTGATGTTATTTCCTGCCTTGCCATCAGGTTCATTGGGGTTCAATCACTCTTCTTTGACGTCAAAAATGAAGGTCAATAGCAATAGTGTCTAAGATCTACATTTAAGCTTCATCTAGTATTTAAATTGACATTTTGTAGGTTGGATATTAGGAATAATTACAGGAGGAACAAAATTTCATACAAAAAATCAGAAATGGATATGAATTTCGGATAATTAGTCACCAATATTATACAACCCATGAATTTTATACTTATTCACTTTTAAAATGTATAAAGTCGATATGGAATATCGCTGTGCTCGACTAACTTGTTGAAATTTAACCATTGCAACATCTTCAAGAGATTGAGATTTCTTAAAAAAGGGAAATGAAAATTAAGACTAGCAGAGCTACTTGTGGTGTCAAAATTCAGCAAAAAATAAATAAAATAAAGGCACTTTAGCTAGTGAACTTACAAGGACATAGAAAAATTGATAAGAAATATATTCTATATCAAGTGTATTATACAACACAAACCATGTCATAAGATGCATCATGTTTCATATATGTGGAGCATTCATTTGATGGAAATGAACTTCCAGTGGGACTCAAAAGTATTTGAGCAATTTTTCTCGCGTGAGCACCATGATTAATTGCACTACGAGTACAAAATGAATTATTGCGGCTTGCATTTAAACTACGTGGATTACTCATAATATTTGATATCGTAAAGCTTGCTCGCTTTGATGGTCCGTGTTGAGGATAGTGATGATTTTTACATTCCGAATCGTCACAAAAAAATGACTTAAAAATCAATTTATATCCAATTTTTTGTGTAAGCACAAGATAAAGATTAAAAAAAAGTCAATTCCTAATGTCATGGCTATGTACACACATGTAAATGAGGATAAATCATGAAATGTTACTTCATAATTAATGCACAGCTAATTACTCATGTACTATTGATTTTTTACAGTTTACGGAAGTAAAAGTGAACATGAACTTAGAATTATAAGCCGCAAATCGATAAATGACTTTCTGATGCAATGCCATTTACTTCAATTTCACGGTCACATTTAATACCATGGCATGCTGCTTATCAATGCAGTTCCTATCAACATCATGATTTATTGTAGTCTCTGAAGAAGCATTAAGCATAAGAATACATCAAGTGATGCATGTTTAAGCTCTATGAAGGCAAGCAATTGTTCTTTTGAAAATATTTATATGCACAAGGATATACTTTAATCTACATTTAAGAGAAGTTTTTATGTGTCTTTTACCGTTGCTTCATCAATAAAAATAAAATGTTCCAAGTCTTCATTACGAACTCGAAAATGTAAATTCTAAAAGTGATTAATAATTGATTAGTGTACATTAACATCGCCTTTTAATTGAAATTGCGAGCAAAATCTTTTAGATATTAGATTATATTGTAAGTAGATGCAGGACATATCCAGTAAGTTCCATCAATTTGGAATCTCATATAATAGTTGAAGTTATTGGAAATCGATATCAATCCTATTAAAAATTTATAAATCTGTTAAAAATAGACTCACCTGTAGACTACTATAGCTACTGTATTTTCGCTTCGGACCGAAATGGAAGCTTCCGTGTGTGTGGTCATTCACATGTCTATGTCGGAGTAAAAGCGCTCGCATGATTGACGCTTTATCATCAGGATGAATTAAGTCCTCAATAACCATCTAATTATTATTGACAATCCATTAATGGTCAGTTCTAATAGCTGTAAAAAATTATCATACCTGTTCAACAACACGATAAGCAACACCTGGCAAATCTTTCTCCTCCAAATCCATCAATACGACACCAGTCTCGAGACATCTTCTTAAATTTAACAACGAGTGAAAAGAAAGTGATGCAACGTGTGGTTTTCCTGCATTAAAAATTAATAAGTAAGATAGCACACTTGTCATTGCTTATTCATTAATTACCCCATCTATCAGAGCCTTCCATCACATCCTCCTCATACTTAATCCAACGTGCTGTTTCTTTCCATTCACGTTCATCTCCCAAACCATGTAATTCATCAAGCTGGACGAAAACTTCATGTGGACTCCGATCAATGTTTGATTTTTTATTAGCACCAATTATGTTCTGCATATACTGTTCTCCTTGACTTTTTGGAACGTTTGACGGTTGGACTTTGAAGCGACGCATTCCACGAGGATCTTCAGAGCGATGTGATGTCAATGTATCCAAATCAGCTTCTTGGAGTGAGGCATCTTCTGGCTGTACAGAAACTCTTCGACCACCACTTTGTCCACTTTCGGAACCTGCTTGCTTGCCACGATTCTCTGGATTATATTCTTGGAGTGAATACTTTCGACTTTTGAAGTGTAACTGACGTCTGTTGGGTAAGAGGGATTAAAATTTTTATTGATTTTTTGTGACACGGAATTATGCTGGTTTCTGGATGTGCCAATAAGTTAAGTTTTATGCAACAATCAGTGACTGGATGTTTACATCAGAAACCAACAATATTGAGAACACTCTCTAAATTTATAAATAATTAAACCTACTCTTTTCTTCGTTGTCTATCCTCCTCAGTTTCTTCTTGAGCTTCTGGCTTCTTCCCACCCTTGTTAAATTGCACTTTCTTTGCATTTTCCTACATTTAATTAAAAAAGTATTTGCCTTAATTACTCAAGTAATTTAATCCTGTATACTTCATCTTACATCATCATCACCTCCACGATAAGTGGTCATACGTTCAGATAATGGTGGCTCCTCATCATCAATGTCTTCACTTACATCACGAGATGTGTAGTCAGCATAAGAAGAAAAGTTTGATTGACGCGATAAAGTATCGTTTCCATAACCACCGCCATCTGAATCAGAAATTGGACTGCTTGTTGGATCAGTTGAAACCTTTTTTGGCAATTCTTTTGAACTTGGTTTACTCATACTTTTTGGATTTTTTGAGGATTGATATGGTGGTGGATATTTTCGATGTGCTGCATTATATTTAAATTAATTATAAATCCTTTGAAGATAGTCCAATTGTACTTACAATCGTAATCTTTTTCATTATATTTTACATTTGCAGGCGGTGTAGCTTCCTCGAGTTTTGTGCTACTTGCTGGTTTGTTTATATCTGATAATTTGCGAACATCAAACTTTGACATCAAACCAGGTTCGGAGAAGACTTTTTCCATCTCTTCATCGAGTTGTGCTTCATTTTCGTCTGCATTTTCGCCCTGTAAAATTATATCAAAGAATGTTATCTCATTTACAGTACAGCATTAACATTTGATTGGAAAGCCGAAGAAATCATTTTCAGGAGGGACAAATCTTATCAGTTGGAGTGGAAAAATTTGATTTACAACCTTAAACATTTTTATACAAGCCTTATCAGTGCAATTTTCGGTTTATTTCTCTTTTAACATTTAAGGAATGAGACTTAAAGTTGCGCGTGGAAAATTAAGTAATAAGTATTGTATAAAATCATGATAACGTCAACGTCTATGTACATTTGGGGTGACTTTTTTGGAATTTCCTAGTCTTAAAAAAACAATGGAAGTTATCTAGACAAGAATTTTGAGGAATGTCAATTTTTGACCCATAACTGAAAAGCTTGTTTGTTTTGATTGCTGTATGATTGATATTTTGACACTTGGTACGCAACAACTGCATAACTGTTTTGTCAATTTTGGCGGGATATTTCAGCTTTTTGATACGCGAAACATTTTTTAAAAATTGTATTGTCATTTAGTGTTGAAAATGTTGGCATATGAAAAAGTTATAGCAGTCATGAGACATAAAACTACGTGACAATGTTCAAGAATCGCTTTATGAATGTGTCATTGAGCTAATAATGAAACCCTTCTTTAGTCACAATTTAATTTTTTGAATATCTCATAATATAGTAACTCGATTATCTAGTCACAGTCGTAGACTGTCCTAGAGGAACTCTTAAAAACTCCTAGGTCTCTCAAAAGCTCTTCAGCACTTCACATAGTTTTAAATAATTATTAATTTTGGTTTCTTACTCTATTCAAAAATTTCACAAGAATTGCCTTAAATCCACTCAGTACCATATTTTCAATATAACTCACCAAAAAATCTCTTCAACCTTGCAAAAATTATTTTTTCATCCCCTTCCCAAAAAAAAAATAAAGTCGAGAATGAGATATCAATCACATTTGTGGATTTGTATAGCAAATTAGATAGAATATTTATAATTTATTTATCAAACTGATAACTTTGTTAGCTTCGTCATGAAATATTATTAACTCAATATCCAAAACTACGCCTTCAAAAAGTACATGAGAAATTTATTATTGTTTTGCAGGGTTGAGAAAATGTTTTGGTGCGAAATAAATTTGTTTTTGGTAACCAATGAATTCATCACGTCATTTAGATAACACGCGAACTCGACCTTGCTTATACATTAAGCTTTTCATCATTAAAAATTCACTAGAAGTTCACTATCACTTAATGCCTCCTCCCTCTTTCTTTACTGTAAGATTTATCTAAGAATCTTAATTTGTGAGCCTTTCACAATTTTTAAATATTTTCTGACCACAACTTCCACTATGCAAAAACCTTTAAATATTTTATTTTTGGCAATAACTCAATTCCATTTTCCAGATGATTGCTAAAGTTTCACAGCAATAAAAAGTAATTCAATTAAGGATAAACTATCACATTACTATTATCCAACATTCGTTCATCCTCGTTAATGTACACTCAATGAATAATATCTAAAACATCCTTCCTTTCTATTTGTTCAAATACTGATCAATCAATTTCCTTTGGTGGCTTATGTGCCACGAGCCGATTACATGGAAATAAATTGAAAAGTACACGAGGATTTAAAAAAGCCGTTTTAATATTCAATATTTAATTTATAGAACAACAATCACTTCCACATGCGAGTTCCAAAACTTATTTTTCCATAGCGTCAGGTTCATCGATTCCTCAATATATGTTTTTTGACATACTCAATAATTAAGCATAAATTGAAATTAAAAGTATTTCCCGAAAGCATAGAAAATCGATTTCAAAAGTAGGCAGCATGCTCACAATAATTTCCGAATATTTTTTGGCACCCAGACAATTCACTATTTCAAATCGTCCTTGACATCACATGTTTTCCTATCTTCTCTTTCCAACTCTCGCACTGCATGAAAATGCAACCCATTTATTTTTTTAAAAGGTACGCTTCCTTCTCTTTCTGTGCTAGTGAAAATTGAAAATGCACTTGAATTTTTTCAATGTCATATTTAATTTTTTTCTTCCGTCCTGCTTCCTTTTTAAAATTAAACAACGAAAATTTGAAACCATCCTTTCAGGCACAAAATTAATTATTTTACCTATTTTTAACAATTTTTTTAATATTAATTCCTTTAATTTAACGTCTGTTGCCTATTAATTAATTTTATATACAACAATTAATCTCTTCCAAAGACTGTCCTGGATCAATTGTGCTTTTCACATAAAAGAAGAACTTAGAAATAAAATTAAAGCTACAATAAAATACTTTCACATCAACCGACAACAAATTCACTTCTGATTTCTTTAACACAATGTTCTGTGCGATTTTTCCGAATGTTTTAATGCTGCATTGGCATCAAAACATTCAAGTTGCATGGACGAGAGGAAATTCATTGTTTTGCTGCAGATTTTGAGCTTTTTTTGCATGAAAATTTTGCATAAATTTATAAAAAGTTGAGGATTATTAGCTATAGAATTTATATCCAGCAACAAAAAATCAATGCATGTATAAATAATTAATGTTTTGTCATAAATCAGCTCAGATTTTATTCAAGGTTCTTTTCGGACGATTCCTTATCACATTTCCTAGGGAAAATTAATGCACATGCTGTTGAATGAATATCGATTTCGTTAACAACAGGAGACTCTTTTTTCTAATGAAACATTTTTATGTCGTGCCTACATAATCTCTCCTGAAAGCTTTATATTGTTTGTGTACCTGACCTTCGCAACATAATTCATTCGTGTTTATTATCTATGGTCAGTAATCTCAATTCCTCTCAATAATCAATTTTTATGATTTTTATTAAGCATTGCTAGGATCTATTTTTAACTGCTGTCGCCCGAATAAAAATCCAATCAATCATTTAAATTGAGAGCTCTTAAAATAAACTCGATTCTTGATTAACAACTTGCTATAAATAAATCACACTCCAAATTGCACTTTCCTAAAAGTAAAATCAGATATTTTCATAATGGCTTTTCAATTCCTTCTTATCTAATTAAGCTTATCCAGATAACTCAATTTTCGTACCTCAGTGATAATAAAAAAAATTGTTGGAAGCGAAATAAAAAATCAATTTGATTTATTGCAACATTTTAGCGCAGTTGCTGCCAAACATTTCTGGACGGGTCAAAAAATTTTTGGAATTCTCTCACAAATCTTAATTCACGACCTTCTCGGAACATACAATGTGTCGTGTCAAAAAGGTTTGCAGGCACTGTTCTATCGAGTAATGTACAACAAGTGCTGAATCAATCATTAATTTGCAATGATTTTTATAGCATTTTATGGATAGAAGATTGATTTATTGTAAGGGTAATTCCATGCTATAATTTTGCTATAAAATTTTCTTTAAATTGATTTTTTTCATCCTTAGGCTTTACAAAAGTTAATAAGATTTCCACAGGACATGTTAAAAGCCATAAGGTATGTTATTTGACATTAAAATGTCATCTAAAGTGATTATTAAGTCCAAAAAATTATATTTTATAGCGTTACTTGGTAACATTTATAGCGTTACCAAGTAACGCTCATGGAATCAATTTTTTGGACGAATTAACCACTTTAGATAGAAAATTAATGTCAAATCATATACCATATGACTTTTTACATGCACTGTGAAAATCTTATTAACTTTTGTAAAGCCTAAATATGAAAAAAATCAATTTTAAGTAAATTTTTTACAAAAATTTCTCATGGAATTACCCGTAAGCATTTCAAGCAAGTGTAGTTCAATTGACCATTGAAGTAGTTGTTAAATGATTGAATCAGAAATGTTTAACTGTCATAGGAAATTCCGTGCAAGATTTGCGTTTGAATATTAAGGTAAGATGTTTTCTGCGGATAGCGAATGTGATAATTACAGTTTTGGTGCTTTTGACTTTGTCTAAGGCAAGTCTGATGCTTAATTTCAACTGAATATAAACTAAGTTGGTATACAACTATTTTTGGACTTTACTAGTCAATCCTGAAGATTAAAACAGATCTGGACCTAATTTTATGTTTTTTTTTGTGTTCCAAAAAAGCATCAAGTCATCATTTTTCCAGGTCAGGAGCACTCAAACCCAAGATAAGCGTGATATAATAACAAATTTCACAATATTCCTAGACTTAAAATATTGCGCTATCTTAAAATTCAAGAAGATTCATTTATTTTTATCAAATTCACCCAAAAATTACGTTAATTCATAAATGATAAAAAAAATCATATGACGGAAATTCTTGTGCACTTTCTCATCCACTTGATTTATTCGTGGTGAGCTGAAGTGGCTCGGTGGCGGAATGGTTTAGTACTTCGGTACCTAATTATTGCAATACCGACACAGCGCTCATGGGTTCGAGACTGGGTATGGGAAATTTTTCACTTGTTCTTTTTTGAATCATATGTACTGGAAATGAGGCTCACAGCCTTCCTTTGTAGGCTACAGACAGAAATGTCATCAAAGGAGTGGTTCGGATCCCACTATAAATTGTAGGTCTAGGTTTGAGTGCAGTGGTTTGGCGCATCCTCACTCGTTAAACTCTCATTAGCTGCGAATCGCCCTAGCGCACCTCTGGATCACAATTGATCTGAATAGGTAAAGGTTTTTTTTTTTTTTTTTTTTTTTTTTTTTTTTTTTTTTTTTTTTTTTGATTTATTCGTGATCGCAATTTTGTGAGAATAAATATGCGCATTTTAATTAGTCATTCACAGTTTACAAGTCATGTCTTCAAAATAAAATTTGAATTAAAATGGAATCAGTGAAGTTAATAGGATTTATTTTAGGAAATAGCTTTGTAAATGGGAATTCAATTTTTAAAATTTTATTGACTTGAATACTTAATTGGAGATTTACTTTTAAACTTAAAAATCCAATTTTTTAAAGTAAGAACCAATTTTACTAGCTACATGTCTGGTGATACAGTTTGAATGAAAATTTTCTTCGCTGTACACTTAATTATTTAAGTTTAAATATTATTTTGTAGTTTCAAAAGTTTTATTAAAAATCTTTCAGCTTATTTTTTAAAACATTCAGTGCAAGTCACATAAATTTTGTTTTTTTCAAAAATTCGAAACAAAAAATAAAAATACAAAAATTTCAAAAAATGAAAATACAAAAATTTCAAAAAATGAAAATACAATAATTTCAAAAAATTTCAAAATTTCAAAAAAATTTCAAAATTTTAAAAATTCAAAATATTTAAAATTTCAAAAAAAACTCAAAAAGTTCAAAAATACAATAAATTCAAAAAAGCAATATAAAGTGCAAAAATTTTAAAACTTCAAATTTTAAATTCTGGTTAATATTCAAAGTGCCAATTTAAAAAAAGTTCAAAACTCGACTTGATTCATTTTTAAATCGAACAGAATTATTTTAGGTACTTTAATTTAACTCATTCATCAAAAACTGTTTCAACATTTTCAACGAAAAATATTTTTAGATCTTCGACTTTCCAATATTTTAATTTTCAAAAACTTTGACAGACCGCATTTTTCTCAAAATAAATTATTAATTCCACTTACCCGTGTAAATCCTAAGAACGACAATTTTCGGACTTGAGAGTCCTTCCTTGGTGGTTGACTCATTGTGCACTATTATTTTATTCACTTTCAATTCAATTTTCTTCTATTATTTTCAAATTTCCAAATTTTTTGTTTTTGCTTTTTATTTCACAAAAAGCATTTTTTCACACACAAAATTTGTCTTGGTCACATTCACAACAAATGATTACTTAATCTTCCTTCCTTTATTTTTCTTGTTCTTCCACTAGACAACCCTCCGAACTGATGTACAGTTAGAAGCGAAATGAACTTAAAATTTAATTAACTCATGTTATTTAAAAAGTCCACGAGCAATTGTTTATCGAAATTAAAAAAATATAAAATCAAAGTAGAAATTAAGGTGCTGCAAATACAGAAGGCAGAAAAAAAACGTTGTTCAAATATTGATAAATTTTGAAAAAGAAATACAAGTAAGGGGTCGTTCACTTATTACGTTCGCATTTTAGGGGGGAGGGGGAGGGTTTGAAAAATTGTAACAAAATTTAACATAGGGGGAGGGGGGGGGGTGTGTAAAGAAGTATGTAACGTTCTAACGTCTGTCATTTAAAAAAAGTTCACGAAAAAAAATTGTTTACAAATTCACACCAAAAACATTTTTTTTTAATTTTCCACCTTTTGAATGATAAAATAAATTATTAACGTTCAAGGGGGGGGGGGGGGGTGTGAGTTGTAACATATTGTAACCAGGGGGGAGGGGGGTGAAAAAGTCGTTTTTTTGCGTAACGTAATAAGTGAACGGCCCCTTAGCTGATAAATTATTAGGTACTATCGGACACTGTATATGTATGTCGCGCAAAAAAATTGCTATTCTATTAAATTTCATTTACTGTACTTCTTTGATATCAAATTCGTTTTTAATATTTTTATCAGTTCCAACAAGTACGCATAGTGTATGTAACAACACCGATGATGATGATAAAATATAATACATATATACGGCAGTAGCCGAACCAAATCTTTAATTTTTTATCAAACACAGAGGAAATTTACGGCATTTTGATCTTTGGTTCCTAATATTTTTATTAGATTCTTAAAAACACTAAATTTACAGCAACTAGTAAAGCACATGAATTAATGCACACAAATAAAATTACGTCATTCGCTTAAAAGTGCCGCAACTAAACTGAGAGAATTTATATTCGATCAAAAAAATTTGTAGACTGAGCCTCATATTTATCTCTCGTTATTAGCTTTTTAATTGTTTTCTCACATTGTCTAGTATGAATTTATTTCACTTTATGTGATGAGTCAATTGAGAGAGTTTATAAGAACAAATAAAGGAGGCTGTGGAATTTTTTTTTTTTGTTTTTCGCGAGTAATAACAAGCAATTTCCAGATGTTTTGGAAATGACTATTTTATTGGAACCAGAACAGCATAAATTATAAAGATCATCGATTGGAATCAATTGGATTGGGTTTGTAAAATATCGATTAATTTACCTGAGAATCACAAAGTTTTACCTTGACATAAATTTATGATTTGGTTCTTGAACTGTATAACTCTTGGGCAATTCGAATTTCGAGCAAAAAAACACAGAAAACTTAAAATTTTGAAGGACAATCTAAAGTCACTTTAAAAATGATTACTTTGGTGTAAAGTGAGTGGACACATAATTAGAAATTTTTGTATTTTCCAAATGTCTCCCTTATTTGTTCATAAAACCTATTAAAGTTGTATTGTATTAAGAAATGCTTTGAAATTTTGCACACTCTCACTTAAAGTCGTTGCTGAGAAAAATGAAAAACATTGAAAACTTGCACATATGAAAGGCTTTTTTACCCAAAGTGACTATATTACTTGCAAATTTTCCAAAACTTTTCTAGTCATCATATTGGAAATTTGATAAGCTTTCCAAAAATATGCAACTTTAATAGGTTTTATGAAAAAATATGGGAAAAATTTGGAAAATACAAAAATTTCTAATTATGTGTCCACTCACTTTAATTTTTTAATTGGTCAATCAAACTTTTCATTCAATCTAAGGTTTTGACTTCTAGAATCTAAGTTCTAATTTCAATGTTCATACATTAATAGTCCTAGCTCTTAGACTTCAAGTTTCACCTGCCTCAGACTTCCAAAATAATAAATTCTATTAATAATTCCATTTAAAGCGCTTTAATGACCATAACTTCATCACCATAAAGGAATTTCCATATTAAAAACAGCCGTATGATAACTGAATAGGTATATTCCTGATAAACGTCATAAAAATGCCTCCATTGATAGAAATTCAATTACTTTATAATACTATTGATGATGATCGATTGAATAATTTATCGCGACATAAGCCTCTAATTAAATAAATGAAGACTAATTCTTCCACTAGTTGTCGATTATTTTTAGAGTGTCATATTTTAAGTTTTTTTCTGTTTTTTCCCTCGCCGTTATCAATGTCTGGTCTTAAATGATTATAAACAAGGAACTCTTTAGTGTGTGTTGGCAGGGTTTAAAAACAATACATAATTGCTGTAAAACTTGAGTTGATTATGGAGGTAGATATTGATGGTCTGTCGTTGGAAAATTACGTGCTTTATAGACTTAATTTGATTTGATTTAATTTTGAATTTTAAATTGTAGTTTGAGTTTGACTTGTTTGACAATTATTCTTTTCATTCCCCAAAATTACAACTCCACATAATCATTATCTACTAGAAGATTACCTTAATTCAACACGAAACTATTCATCCATTATCTAAGCTAGGAGAATCAACAAGTCTACCTTTCGTCTACAACTCCACGCGCACAGATTTTAATATCCAATTAATGCAAACAGATTTCATTATAAAAATGCAATAAATCAAGCTCTTTAGCATAAATTCTCAATTTATTTAAAATATTGTTAGAGTGCGTGTGGATATGCGACAATTAATTTTAATTCCAGTACAAATTAATAATTTTCAGATTGTCAGAGATAATATTAAGTAAATAATTGTTGGAACTGAGTAACTATTTATGAGAAAATTGTCGAGTCTTTTTTAATTAATTTTTCCTCGAGCTAATATTGTGATAACTAATATGTTCCTTTCCTTTATGCAATTAGAAAAGGTAATATGTGACTGGGTAAATGGGATCTAGCAGCAAGTTGTTTATTAAGAAATCTTTGTTGAAAGTCAAGTTTACTTCTATTTGCCTTTATTATATTTATGCTGATTATTGTTTTAATTTGAGCAAGAATTTGTTCAAATTATATTTTTGGCAAAGATTTGCGCTTTAAGTTCGTATTATTTGGACAGTTATATCTGCTAGAAACTTGAGTATAACCTTAATTGATCTTTAATACTTTGCGAATAGATGAGCTAGTAGTTGTTATGAAACGCGAGAGAAACCTGTTCAACCGCTTCAATGGGAACTAATCATCATCGTGATGATCATTAAGATTAAAGGGCTCGTTAACGCAGAATTCTAGTTTTCAGGTTCGAGTCTAAGTTTGACGGCTTTCCCTTGTGTTGAATCACCGAAATTTCAGAACCTTAATTATTAGCCTTGTTTTGTAGATTAAAGACATGATTGTCAACAAAAGTTCAACATAGCCTATGATAAGCTGTAGTAATCTGACTTAAACTAAGGCCTAGGATTGAGTGCTATGGTTGGACTGTTACAATCTATAATTTACCTTATCAGTTATCATAGATTAATATTATTAACAAATTTGATTTTAAATTCAAACACAATTAATGATTTATAAATCCATAACAAACCAGGTCTCTGCATTGCCATCAAACTTTTATTTTTCGTCATTTTTAAAAATTTTCCATTCAAAAAAGAGTTCCAATAAGCAAAAATTTTATCAATCTAAATCTGACAAATCAGAAATGTCTTTTCGATAAGATTTTACGATAGCGATTAGATAGAAAAGTGCAAAAATCATCAAATGATATATATATCATGTGCTCAGGTAAATTACGTACGTTGATCTTATTTAATGTCATTTCAGAAACCTTAATATTTTTACGTGACAACCTCAACTGTAGATTAAAGTTCTGCGTACGAAAAAGAATTACAAAATCGATTCGATAACATTTTTTTTAAATTTAGTATTATTTGTTATTAAGTATTAAGCAAGGTGAGCTGAAGTGGCTCGGTGGCGGAATGGTTTAGTACTTCGGTTCACAATTATTGCAATACCGACACAGCGATCATGGGCTCGAGACTGGGTATGGGAAATTTTTCACTTGTCCTTTGTCGAATCATATGTACTGGAAATGAGGCTCACAGCCTTCCTTTGTAGGCTACAGGCAGAAATGTCATCAGAGGAGTAGTTCGGTTCCCACTGTAAACTGTAGGTCTAGGTTTGAGCGGGAGGTCTGGCGAACCGTTTCTCGTTAAACTATCATTAGCCTTGTAACGCATAAAAACGCGCAGCTATGGATCTCTAAGGTCTGAATGCTAAAGTTTATTTTTTTTTATTAAGCAAGGAATGAGTAAGCTTTGGACACTCTAGGTTTGCATTTGTTTCAATATAGTATACAAGATCTGATTTCAGAGTCTTAGTGGGATCTTAACCTAAATCAGTCCCCTTAATAAGCCTTTACCAGTCATAAATTAATTTGAGGAGTTTCCAAACCTTGACATTTTTACAATGTTTTGATAAAAATTCCGACAAAACTCGATAAATGACATTATACAATTTACTACTTATTTAATAGCTATATCTTGGAAGAAGTTTTCGAGTGACTCGAACGAGACTTTAAGTGAGACAATTAATAGAGATGACAATCCTTTTACACAATTCTTAATTTTTATCAATTAAGAATATCAATCATTTCCCTCACACTCCCATATGTGTGCTGTATACAGAAGCTTTTTGACTTAATTGAAAGAAGTTGTTTTTTTTTTGTTCATTCGAAAACAAATAAAATATAGAAAAAATATTTCTTTAAATGAAGACATGTGACCGTCAATCAGTATCGTATCATGATTCCATGTCCCTCTTTTATTATCAATTAAATAATTCACGTCCGTGAATTTCATGGCGTTATCTTGAAATTCTCTATCAAATTATTTTTTATGACTATATATGCTCTTATGATTTTGTTTTAATAGTTGGAATTTCATAAAATTGGTTCAGCAATAAAAAATTATTAATTTTTTCCTGTTGTTGCTGCTAAAATCGTCACGTGCTTTTCGTTTCCAACAGAATTTTTTTTATTTTTATTTTATTTTATTTTCATTCACGTATTGCCAGCTCAATTTTGATTTTATTTACTTTAATAAGCTATCGATGTCTTTGCTCTTTACATATTTCAATGAAATTTCGCGTATGTGAGTCGTAAAATAATTGACATTAGAATATTTTAATGCAGTACTATTAATCCCTACTAGTGCAATTTACAGCAATGAATCATTTAAGACAGTGCTGGTCAATCTTTTTTGTGCCACGGCACATTTGGTGTTAAGCCATATTCAATTGAGTAAGGGATATCTCAATGTATTCACAGCACACAAGTGTGCCGTTGCACACGGGTTGGCCATCACTGATTTAAACTATTCATGAGTAAATAATAACACACCTCGATTAGATCATTTATTTGTAATCTACGCACTATAATAGATAGTATTTTATGTTTTATTGACTAAATTCTTATGTTCTCATAGTGACTAAAATTGACTTGATCAGTGTTGACTCTTGATGTATTAATAGAGGTGTTCTCTACAATTTACTAAATATTTGTGTGTTTTTTATAGCAGATTATTGCTCAGAAACCTGAGTTAACCTTGAATAAAGTCACATTTCTTAAACTATACCCTCCTTTCCCCTCGCGTCATTTAAATAACCTTTATTGAATAAAACATTAAAAGACTATGAAAATACCAGCAATAGAATTAAAATGTGCAAATTGCAAGCCCTATTGTAAGTCTTAATTCTAGATAAACCAAAACTGATCGAAGCTCAAAGTTCGCGCCACTGGCAAACATGATACAAAATTGTGAATGACTGAATAAAAATTATTCATAATGGTCAGGATTGTTTGTTATCTTTATCTTGATTTCTTATCAAATTTGAAGCCTGCTGTTTATTTCTCGTGTCTTATTACAAGAAATTCGAATATTTTGACACTGTATTAATATGAATGAATGATGATGAAATCTTTTATAGAAGTAGTCGTTCTGAATGATCATGATCGAATTACGAATAGTGTATTACACATCAGAATGGCATTAGTCAGCTTAAATTCAAGCTGAATATATTTTTTTAAGAACAAAGATTCAGAAAGATTGAATAAAAGGTGAATTTGATCCACAAAAACAGTGATAAGAATGTCAAAAATAACAAGACTCTAAAGAATTAATATTCATGGAGACATTAATCATGTCTCCCAAACTTTTGTTAAGAATTTAATTGGAATTGAAAAATATTTTATTAAAAATTGTTGATTTTAAGTCACATGATGATTCTAAGCACTTAGAGTCATTGAAAGCTAATTACCATAAATAAGATAACTCAGAATTGACGTTTTTAATAATATTTACTGCGCAAGAATAGAATGAATTAAAATTAAAGATTTATTTGCATATTTCAATAAAAATGTTTAGTATATTTGCTATTCGACGAGGATCTAAAGCCTTTTAAGTTCAAATTTTAAGTACAACTCAAGGAATGAGAATTCAAAAAAGCTTAAACATAAATCATTTGCTGCGTAATCCACAAATAACAATTTATCAATCAAACAAATTGAACTAGCACAACGTAAATATTTTCATTCCATTTCTTTGCCTTGACACACTCAATTAAGAAGAAAAAGCTTTAATTATTTTGTATATTGTTGTGTATCTTTAATAATTGAAGAGTTTCTTCATATCAGAAGTTAGTAAACAGAATGTAATCAATTTGTATCGATAGTAAGGCAGTGAACTGTATCAGTATTAAATTGCGTTCTATCAAATAACCAGCAATTTACTTCACAAACAGTTGTAAATTTATCGATAATTATGTATTGTAGTCGAATTTGAACAAAAATTGTAAACACGATAGCCACTTGTTGTTGCTTTAAATGTATTTACGATAAAAAAAGGCAGAGATTTTTTTCAAAAACTTTTAATTATCTACTGCCAGTATAATGGGAAATTGACAAAAAAAATAGTTTATCAGCAACAGCAAAATGCAATTGAGTTCTATTATCACAGACAGAACAGAAAGAATGCTCAATGGCTGAATTACGATAATTATTTTACTAGTTCCTTTTAATTTTATTTTATTTTTGTGATATCAGCTTTAAATATTTACACTATCACATACAGAACTGTGATTCAGAGAGTTTCACAAAAAATTATTTGTACATTGTAACTTATTTTGTGAGTAACTGCATCACTTGATTTGCGAACAAGCTTCATGATATGCAGTTGTTGTTTTTGCATCAATGCGTGTGATTTAGCGGTCATTATGGATGACTGATTCTTTTGAAGTCTAGACTGTTTTCTTGGGGAAATTATGACATTATTCAAAATGCGGTACACTAAGCTCTGGATCTTAATTTTAGTTTAGAACATGGACATGATCAAACCTTCTCAAATCCTTTAGATCAGTATTATCCAAAAGGCGAGCCAAATGCTATGTGCGACTTTGGTCATGGGTTACCTCTAAAGTGTGCCGTGGCTCACAACACTGCTTTAGATAGATATTTGTATAGACTAATCAGGCCTAATCCACATTGATTGCACAGAACACTAGCATTTAGAAGAAGGTTGAGGATTTACACTTAATTTAAATTGAATTTGCGTCCCTTTGTATTTAATATTGTGCCACTTAGTACGAAGGGTCTTAATAAGGAGTCATTCACAACATACCCCCCGCCCCTGTTCTTGTCACAAAATTTCTCACTTCTAATAATGATCGTTAGAAGTAAATGGTTCGTCAGACCACGAATCACTACACAGGAACCTCGATTTAAATCAAGGCGTGGAAACTCAGGATTAATCCTGAAAACTCCCAAAAATCCTAAAAAATCTCTGAGCCAATAAACATGGAAATGTGAAATCCCTTTTAAATCCCTGATGCATTTGATGAATAATTTTGGGATTTAAATGGGATTTCACATTTTCATGTTTATTGGCTCAGGGAATTTTGAGATTTTTCAGGATTAATCCTGAATTTCCACACCTTGATTTAAATTGATTATTTCGATTTGAATAAGATTGTTCTGGAACAAAGTAAATGTTCAAATCGAAGACCACCTGTACAAACTTTTCATCAATCTTCAAAAACCAGCATAACTTAGCGATACTTTAACATGCGCCACAAAACAACCAAACCAACCACTGTTCCTACTTCTAAAGCTTATTGAAGATTTTCAAAAAATTCCGATGCTACTTCTATTTTACAATACTTTGCGAATCTCAGAATGATCAAAAGAAGAGATGAGCACAAAAGAGAAATTTCGCATATCATTCATTCTATAAAAAGACTAAAAATAAACGGACGCACGCGTCTTCATCATCGGTGGAATGAAACTTGCAGCAAAATGTTCTCGAATTTGAAATGCAATTTGTTCTTTTAATGCACATTGATAGATAGATAAAATACACATTGCGTAAACTTGATAAACCAGTTTGAACTGCACTCTTTCAATCATTCTTTTTTGAATGAGCCATAAAAAAAATGTTTTCAACACGTCAAAAAAAAAATAAGTTTCGTCTATAAACAGTTAAAAAAAATATTTTTTTATGGCTACAACTTCTGATGATTTAGCAAATGAATTTTTTGCCGTTGTCCAAAAAAAAATAAAAACCAAGAGAAAATGAATGATAAATGACTAAATAATATCCAATAATTACACTATTTATTTTATGAGAACTAAAAGTCCGAGCTCGACAAGTGTTAAGAATGTGATCGACGCGATTTCAAGTCATGAACTAAGCGATTTTTACTTTTTCTTTTTTCAATTTGTAAAAAAAAAATATAAATATAAACAAAAGCATAGTGAAGTGATCTTTAAAATAAGAGAGAGAGAACGAGAGCAGAACAGCTTGAATGTATTGTGGGACTTTAATAAAATTTTTCATCGGACTTTGATTTGTATTAGTTTCATTTTCTTTTCTGTTACTTAAGGAATCGTAAGTTCTGTTGGCATGTATACACACATCAAATTACACCATTCACCTTATTATCGTTCCTTTATTTCAATGTCAAAAGAATCATTAGTGCTGCTACATAAGAAAGTTCGATTTTTATATACTTAGTGCATGCACATGTACCGGTTTTTTTTATTCTCTCTGTTTTTGTGCTTATGTTGATGTCATTATAATGTTTTTGTTTGCATGACTGGCTAAGTCACGTGTAATTCTTTGTTTACGTTTATTGGGATAGGCTGTGACTTTAAGTTCATCCTCATTTTTATTCAACTTTTTATGTCCAAACATGAACTTTCGTGCTCACAACTTTGCCATTAAATATCAATGACTGTTATTCTTAATAAATTTTAAAGTTCACTATTTTTTAACACCTAGCACATGTGCTCTGTATATTAACAATGGTTAATCTGTGTTAGTTCCATTTATCGTTGGTGTGCGTGTAAGCAGAGAAATTGAGAATATATGAGACTCATAAATACATATAAAAATCAATCATGACATAATAATATTAAATCAAACAGCAGTGTTAATGTGACATGTAAACAAATACATTAGCACTCGATTACTGTGTGTTTTATGCTTACCATGCATCATTTGGTAATGAAAAAAAAATATTGCAACAAGAACTTTTCAATGATTCCAATTAAATCTTTTTTGTTTCAGTTTCGAATTTCATGTGAAAAATAATTTTGAATGAATTATGCTTAATCATCGTTCTGATGAGGAATTATTGTTAATTAAGCAGGGTTGGTGATCATTGAAGAATTGTTGTGTCTGTAGTATTATTATTTAAACCATGTTGTGACTATAAGATGACTGGATATAATTAACACGATAGTTGTGATTAGAACCAAATATAAACTTCAAATTTGAGTCAGGAAATTAGAGAATCTTATTGGGGTAAGAGTTTTAAATAAGTTCGGGTGAGCATGGGGCTTGCGGTTAAACTGGTCCTTTAAATATGACGAATATCCAAAGTGAAAATAGTACCTTGATGGCCGAGTGGGAGGAATCTCTGATTGAATGGTAAGAGATCACCTCTTTTAAGGTCACTTGTTCGATTCCCAATTTGTTTTACATTCGTATATACATTCAGCAGTTTAAGTGATCTACAAGGGTTTGACCTTTAAAACCCAACGGTAAAATCCTAGTCTGAAGTAAAAACGAATCGCACAAACAACGCTTAAATATCTAGAACAGTGAAAAATGATTCAAATTTCCCTTGACATCTCTGAAGATCGAACTTGACTGGTAAGAGGGAAAATCTAGCATCAGAGCCAATACTCAATACCGACTTTTTCTACTTCCAACCTTATTAAAGGCTTTGTTTCTCTTGCAAACCATAACCAGTGTTGCAAATGTAGATGTCTACACTAGATAAAGAATGTAGATTCTTCAATAGTTTTCGTCTAGCTAAGAAACTTTCTTCATAAAGATCGATTCTACATGAAGATAGAAAATGTAGTCTACACAAAGATTATGTCTACATAAAGATTCGATGTAGATGTCTACAATTCTACATTTTTTCTAGGTCTACATCAGAGAAGAATGTAGAATTGTAGACATCCACATCGAATCTTTATGTAGACAGAATCTTTATGTAGAAATAATCTTTGTGTAGATTAGATTTTCTATCTTCACATAGAATCGATCTTTATGAAGAAATTTCTGTCTCAGAATTTATCTGATCCAGACAAATCGCCAGAATGCAACACTGTCCATAAAAAATAAATGCTTTGGAGGTTATTCTAAGTCGAGTAGATATTTACCTACCAATTATGATGCAAATGTAGACTGCTGTGTCAATACAACATTGATTGTAGGTTCGAAGCTGACTGACAGGAGCTTCTGACAACTCTGAAAAAGATACACAGAACTGTTGGATATTACTGAAAAATAATTAAAATATTCCTGGAATAAAAATAAATAAATTGAGAACATCACGAAGTCAAAACAATAAATTGATTCATCAGAAACAGTCTTTTTTATTATGTTAAAAGCATACATAGCGATAGAAATTGCAAATTTAGCACTAATTGAATAAATAACAAAAAAAAAGAATGTTCACGTGATTTCTATATTGTGTGTTTTTGTTAATTATTTTCTTCTTTTTAACACCTGATTCCTGTTATTACTATTTGTCTATTAACAGTTTCTTCTCTCTATTATATTAAGGAATTAGTATTGATGTGATAATCAAGCATGATCATCGCTATTATGAGTTGTAAAATGATGTAAACAATTGTTATCTATTGTAATATAAATTGTCTCTTAAACATATATTATGATACTTTAATTAACAGATCATCCTATTTATTAATTATAGTTGAAAAAATTGAAAATTAAATATAATTTCAGAGTTACTAATTAGAGCTATTGATTAGTTGATGAGATGAATTAATCTACGCTAATTTCTTTTGCAATTTCATTTTAATTTTGTTTACAGTAAGCCTAAATTGCATGTTGCCATAATTTTTTTTATCTCAATTTTCCATTAGAAAAATAACAATAACGAAAGATTTATTCTTTCTTATTAAATTTATAGCTTTATTTCGGGGGAGCAAAAAACATTTTAAAACGTCAGCCAATTAAACAATTAAAGTTATTCTTGTCAGCAATTAAGGTTGACTAATGAATTTGACAAATTTAATTTACAATTTTTTATTTCAGTTTGACAAATTGCAGTCAACCTTAAGTAAACTTGTTTTTCTGATGAAAGCTTTACTTGGACTCCTTAAATTGGGGAATTCACTTCTTGGCGCCAATAATTATTTTTGATGAACGTTTGGCGCCTTTAAGGCGGAATTCTTAAGTTCTTGAGTTGTTCTTTCAAAGATGATTCAATTTTGTGATTTAAAACATTTTTTTCTCAGTTTCTGCTGCATTCAATTATTGGCAAGTTGCATAATTCTTTGATAATCTCAAATCTCAAGGTTCAAACAGAAGAAATAGATCTAGTTTTTGAATGAATGTTATTAATGCACCTGAATCAGATTAAGTCTAATGAAAATAGTTTATTTCTATCTGATGAAGTGGCTAGCTTTGCCAATCATGTAGCTTTCAGGATTTCCACCTTTCTAATCAACCGCCAAAAAAGATTTCCCATTTTGTTAAGTAAATCATCCATCAGAAAATCACTTTCACTTACTTGCTATAAATAAATATGATTTTTTTTTTCTTTTTGATCTGTTTGCGTAAAGATAAAAGAAGCTTAAAGCGATTCTTGTGATATGCAAAGCATTAACAAATATTTGATTTGAAGAATGATGACATAAACTTATGCGGCGAGTAAATCATATGAGAAGCATAAGTATTGAGATTATTTAATTTCATTTTTAATGTAGAAAAAAATAGGAATTATTTTATCAAGTAAAATACAAAAATTCATTTAGGTAGTTTAAAGTATATTGTATGGTTAATATTGCATAAATTTCTCATCGATTACAACCGATTGATTAGAAAATATAAATATTTATATAAGTAATGTTTTTTTTACTTCTCGTAATGTCATGTTAATAAATTAATACATAACATGTTTATGTGCATATATATCTGCATCGGTCATGGTAAAAAAAGGTCATGTTTGTCCAATAAAAATGATGTTTTTTAAACTGGAGGCAATGCCCAGAGTTTGGATGTCTTGTCAGCTGAGGTGGATAAGAACGAAAAGTCTGATGGATGCCATCGTCCAGAAATGACTTTGTCTGAGTGCTGTGCAACTACAACTGATGGTAATGGCATCGTTAAATCTCCTTGTAGATCTGTTAAAACCAACTTATTGTCATAACTTCCAGTCAATAAATAATATGCTGATGGTGAGAATCGGATTGATCTAAAATAATGAAATGAGAATAAGGGGAAATAGTAATGGGTATGAGTATGGTCATCAGCAGATAAATTAAAAACCAAAAGTCATTAATTGATTGAGAATTTAAGGAACGATACACGATATTTGAGCTTCCTCTGATCTGATTCAGTTTAAGAATTATTATTTAATGAACAGCTTTTAATAAATTGGACTATAAAACAATCTTTAAGAGGAATCAAATAAATTTTGAATCATTCAGCCATTGAAATCAATTTTTATGAAGAAATAATCAACAACAATTCAATAGAATTCTAAAATGTCTATTTACAGCTACGGATGTTTGCCTAGGTCGGGTAAAATCTCAACAAAGCAAATTGAAAACAATTTTTTTTTTCAAAGACAACTTCCACAAATGTGTATATAAGGTCAGAAAAAATTGACGGACAGTTTTCATATACGACAGGCACACCCTGATTCCGAACCATCCAACGCATGATAATGAAATTGAAATTTTCTATACATCAAATCTTGGAAGATATATTAACTGATAATCTGCCGTAAAAATTCAATATTGAAGCTCTTAATCTTCAATGGCTCGCGGTGTGCACACTTATGTGAACAATAAAGAAGCATTAATAGATTTTGATATGGCAAGGATTATGCTGTCTCTAAATGGATCTCTAAAGTTCCCAAAAGAAAATTATTTTTGTTAATTTTACAAAATCCGCTGTAATATCATAAATATTTAATTCCGGATACAATTGTCTTTCGCCTGACAAACCAAAATTCATTCTTTTCAATTATCATTACTTAAACGTTTAGCTATGTAGCTTCACTTTCATTTTCATTATCATCTTCTTATTATTCTCCTCATTATACCTTCCGTCGTGTTTACTTTAAGATAGATGAGAGGCAACGTGATTTTATAACACGTGAATTCATCTAAATTCACTTCATAAAACCGAAAAAAATGAGTTATAAGCAGCTATAAAAGTTTTAGAACTGGGTAGAGTGAAAAAGTCAACAGAATCTAATACAACATGTTAAAAATGGAAATGACATTATGTCATTAGAATCGAAATATCGTAAATTCCAGCAGAATATGCCATATTCATTCTATGTTCTTTATTTGGAGGAGATCGTAGTATCTACTAAATTGGTTATGGATACAAAATGTAATGCTAATACTCAATGACAAAATATAAACACTGATCATTAGATGAATCTCTAAATCAAATGAATTGATTTTTTTTTATATACATGTGGGATTCAACTGACTTACTGTGAAAATCCGATAGCTAATTTAAGTGTTAAAACTTACCGTATATCAGATGAATGAGGTTTGAAGCATTGAATTGGTCGGTTACCACGGATATCGTACAGTACACATGATGAATCTTCATGACCAGAGACCATTAGACGTCCTAATTAAAAAGTGAATTTAGTAACACAATAAGCAATTAATAATGTCTTATCATACCAGAAGGATCTACACATAAAGCTGCCACAGGTGATCCCTGACGAGAATTTGGGTTTGTTGCTATTTTTAAGAGAAAATTACACAAAAATAAAACGTTAACTTATTTGTCAAATACTGAGTCATGCGACTATAAATTACCTGGAGTGACGACATTTACACAACCTCGCGTTCTTAAGTCCCAAAATCGAACAGTTTTATCCTATTAAAATTGTCAATGTTTAACTTAGTCAAATAAACATAAAATAACACTTTAAGATACTTACTTGTGACCCAGAAACAAACATTGCACCACCCCAGTTGTAGAGTGATAATATATGACTTCCATGACCACTAAGTGCTGTAAATTAATTGCCATTAATATGAGATTCAAATAAATTTAATCTCCCTTACTAACCTTGATACGGCGTTGACGTCGCGCAATCTGTAATGTAAATTTTGCAATCACCAGCACCTCCGCTTATTAATAACGATGATTTATTTGAACTGTCTTCTAAAAAGCACAAATCGCGTACGGTTCCATCATGCATGGTGAGTTCAATCTATTGTTTAGCAGTGAATTAAGAAGATGGATTGTAAAACATGTGATTTAATTTAAAGATATAACAAAATTATTACCTCTCTGCCTTCAAGCTGCTTTTGATCATCATTGTATCGCATTAATTTTACAGTTTTATCATTTGATCCCGTTGCAATTAAGTCGCCTTGCGGTGACCATGCCATACAATAGATTGATCCTTTGTGATGTTTCGTTCTCTTAAATAATACTGACGCTTGGTATGTTTGGTGATCATCTCTGTATTACAAATAAGATAAATCATTGATTAAGACCTTAAGAATTAAGATTGAACGGAAATAAATCGTTTGAATTAAAATTGGTTCGTGTCTTGGCTAAATTATTCAAAAAATGTAAGCCAGTAAATTGATATAAAAAATCGGCAGTAAAATAAAAATAAAAATCCTCGGTAGTATAGTGGTGAGTATCAATTATGACTAATTTACCTTATCTCAGACAATGATGGGTATTCACAAATTCTAAATGTCTTTGAGTTGCTTCCAATCGCATAAACTGTTCCATTTGGATGGAACTCTGCACATCTAACAGCTTGAACGTCTTCGAGTGACGTAACCGCAACAAATTTCGGTCTGTTTGGATCATTTTGTTGTACCTATATAAGAGTATTTCAAAAATAAGTCTTAATTAATTTTTCTTTCACAAAATTAAAAAATAAAAGTCAACAATCAAGGTATTGAGTAAAAAAAAGTGAAGGCGAAAGTGAGACACTCTCACACTCTTGCTGATCTGTAGCAAATTTAATGATTTATGCTCTCTAGAGGTGAATGATAGAAGTAATGGCGAGTGTAATTAATATTTTTCTTCTATCTATCATAATATTACAAATTTTAAGTATTATAATAATCATGTAATTCGCTACGCGCCAACTTTCATTTTGAACATAAAGGAAATAATCTTTAAAACTTCATATACAGTCATTACCGCTTTGGGTAAATAAAGAAGTAAAGCAGCTAAGATGCAAATTAACTCTTGACATTATTTTTGTTCAAAATCACCATCATTGGCAGTTAGAGAAAGATGGAAATAACATCGTTGTTATTTGATCACAATTGCGCTTAACGATTTAATCGTCACGTATGATCGCAAGAAAAAAACAATAACGAGACAAGATGACCGAGAGCTGTTTAAATCATTGTAAGCACAGTTAGATGATATGTTTAATGTGTAACAAGAGATTTCTTTGCATTAAATATATTTTAATGTAAATGAACACTTAATTATATTGCACTTTATTGATTAAATGAGGAGAGAAGAAAAGAAAATTGTGAAAGTGTTTCAGTTAAATAACTGATTCTGTTTGTCTTCCGAAATAGTGTAAAAACCAGTAAGTAAAAAAAATTACAGCGTAGTGGAGCAATTGTTCGAACAGCAGGCTTAAATATGTGCAACAAAGTAAAAGTTTATGTAAATTTAGCCCCGTAGTAACTTTATAAAATCTCATTTATTGTCACAAGTCATTGAATTTTTCTTCTAACTTTCGCTTTTGTTGTGCTTGTTTCCATCAAAATCCGGCAAAATTACGATCAATGTTTGCTTCAAAGCACAGTCAAGTGTAACGCAACAAGAAAATATCTTTGAGCTTTATCTTGCATTCATTTCTTTTGTACATAAGCAAAGAGGCTTTTCTTAAAAGCTATGCGCAATTAATTCTGTTAAGTGATCTTTTCTGTTCCATTTGCAGAAACGTATGGAGTCACTCTTTTTTCTTGTGTTTAATTCTCAAACTTGAAAAACAACAAGTAAAGAAACAAATAGCTGAGAAAGAATTATGCAAACGCATTTCTTTGTTCAATAAATTAATCTTATTAGGTGGTCTTGAGCTTTGTTATGTAAAAACGATTGACGAACTCTTATTTTTTTCTATAAAAAAACGATTAATTAAGAGATTAATGGTAATGAAGTAATGTGACCCAAAATCATTGATTTCTTAAGCAAAAAATTGCAGACACAAATGAATCTGTTATTTGCTGATTTTTTTCTAGTCTCTCAAAACTTCATTGTTCTCGACCATACAGAAAGATTTAGATTTGAATCAAATACGGTATTGAATATTGTTCGATAGATTTAAATGCCTTCAGTTTTGCAGGGACTTAATGGAAGAGAATGAATGCATTCTCTCAAATTGTGTCAAAATTGATGAATTAAATTGAGTCTATACTTAGGTTTTGCGAGCAACTAGCTCTAGCCTAAACCAGAAGTTTCCATATTTGAAAAAACTGAAACAAAGTCAGACAAATGGAAAACAAGCATTTTGACATTTCACCGACAACTCTTTTATGTCTTAAGACTATGAACCAAAACAAAGTCTACAAGCGATTAACAAAACAAAAGCATAAGTAAACATTTTTCATCCAAAATAAGCTACGAAAAATAATTTGAATTTCGATAGTGAAAACAATCTTAATGATTTTCATTTATTCATAGCTTTTAAAGATGAAGAAGAAAAACGTTTTCTTATACGAAATAGATTAGAAATTATGGTAAAACCATAATAGTAGATGTAATAAATAATATAAAATGTAAGAAAAAGAAGGTTAACTTAACCTGATGAGGAAGATTATTATAGTAAGTTGTATCTATTTCAAGCAAATTATCAACTGAATGGCGCATATGCTTCTTCTGTCTTGTAAATTGATGAATTTGGTGATTGTTCCGAATTAAAGCGTTATTATTATTGTTACTAGAATTACTATTATAGTTTGGTCTATTGCTATTATTAGTACTATAAGATGAGGAATGCTGATGATAATAATAATCATTTAAATTCCTAATACTGTTCTTTTGCACACGACTATGTTGTTCAAACAACATTTGCGTTGAAAAATCATCCATCGATTTTGATCTTTTCGATTTACTCATTTTTTGTTGCTGTAGAAACTGCTGTTGTTGCTGATGAAGTTGCTTTTGGGGTAATTGTTGTTGATATTGACTCGAAACCGTACCGTGTCGACTATCGTTTAGGTAAGAAAAAGATCATTGATAAATTGGATGAGCAAGCAATCAATTTGAGAAAAAGAATAGCCACAATGTGACCATAAAACCATTTAAACGAATCCACTTAAATTCTCATCAATTCTTGACCATCTTTCTCTTACCTTCTTCTATCTGCATTTACCAATTTAGGTTTGTAATAAGCGTTACTGTTATTCAAAACTAATTCATTTCCTAATTCATAATCCATCACTGCTATTGCTTGCTGTGCTGCTATAGATGATGTTGGATTATTAAAAAGCATATGTTTATCGCGCTGTTTAAGTTTATTACTACGTGCAAATGGCATTTTACTGTTTACTGATGATGGTACAAAATTTTTATGTGAATTCGTTATATTCATATCAAAGTAGCTTGATGGCAACAACATTTTATTCTGATTAAGATTATTTAAATTTTTTAAATGCTTATCGTACATTAAAAACGGCATGCTTAATTCACTGGATCTTTTATGACAAACATTTTAATTAAAACTCTTATTATTTTTTCTTAACAAATTGTTTTTGGTCAATGCCATACCATTCAATCACAATCACATGGCATCATTTAATTTTTCATAATTAAAAATCTCGATCACCCAAAAAAAAAAAACTTCAAAATTCACCAAAAAACAAGAACACGCGGATAACGGTGAGGTTTATTTCCGAAAAATTATAGGCGCAAATACATTTATTAGCACACAAGAAGAGGGAAAAAATAAAAATCTTTTTTGATTATCGTTAAATGCTATCACTCGCGATATTGAACGTGTTGTACATAGGAATGCTTTTGATCGACTGAATGAATGCTTCGTTTAAAGAAAAACAACATTAAACTTTCGGTATTGACTGGAGAAAGAAGAAGACAAAAAGAAAAATGAAGAAAGAAATGAGTTTTCTCACTGCTGCTGTTGTTGCTTCTTTTCAACAGTGTTGTTGATCCAGATACTTGAACTGGCTCAGGACTTTCAAACTAGTTACTTGGCCTAGTCTGATCCAGTTGTCATTCAAGTTTAGCAGGTCCACAGACCTAGTCATTTATAATTTTGTTGATTAAAACCTTTTCTCGACAGACATTTAGAAGCGTTTTGTAGAACCTGATCTAGGCTACAGGAGTCTTTGTCATAGTCATTTTACACAGGGGCAATTCTCCAGATAAGTTTTTCAAAAAATCATCCGGAGAATTGATTTTTCTCGAAAATTTTCCATTACCAAGCATTAGTTTTACATTTAAATCGATGTAACATGGCAAAAACTATTATATTTCATCTATTTTAGTCTTTGAAAGTAACCATTAATTAAGTTATTTCAATTTTTTGTCAAAATTACTGTCAGCAAAAAATGGAATAATCATCCGGAGAATCGAAAATTGAAGAAAAGTAAACACTCATTTTTTATTATGATTATGCAGAAATGTAGTTTTTGAGCTAATCTATCTAACCATAATCATATCACACTCCAATAATTACTATTTAAAGAGAATTTTTGATTCTTCGGTGGATTTTTTTGCTGACAGTAAAAAAATTAAGCTTTTATTTTGCAAATCCATGAAAAAAATGCAAAGCAAATATTTCATAAAAATTAAATTTTAGTCTTAATTTAACACTTCATGGTTGAATTATTGTTGATTCAGTTAGAATCAATCGTAATAAACAGTTTAAAGTTGCTTTAAGCAATCAAAACAAAGAAATTGACAAGATATTTACAAAAAAAAAATTGAAAGTAAACAGTAAATGACTTTGGATTATAAAAGCTCTTTTTTCAAAAACTCAACTCATCTGGAGAATTGCCCACAGTCCAGACCCAGACAACAACACTGGTCTTAAGCATTTTTTTTTGCACAACAAACGCGCCTTGAGAAACTTTTTATTATTTCACTCTCTTTTAAAATGGAAAAATTGGAAATATTCATACAGTATGTAGCAATACATTTCAAGACTTAAAGATGAAATAAAAAATTGAGAGTATGAGAATATAAAGTGGATTTATAGTTTTTGTTTTCATCATAATTTTCACGATTGCTAGCCGGAGTCACATCATATTTGGATTTCATTTCATTTGTAATAAAATAAAAAAATTATTATGAGAATGAAAAATGTAAATAATTGAGCATATTTGGATGAAATGAAGAAAATTGCATAAACAATCTTACCATGCGATTGTTAGCAGCACGAGCGTAATTCTTAAAGTTATTTCATCCAATTAGCTATTAATCATGAGACTTTACATGAAACAATCAAATTCCTTAGATAAGATTTCATTGATCTTTGTTTGTCTTACTCTCTGATAGCCGCTCTCGCTCATAGAAATTAAATCATAAGTTACTCACATAATATGTGAGCACCTTAAATGCTGTTCCATTTGAATTTATATGTTGTTGTTATTATTTTTTTCGTAAATATTCCGTTACTTGATGTAAGAGATTTCATTACCATAAAAAATTCTCAAAATGAATTTTATTTCCATTTATTTAATTTAATTTAAAATTTCTCGCTTCCATAGCTTCAAAATGATATTCATATTTAAAGCAAGAAATGAATTAGAGGAAATTTTATGCATGACAAACTTTACAAAAATATGACAAATGAGCGACCTGCTGCCTATTGCACATTGTTAAGAATTA